CAAAACCAGAGATCACAACCCAGGATAGCAACAGCACCAGTACCTCCAATCCTTCCCTTCCAAAACAAAGACTCCATCTAAATCAACAACAGCAGGACGGAAAACCTCACAACCGCCTAACAATCGTAAAGCTTCCGTCAGCCAGAAGCCCAAAACCCCCAACAGCAACCACACCGGCAGCAGCACCAGTAGTACCCCAAATGCCCGTCCCGGAACGCGGTCAGGCGATAATCGACCCCCGAGCGCCGCAATTTCCGGCATCAACAGACCCGACAGTGACCCTCCATGGCTGGCAACCATGTATAAGCCCGACCCGCGCCTACCTCCCGACCAGCAGGTCATTCCCACACACGCCAAGCGGATGCAACAAGAGCAGTGGGAGCGTGAGGGTAAAGTCCCCGCCATCTACGGCCGGGATTTCTCTCCTCTCACTGTGCAGACGTACGATAGCAATGGCTCAGCAGTCAAGCCGTTACCTTCGCCCAATCAGGAGCCAGAGCAGGATAGCCAACAGAAACCGCAACTGGAAACCCTTTCCCCTACAGAACCACTGTCTACAAGAGTCAAGAGCCCTGATCCCGCTACGAATGCGGTAGGGTATAAGACTGTCCCCAGCGTGCAGTCCACGTCAGCCCAGGCGAGACTGAACTCGATCTCTGCTGTTCAACCGAAACCAGTGCACGTAGAGGCGCCACCGGCGAAGGAGAAGGGCTGTGGTTGCTGCATTGTCATGTAGCCCATTCCTAACCAACTTCAATGATCACGCTTCTCTTTTCTCTTTTTGCTTTCCATTCTTTTCTATTGATATTCGTTTTATATTGATTTAGTTCAATATCTGCTTTGCTCGTTCCAGCTTCTCTCATCTATCCGGCTTCCACTGAGCGTCCAGCAGCTCTAGCTCAAAGCTACATTGCCTTTTCCCATCCTCTCCCCGCAACATCCCTTGCTGATAATTTCCTATCTTCTCGATAAAAGTGACTGGTGATTGGCGATTTGGCTGTTCTAAACCCTTGCTTCTGCCCTTCATTTATCTTTTTGCCTATTCTCCCGAAATCGAATTGGAGCGTCAAGTTGTACACTTCTTTTCATATTACCTTCCATTCTTTCTTTTCCCTGTCTTTTGGCTTCTGCTTCTTGACTGCTATAATCCTACTATAGTCTCTTCGCCAGTCGGTATTCTCATTTTATTGCCTTATATCTACCTCAATTCGGATGCCTCACCACCATCATAATTACCACCTTTACCACAGAGAATTATACACTCCCTATCCCACTGCTTCTACACCAACATATTTCCATATTTTACCACCTCCGATACCCTCCATTCCATGGAAACCATACGTGGTTGATTTTCCTATCCCACCTTTCTCCAAGTCCTGTCTCATGCGCCCCAGGTTTTTTGATTTTTTGAAATATTGAAGATTGAAGATTGTTATTTTCTTTTTCTTTTTTTTTTGAGCCCGTTTGTTATTTACCAGCGTTAAATCACAGTGAGACCTCCCATCTCTCCGTCTCTTTGAATCCGTTCAGTTTGTTCTTGTTGTCTACCGTTCATCTTGCCTTGCGTTTTATTCCTTTCTAAACACCAGATACCAAAATGCACTTCGATTCGGTAGCATCCGCTCTCTAGCTATCTTCCCACAGGATTTAAGAGCTCTCTCCCTTTGCCTTGAAAATGATAGAATGCTGCTTCGTGAGGGCATGGAAGACATGCACGCCCTCTAAGTGGTTAACTCATCAACTTCGGATTGGAGTTGAACAGCGTAAGGCACTCGTATTTCTGATATATGAGATCAATGGACAGGGCAAAGAAGCTCATAATTGATATAGATGAGTGTTCTAATAAGACAGTAAGTGTCAAACTCAGTAGAAATCGATATAAGTACTTATCTAACCGTCCGGTGGGATGAAAACACATCCGGCCTGTACTCACTTGACTACCCTGTACCCTGTAATTGTTACATCTCTGCGGTGTTTGTCGTATGTATCTCCCAACTGCCGTGATCTGCGCCCTTCGTATAGATAGGCATAGTATTAGAACTCTTCTGTAGTTGTTACCATAGTACGTTGTAGCTGATGTAGTGAAGTTAACTTCTTCATCCTTGCGGCACCACCAAAACTTCCCCCCGCGGCAAACCAGGAACGCTTCAAGGGTTTTTATTTATATCGCTGCCACCCCGCAAATCCTGCCGTCTTCTTCTTCTCTCTTTTCTATCTCTTATCCATCTATCGTTGCCCACCATAGCTTCCATATTCCGCCGCCTCTTTGGCTCCGTAGCCTCACAGTCACCAGCCGCCATGTCTGCTGCCAGAGTCAAAGCCGAGAAAATCATCGCCGACAACGGCGTGGGTGAGTCTTAAGAGGCGCTGCATGGGTGGAAAAACAGATGGCTAACAACTTATCTTATTCGCAGTTGTTTTCTCCAAGTCCTACTGCCCTCACTGCAATGAGACCAAAGCACTGCTGAACTCTCATGGGGCCAAGTTCTTCACCTTGGAACTCGACAAAGTTGGTATGTTGGGAGTCCTGTCGTATGGTTATGCCATCGGAGAGAAGAGTACGAACTGACGGTTGGATAATTGATAGATGACGGCCCTGCTATCCAGGATGCTCTCCTTGAGATCACCAAGCAACGCACCGTTCCCAACATCTTCATCAAGCAGCAGCACATCGGTGGTAACTCTGACCTCACTGCGAAGACCGCTCAGTTGCCGGCCTTGTTGAAGGAGGCTGGTGCTGTCTAGACGGCTGTACGTGTATGGCTATAAAAACATCTCCAGCACTCTTTCTCGTTCTTACGAGGGATTGTTCTACGTAGGGAAGGGAAAGGGCTTTATATCTAGCACTCTTGCTATAATTAAATGCCGGAGAGACTCGTTCTTGTATTTATTTAGGAGTGTCACAAATTGCTAGATATATCAAGCGGCTATAGTACATATATCACCCTTTCAAAGTGAAGAAAACATCGACTTCACCTATAACGTACATTTTTCGTCATGAACGGGTTCAGACGACCTTCATTTCAACCGTACCAATAGGCCGGCCGACGATACCCATCATACCATCGATAATATTCTTCCTCGCACTCTCACTCGCCACGGTTTTTCCAGCGAGATAATTCAACCATACCAACCGTCCGATACGCTCATCTCCAACTCTACCCAACCATGTCATCGGCTTCGTCTCACCAGGCTGATACACCATCCCCAACCCACCAAGCTTATCACGAAGCAAAAGCAACGTCTGGCCCTTGGGTACATTCTTCCGCACCCCTCCACCTAGCAATTTCTTAAACTCGGCTAGGGAGGCCCCGAATGAGTCATCTTCAAACTCAGTGTTGACTGGAGTACCTGACTTCTCTCCACCGGCCAGCTGTTTGACCCGTGAATTCGCCTTTTGGGCTCGTGCAGTGATAGCTCTCACCCATCCGTCACGCAGATGAAGGAAATCTGTGTTTCGTGTTGGCACGATTCGGAAAACGGTACGTATACCGCCTTGTCGAAGGATATGGTCCATTATCTGTTCGCCCTTTTCGGCTTCTAGCAAGGAGGTCTGGAGTGCTTCGCGCTCATGGGGTACGAGTGAGGTGGCTGCCGGTCCAGCATCAGTGGGAGCCACGCCTGGTACGACAGGATTGGCACCGTGTTGTATAAGTCGTGCCTGAAGGGCGGGAATGTCTGCCGTAGCTATATAAAGTCCCACAACGTAGACTTGGATGCTGAGGAATGAAACGGTGCGAAGCCCAAGGCCGAGAAGCTGGTATTCATCAGCCGTCTTGTCGTTTACGTTATCACTGATAGGTAGCTCGTCGCCGATTCTGACATCTGGGTTGCCGGTGTCAATTGTCTTGGGCAGGCGGATGGTTTTGGGGAAATTAGGTATCGTTGAGTTTCCTGTTGGGACCTGTTCGATGCCATCGATGATCACGGTAGAGGATTCATTCATTCCAGCCCCTGCTGGCCCCTCAAGTTTGATTGCTCCGCCATTCTTTGCCTTGTCTTGTTTGTCATTGGGGTTTGTTTCTGCGTCCAGTCCGCTGGGGAAATAATATGTCACGGCGCCGTACATGGCAATTGCACATGCTACTAGTCCAGCGGCCGATATGGCCATTGATCTTTTATGCTGTACATGCTGGTCACGGGCCGTCTTTGTGGAATACCGCACACTTTCCCTTGTGGCCGTCTTAGCAGTTGATGCCGCCGCTCGGGGGGTGTGGGAGGTAGAGAGCCATCGAGGCTGCTGCCGAAGGAGATTTCGCCGAGAGCATTGTGTGAGCTGCCGACAGAGGGAGATATGGAGGGATGGAGGAAGGGAATTCATGACTGCGGCATCAAATGCTGTTGTCTAGTTGATATTAAACCTGTGGGCTAACCTTTCGAATCAGTTATCTAACTACATAGTACTGGGTTGGCAAGAATTGTGATGTTTGCCATGTTTGCATACTAACAATACTTCTCTTCAAAGTCAGAACTTCTTCGATTTAGCTAACTACAGAACACGGGCGGATGGAGAAAAGAGAATTGAAATTTTATGTAAATTGAAACCGGGTTTTATCTAATACGGAGAGGGAGACGATGAGTGGTGTTTTTGTGGATTCTCATATGCCCGCAAGAAAAAAACACCTCGGAGAAATGGGAAAGGTATTTATTTATTCGAGGGAGAAAGTAGAGTAAAAGAAAAACCGTCATCTCTTTTTCTCTCAACCATCAGAAACCATTTTTTTGTTCATCATCATAGTTGTCGTTACATCAAGAGGTAGGTTAAATGATTTACTTCTTGGCGGCCTTAGCGGCGGACTTGGTGACCTTACCGGTACCAGTGGACTTCTCGACAGCCTCTGTAGAGATGAATTAGTATTATGCAAGTGATGGCTTGAGGTGGTACTTAGGGTGGAAACTTACTGATGACACCGACGGCAACGGTCTGTCTCATGTCACGGACGGCGAAACGACCAAGTGGTGGGTAGTCAGTGAAAGCCTCAACGCACATGGGCTTGGATGGAACCATGGTGGCAATAGCGGCATCACCAGACTTGACGAACTTAGGGCTGGTTTCGACGGATTTACCAGTACGGCGGTCAATCTTCTCAAGAAGCTCAGAGAACTTGCAAGCAATGTGGGCAGTGTGGCAGTCAAGGACTGGGGCGTAACCAGCACCGATCTGGCCGGGGTGGTTGAGGACGATGACCTGGGCCTTGAAAGAGGCGCAGCCAGCTGGTGGGTCGTTCTTGGAATCACCGGCAACGTTACCACGGCGGACTTCCTTGACAGAGACGTTCTTGACGTTGAAGCCAACGTTGTCACCGGGAACACCCTGGACGAGCTGCTGGTGGTGCATTTCGACGGACTTGACTTCAGTGGTGACGTTGGCGGGGGCGAAAGTGACAACCATACCAGGCTTGATGATACCAGTCTCAACACGACCGACTGGTACTGTTCCGATACCAGAGATCTTGTAGACATCCTGGAGTGGGAGACGGAGAGGCTTGTCGGTGGGACGAGTGGGCATGTCAATGGCATCGATGGCCTCAAGGAGGGTCTTACCAGAGGATTTGCCACCGGCCTTGGTCTCCTTGTTCCATCCCTTGTACCATGGGCAGTTGGTGGAGGGCTCAATCATGTTGTCACCGTTGAAGCCAGAGATTGGGACGAATGGGACACCCTTGGGGTCGTAGCCGACCTTCTTGATGAAGTTGGTGACTTCCTTGATGATTTCACCGAAACGGGACTCAGACCAGTTGGTGGTGTCCATCTTGTTGATGGCAACGATGAGCTGCTTGACACCGAGGGTGAAAGCGAGCAGGGCGTGCTCACGAGTCTGGCCATCCTTGGAGATACCAGCCTCGAACTCACCAGTACCGGCAGCAATGATGAGAATAGCGCAGTCGGCCTGGGAGGTACCAGTAATCATGTTCTTGATGAAGTCACGGTGCCCGGGGGCATCTACTTTTTGTTAGTTACTGGTCGCAACTATAAATGGGAAACAGATAAAGCATACCGATGACGGTGACCATGTACTTGGGGGTCTCGAACTTCCAGAGGGCGATATCAATGGTGATACCACGCTCACGCTCAGCCTTGAGCTTGTCAAGAACCCAGGCATACTTGAAGGACTTCTTGCCCAACTCTTCGGCTTCCTATAGATGGTTCATTAGCATCAAGGCATAAAAGAGAAAAAAGCAAATCTGAATGTGAATTGCGGCTCGATCGTTGCCTGTGGTGATGGCGGTGTTGTTGGTGGGGGTTGCAGATTTTGCTGCCCAAGCGAGCGCCAAGCCACATCCCACCGCCAGAGAAAAAAAGCACACATAGTAGGTTGAAAGGGCGAAAAGCAATATAGAAGGTAGAGAGAGCAGCCTTTACCTTCTCGAACTTCTCAATGGTACGCTGGTCGATACCACCGCACTTGTAGATCAAGTGTCCTGCATTGACTTAATCAGTTGTGTGTCCTTTTTTAATGGTGTTGAGATCTCTGATAGCTGGCTTACCAGTAGTGGTGGATTTGCCGGAGTCGACGTGGCCGATGACGACCAAGTTAATGTGAGCCTTCTCGTCCTTACTGAAGAGCTGTTAGTCCTAGTACTGTGAAGATTGAGAGATATGGGAGTATATACCCCATGATGACGGTGTTTTTTTGTTTGTGTGTTTTGAAGTCTTGTAGTTCTTTGGAAGATACTAGAAGAATTCAGCAGAACGCTCAGATACTACGGCCGATTTGCGTAGAGGTGCTGCGAGTAAGTTAGCTATCTTGATGATAGAAGAGAGAGAGGAAGGGAACCAGATGTATATGGGAAGGGAGAGACGTACTGAAGCAGACGAAGGAGAGAAAGGGAAAAAAAAGAAGAAGAAAAGAATTTTTCTGTGTGAAGGCGACGAGCGAGGGGCCTTTTTGTATATGGCGGGGCGAGGGGCGCGGACAGCTAAAAGAGGACTAGCGAGATGACACTAAACCCAATCAGGTAGGCGGCGGAGGGGCAAGACTTTTCTTCTCACCCCACTATGAAAATTCTGACAGTTGAAGATATGAACAAGATGATGCGAAAAATTGATGTTTATGTATAGAGATTGATATTACAGAGTTAGATGATATATATGGAGTCGGCGGTTAATGAGTTAAGACTACAGTCTACGAGAAGGTCATGTGTATTAACTGACCAAGGCTGTGTTATTGTGCTTTCTTGCATCTATCGATTAGCACCTCTTGTCCTTGGGGGTATCAAGTTACGTGTCCTGGTGGGTTATCCCGGTGGGTGCTTGGGCGACTTGGTGGCGCCGAAGTGACGCGGGCGTAGAAGTTTGGGCAGGCGGGACAAGGGCAAGTTCCGCTGCCAGGGCCTTGCTTGGTTAGGAGGATAAAGCTCGTGAGTAGAAACGCGAAGAGAGCCTCTGGCGGAAAAAAAGAGTACCAAAACAGCACTAATTCTCTCTCCAGCGAGTGCCACACACCGAACACTGCGCATCATCAGTATATGTATATGAGTCACAGAAGGAAATAGAGGGACAAAGGCACCTTGTAGAAGGTCGTCATAGGCTCGTCTGCACTTCTGATCTGCAATTGGTAAAAGAACGCACGATCACCCTCACAGCCTTCGGCGGGGCATTGGGCTGCAGTGCGGATGTCAGTTTGGTTTTTGTAGACAATGTAGAAGGGAAGGAAAGATAGTGAGAATATACCGGGCATGCTGTCTGCGTTCTTCCACTCGTCTTTCCCACCCATCACATCGGCCACCTCTTTGCGCTTCATCTCGGTGCGCTCATAGTATGTTCTGTCCAGAGCATACTGGTATGGACAGGTACGGCATTCGAATCGATTGACGCCCGCCGGGTAGCGTGAGGTTGGGGGAGCTTTGGAGATGGTCAACGCGTTGCTACAGTTTGGACAGACTGGGAAATGAGGCAAAGAAGTTAGCTATTATCATAGACAAAAGTTCATATATATGGTAAAGGTGAAAACGAACATGTCAATGGCATTGTGAACGCGAGATCTATCTGGTAGTAAGCCTCGATCTTTGTCTTGAAGTTCGTCAAAATAGGAGGAAAATGTAGGATTACTAATATAGGTATTCCGGTTGGCGCGCTAGGCGCTAACGAGCTAGCTCAACAATTATAGTTAGGTTAGCCGCCAAACTTAGTCTCAACGCTGAATTTTGCCAATATGTAAATCTCCAACTTCATGGCTCATGATGTATTTGAACGATGGAAATGGCAGTTAAAATCACCAACTGCCCACCTGATACAGCCTGCACCGCTAACGATCAGATTAATGAGCTCCAACCGTGTGGCCTTGAGGAGATATAGTTGACTTAAACTCACCCTTTGGCCATTTCACACTCCTCCACCCCATTCCTATAGTGCCTAAAATCCTAATGGCCGCGGTTATGATATCCCACCATAAGCGCTCGAACAATGGCATCATTATACTCCGTACACGGCTATCCACTAACACAAAGGCGGATCCGCCCAAGACTTGTAAGAATCCCACAGCGGTAGTACTCACGGCTGCATCGTTGAAAGCGAGGACAGCCTGAGCAACTATGGCGCCCTGTTGAAAACCTATACCCACACCTAAGCCATAGAGAAATGATAATCCCCCGTTTGGAAGTGTTAAGTAACAGGTAGAGACCAGCTCCAGATGGATATCACACCGAGCTAGCTAGGAAAAGGGGCGTAGTAGCCGAATCGAATGACCAGACCACTTGATATGGTAATCCACACAATTTATAACAGAATCAGTGGTAAGTTATTCACCCATTCAGTGGCGGCGTCAATTGCTTTAATCGCGTGAACCTGCATGGGAGATGGGTTAGCATTGCTACACCACCTAGAGATAAGATCTATGGAAAATCATCCAGATCGGGACAAATGAACAAGGTGAAGAAAGATGCGCCTGGGCAGATCTCGAAAAACGGCGTACACGTAATGGCCCGCTACCGGGCGACAGAGATGGGCACAGTCGCATCCTTTTTCAGGAACCATTGAAGCACACAAAATACGATGAAACTTAGTCCAAATACGGTGAGCAGGACGCTAGACCAGGCATAAGTTGTTCCACCCCCTGCGAGTGCGAGCAGAAGATAAACGATGGAAAGGACAAACATGACACTTCCAATAGGTTTTAGACTCAATAGAAGCTCCGGCTATGGCCTTTGTGCTTTCTGCCGCGGCTTTAGATTAAGAAATACCAATAGGCCCAAAACCACCACGGCGCCTATCGGAAGATTGGTATAGAAACACCAGCGCCAGGTCACTTTGCCCGTGAAGGTGCCTCGAACTTGTGACTAAATGGTTAGTTTAGCTAGCCGAGCAGAGCACTGATGGATATTTGAGATACTACCGGAGAAGACTTACGAACGGCCCAACTAGGAGCTCCGAATATCCTTGCTTCTCCTACTAGCCTTGGTTCGGGTTTTAGATAGTGTCTTGTCATGGCCTCCTCCCAAGCGATAATAATTATATTACTACTTGGTCTTTTGATATCAACTGATATGGCTCGTTTGATCTCTCTGTTGGAATTATCCAATCCACCAGGAGATATCGTGGTTGACTTTTGCTCTCGGCCTCAAAAATGCACTATTGGCCATCATACATCTCTCCCTCGTGGTCGATAGCGAGGACAAGGATGCGTCAGCTTGTTTCGATCCCTCGGGGGTGTCGGTAAGGGCAGCTCATTTGGAGACAAACTGGCACCGTACTCTCACGTTATCTGCCTTGATGGCAAGGTGATTTTCGAAATTGCAAAATGCTTCCTCACGAGGAAGCCCAAATCTATTCATAACGAGTGCCTGGGTTGAACAAGAGAAGTAGATGAAGGGTGTATATTTATTCCGCGGGGTAATAGTTAATGGCCAGCGGGGAATATTTAAATATCGACTGTTTTCTGGTTTCATCTACGTAAGTCACTACATACAACTACCACGTCCAACCATTGTTTAGTAAGTGAATAGCTGGTACGATTCATTTGAACTCGACATGAAAGTTGCGATCGCTGGTTACGGCGACTTGACTCGCTACATCTGCGAAGAGTTCGTTGAAGCTGGCCATGAGCTCCTTATATTGACACGGAGCTTCAAGCCACAACTTGAAAGGCAGGGCATCTCTCAGGCCATCACGGATTATACTCTATCATCTTTGAATAGCCCGCTAGCCGACTGTGAAGTGTTAATCTCGACAATCTCTGACATGTCAACAGCCTATACTGACGTCCACCGCTCACTCATCCTGGCATGTCAGGAGAGCCCAAAGTGCAAACGCTTTATTCCCGCGGAGTTTGCAGCAAACATCGAAGATTATCCGGACGAACCTGGCTTTTACTACGCTATACACGAACCTATTCGTGAGATGCTACGGGGCCAGACAGATTTAGAGTGGACTTTGGTCTGCATTGGCTGGCTGGCAGACTATTTCGTGCAGAGTAAAAATCGGTACATCAAAGATATTGACGAGTGCCACCCTATAAACTGGGCGGCTAATAAGGCTGTGATCCCAGGGACCGGAAACGAGCCAGTGGATTTCACCTGGGCACGCGATGTTGTAAGAGGGCTGGCGTCGTTAGTGAAGGCACCGCCAGGTTCATGGGAACCCTATACCTTCATGTCAGGAGAGCGCAGCTGCTGGAACGACATGGTCAAACTCATTAAGCAAAATTACCGCCCTGATATCCCGATAGAGCATGTTTCGTTGCATGCCACAGCAAATATGATCAAAGCAGCTAAAGATGAGGACACACTTATCCTAGCCGACTATTATCTATTGTCTATCAGTCAGGCATGCGCAATTCCCCCGAACAAGGCTAAAGCCCATAAGGAGAAGTATTTTTCGACTGTTCACTTTCGAGCTTTACAGGAGGGCCTTTCTCAACTTGATGATAAACCTGATTTCATCCTGTAAAGAAGTAAAACCGCTGTTTTATGGGGTATCAACGACGAGGTCTTTTGGAGGTTACAATAAATATATGAATCTAACATGCAATTGTTCCTTTCCCAAGATAAGACAATAAATCTACTAGTTATGAGTCTAAATTCAATCCTAAGCCTGTGATCCTTATATTTTACAAAGAACTATGTGTAAATTTACTATAACTAGGATAAGTAACATGCCTATGTAATGATGTTAAACAGAAATTGTAATTTGTAAGGGAATCAACGCAAGTGGAAGGTACCATTATCATCTAAATCCAATTAACCGAAGTATGCGAAGTATGCGTAGTAGCCTAGTTTGCCACCCTATTCTTGAGCTTTACTCATGTCCATTTTCTTCCTTCGCAGCAGTAATGCAGTTTAAGTACTTATGTACGTATCCCTCATCCATCAACGGAACGGGATAAATGTCCAATCCAAGGACATGTTTGCCAATAGGACTCCCTTTCATTAAAGCACCAGCAGTTTCATCGGTATAGCCATCGAGAATAGTAGTAATGCGGGCTAATGAACCTTTCGGATGCGCTATAGCATACTCTAGTGCTCGACGATGCCAATCACTGAAGGGAATAGTCACTTTATTACCGCTAGCGACGCCCATAATCCCGAAGAAGTGATCAAATGTAGGTGCATGCGGGTTAATAAAGTCATAGTCCTCCCCAATTCGCCCCTGATCCTCGGTCATAATAGTTGCAATGGTATTGCACAAATAATCGACAGGAAGGACACTAGATAGGCTAGAATTTAGGGAAGGAAAAGCGCCCAAATCTAGACTTCCAGTAATAAGATTATTTAAAAAGTCACCGCGATCGAGTCGGAAACGACCGTTGGTGGCTGAGGCAGCGACAAAGGGTAGACGATAGGACGATGCTGCGGCTCCACGGAAACGAGCTGCCACAATCATCTTTTCGGCAAGATATTTGGAGGTACCATAGCCATATTCTCCGTCAAGTTCAGTGAGGCCGTAACCTACGTGAATAGGTAGTGTGGAGATGGTGGATATAAAATGTACTGCCTTTCCACGACCACGAGAGGCAAGGCGCAGGATTTCGTGAGTACCAAGGATATTGGGGCCAATATAGTCTTCCAATGGACGCATCCAATCGACGAGAGCCCCAGAATGAAGTATAGCATCAGCTCGATTGGCTATATCATTGAAAACATCTTCATGAAGGCCGAGAAGTGGCTGGGAGAGATCACCGGCCACCGAGTTCAGCAGTGGCTCATACTCGGGCTTCCAAAGACTGTATTTTCTCAGGGTTTTGATCACCCGTTCTTGTGCCAGATTGGGACTGCTAGCACGCACCAGACAGTACACAGAGATACTCCTTTTAAGAAACTCGTATACCATGAATGCACCAACAAAGCCTGTTGGTCCTGTCACGAAAACACTCGAAGGGGCATTGAAACACGTAGTTGGGTGTTTTATTATGTTTTCAAAATGGAATCGCGGGTCAAGGACACCTCTATTGATGGCTGCCATATCAACGTAAGAAGCAGTTGCTATATTATTTGGTACTGTGCCATTAGCCTTTGTCTCGCCATTAGCCTTAGACACACCATTGATTTTGGATACGCCGTTAGTCTTTGGTACACCGTTGGCTTTTGGCGCACCATTCGAACTTGGAGCACCGTCAGCTTTTGGAATATCGTTAACTTTTGGCGCGCAGTATGAGTCAATTCCAATGTCATTTTGTAACTGGGATAGCAGAAATTCACTAAGTGCTATCAGATTCGGGCGAAGAAGAGCAATGTTGGGTGGTAGCACCATGCCAGTCAATGTCGCTAGATGGTTACGCACTAAAACTGCAGTTAAGGAATCAACTCCCAGTTCTTTCAGAGGTTGGCTCGCGTCTATATCGTCCATTCGGGTATACCCTAAAGCCTTGGCTATGGTACCTTGAACCGTGCGCAACATGATGCTTCCATGCTGCTCAGGAGCAGAGTCGATCAACATATTGCGCAAGTTGGTGGCTGTATCAACCGAATATTTGGCCTTATTTTGTCCTAAAATTGAGCATAGGAAGGATGGTACACCACCCTGTTCTTCGTAATATGACCTTAGCCGCTCCAAGTCGAGGACAGCGGCAACGGTGAGCGTACGGCCCTGGTGAACTGCCTGTTCGAATAGTTTCAAACCGTCTTCTGGTGAGAGAAAGCCCAGTCCAAGTTGTGAAAGATGGGCACGAGTTGTTGAGAGAAGAGTGGTTGCCATACCGTCTCCGCCCCAGACACCATATGCCACTGAGGTGGCAGGTAGGCCCTGAGCGCGTCGAAGGTGAGCGAGAACATCAATAAATGAATTAGCAGCAGCATAATTTCCTAGACCTGGCAAGCCCATGATACCAGAAATAGACGAAAACATCATAAAGACGTCTAAATCCATATCCTTGGTTAGTTCGTGTAGATTCCATAGGCCGTCTACCTTTGGCGCGAAAGTCGTGGAACATTTCTGGGGCGTCAAAGAAGACAAAATGCCCGAGTCAACTACCCCAGCGGCATGGATTACACCCCGTAATGGTCTATCGGCTGTAAATAACTTCATAACAGACTTGAGGCTATCAAGATCTGCGACATCACCGCCGATTATGGTAACCTTGGCGCCCAATTTACCAAGCTCAGCCACAAATGTACCAGCATTGAGAGACTCCATGCCATGTCGTGACATGATAACTACGTCACGGACTCCGTGACAACTTACCAGTCTGCGGGACACACGGCCTCCAAGATCACCAAGACCTCCGGTAACCAAAACCGCCCCATCAGTTCGAAGCAATGGTTGGCCAACTGGCGTTGGGAGCATGGTAGCGCGCTCCAAATGAGGCACAAGCAGCTGTCCCTTACGGATAGCAATTTCTGCCTGGTTATCCAGCATCAATGCCATGCCAAGAGCATCGAAGCTAGTATCGTCACCAATATCAATCAAGTGAAGGCGTAACTCTGGGTGCTCGCTTCTTGTTGTCCGCATCAAGCCCCACAGCGGCCCGGCCCCGATCCCAGTTGGCTGGTCATTAGTGCCTGCACCAACGGCATGGCGGGTGACCCAAACCACTGGCGCCGCAAACCCAGTCTTGCTTACTTCCTGTAGATGAGCCAGGGCTGTTGCTGTGAAGCTGTGTGCCATTTGAATAACATCCGCATTAGAATCCCATAGGGAGAGCACACCGTCGAGCTGCTTAGCCTCCTGTGGTTTCGTAACAGGAACTAGCTTAACGCCCGTGTTTGATAAGGCATTTTGGGCCATTTTCATCCATGCAGTTTCATTGGAAGGATAGAGAAGACCCCACGTACCGCGAGTTTGGGATTTGTTTGTGCTAACTGGACGCCAATTTATTTCGAACATCATACTTTCAACATCATTGATAGCTCCGGGGGTATCACAGCTCCGTGAGAGGTTACCAAACAAATTGGGTACTTCTGCGGGCTGGAAACTCTCTCGCTGGAAGGCGTAAGTAGGGAGACCCACTCTTTGGCAACCAAAAGGCTTAAAGAATTCTGACCAGTCAATCGCTACATGTCGGGTGTGCAACTCATTGATGCTGTTTTGGATAACTGAAATTGCATCCACGTCTGGCCGCAAAGAGGGAAGCCAAAGGGCAGTGTTCACTTGAGAAGTGTCGGTAAGACATGATGCACCCAGACCACAAAGCGTTGGGCTAGGCCCAAGCTCCAGGAAGACGTTAGCACCCTGCTTAGCAAGCTCTTGGAAAGCGTCACTAAATCTAACAGCATTGCGGGCCTGTTGAACCCAATACTCCGCTTGTTGAAGCTCACCAACCTTTGCTAGTTCACCGGTCATGCTGCTGATAATGGGTATCTTTGGTGGGTTGAATTGGAGGTTTTGGGCTACAGCCCTGAAATTATCGAGCATGTCATCCATGTGAGATGAATGGAAAGCGTGGCTAGTGCCGAGTACCTTGGTCTTGCGGCCCAACTTGGCCATATGGACTGCCACAGCATCAACAGCCTCGGAATCTCCAGATATAACAACCTGTGAAGGTGTGTTATAGGCCCCTATTTCAACCTTATCACTCTGTCCCAGTTCTTTGATTGTGGTTTCGACCTCAATACTGCTTGCTTCTATTGATGCCATCTTACCCTGACTAGGTAAGGCCTGCATCAAGCGCCCGCGCATCATTACCAGCTGACAGGCATCGGGTAAACTTAGAACACCTGCAACATGAGCTGCTACAATTTCTCCCACGCTGTGCCCCAGAATATAGTCAGGATGCACGCCCCAGCTCTGCCACAATCCCCAGAGAGAGACCTCAAGAGCAAATAATGCAGCTTGGGTAAAATCGGTACGGTTTAGCAAAGAAGCATTGGTACTCCCGGGCTCAGCCCACATGATATCAAGGAGGGGTGACTCCAGGCCGGAGAACAAAGCTGCAATATTGTCCAGAATATTTCTGAAAACAGGATAAACAGCATATAGATCCTTGCCCATCCCTAATCGCTGACTGCCTTGTCCGGTAAAAAGGATTCCCACACTTGCCTTACCGACTTCGTTCCCATTGAGAAACTTGCCAGATCCGGAGCTTACAGATGCTAGTTCTCCTAGCAATTGTGCCTTATCACTTGCAACCACCACCACCCTCCGCTGAAAGTGTGTACGAGCGGTAGCTAGAGAGTAGGCGATATCACTGAGACAATTATCCTTTCCAATGCCGCTCCCAACATGTAACCGAAGCTTTTCAGCCTGCGCCCTAAGTGCAAAATCACTATGACCTGACAGTAGAAATGGGATGGCAACAGGGAGCGCGAGAGGTGTGGCGTAGCCACCTTTTTTCAAGATGGGCCTAGGTGACTCTTCAACGATGACATGAGCGTTTGTACCACCAATCCCAAATGCGCTCACACCAGCCCGGCGAGGTCGGCTATCACTAGGTAGCCAGGGTTGGTTGGTAAGGACCAATTCTATGTTGGCACTCTCCCAGTCCACCTTTCTGGTAGGTTTGCTTATGTGTAGGGTTTTAGGTAGAACATTGTTTTGCATGGATAAAACTACCTTTAACAAGCCTGCGAGGCCAGCTGCGGCTTGAGTATGTCCAATGTTCGATTTGGCGGAACCTAGCCGTAGAGGATGTGATATAGAACGTCCAACTCCAAAGACTTCGGCCAACGCAGTTGCTTCAATAGGGTCGCCGAGCTTGGTGGCAGTACCGTGTGCCTCAATATAGTCAATATCACTTGGTTCCATGGCAACCCGGCCTAAAGCAGTTCGGATTAGTTTTACTTGGCCGGGGCCGCTAGGAACGGTTAGACCAGCGCTGTATCCGCCATGCATAACTGCAGTACCGCGTAGCACTGCACAGACATGATCACCGTCGCGCTGAGCATCAGATAGGCGCTTTAGAACCATAACAGTGGCACCTTCGCTAAACCCCGTTCCATCCGTGTCATCTGAGAAAGCTCTACAGTGGCCATCCGTCGAAAGGCCGCGGAGCTTGCTAAATTCAATATGTATACCTGGGTTGAGCAGAAGGCTTACACCGCCAACTAGGGCCATGTCGCACTCGCCGTGGCGTAAAGCATTGCAGGCCAGGTGAGTGGCTACTAAAGATGAGGAACAGGCCGTATCAACTACTAGAGACGGGCCTTCCAGGCCAAGAATATACGACAGGCGGCCGGATATGGTGGCGCTAGCACTTCCTGTAATAGAGTAGCCCTTGAGGTCAGGTGGTATATTACTTGTTGTTCCATTACTGCTGACACCAATAAAGACACCCGTTGTGCTCCCACGCAGCTGTTTTTTAGTATAGCCAGCTCGTTCAAAACCTTCCCAGCATAGCTCCAGCATTAGATTCTGTGCCGGGTCCATTGCCCGTGCCTCACGGGGAGATATTCCGAAAAATGATGCATCATATGAGTAAATGGAGTCCAGAAAGCCACCTCGGCGACAGTATGACGTGCCATCAACATCAGGATTGGTGTCGTAAATCTTATCAGCATCCCAACGGTCCTTGGGCACATCAATTACTGCGTCTCTACCACTTTGCAGCAGCTGCCAGAAATCCTCTGGCGTCGTCACACCACCGGGTAATCGGCAAGCCATAGAAATCACAGCAATATCTTCATTACTACTAGTGAGTCCGTGGCCTGCTACCTGAGATTCACATTTGCCGTTTTCCTTACCCATATCAGCCAGATATGCGGCCAATGTCTTTATCGTGTAGTGCTCAAAGAGTTTTGGTGTTGGTATAGGCCGGTGCAGCAGTCTCTCTAATACTGCTTGCATACGGATAACGCGCACAGAATCACCGCCCAAGTTGAAGAAGTTATCTTCTATGCCAATTCGATTGTGGCCAAGGATATCGGACCAAATGGCCAGCAATTGCTGCTCCAACTCGGAGGTAGGCTGCTTCGAAGCCTGGCTCTGAATAGCCTCTATCGGATTAGGAAGTGCCTTACGGTTGACTTTCTCGTTAGGTGACAGCGGTAGAACATCCATTTGCACGAAGAATGCCGGCAACATGTAGTTTGGCAGGCGGTCAGCAACCCATGGCCGTAAGAGGGTATCAAGTGAAACTGTGCCGCTAAGGGCCTTATCCAGAACGCAGTAAGCAACAAGACGATCATCGTGGCTAATAACAACTGCCGCAGATATGCTCGCGTGGTCAACCAGAACCGCTTCGATGTCGCCAACGTCGATACGGTGGCCGCGGATCTTGACCACTCCATCAATGCGGCCGACGACTTGGAGTTTTCCTGGCGCAAGAAACCGGCCGAGGTCCCCGGTACGGAAAAACCTTCCGCCGTGAAAAGGGTTGGCGAGGAAGCGCGCGCGTGTAAGCTCGACGTTGTTGCGATATCCGTTCGAGACGCTGCCGCCGCCGATATATATCTCGCCCTCGTGGCCGATGGGCGCAGGAGACAGGTTGTCGTCGAGGACGTAGATTCGTCCGTTAACGACAGGGTTACCAACGACGATGTCACCCTCACCGACTCTTCCAACGCTTCCATAGGTCGTCTCAGAGGGGCCATACACATTCCATACCGAATCAGCAGACGCAAGCAGGCGGTCTGCTAGCTGGCGAGTGAGTGGTTCACCACCGCAGATAATCTTGGAAAGTCGTGGATTCCCGTTCCATCCAGATTCAAGGAGCATTGTCCACGTTGCGGGTGTGGCTTGCAAAATGGTGACCCGATGGCGCTTTATCAACCCGAGGAGCTCGCGTGGGTCCTTAACTGCCGTGGTATCTGCAATGACCATTGTGGTACCAGAAACAAGGGGCAGCAGCAGTTCTAAGGCTGACATATCAAAAGATATTGTCGTGATTGCAAGCAATATATCATGCTCGTTGCAACCTGGCTCATACTTCCGTAGCGAGCTGAGGAAATTAGCGGCCGCACCATGACTGATTTCGACGCCTTTTGGCCTCCCAGTGGAACCAGATGTATAGATTACATATGACAGGTCGTGAGGTTGGATCTCAGCTTCGATGTTAGACACATCAGTGATTGAATGTTCTCTTGCCTCGTCGACACTCATGCATAGATCTATCCAGCTCGCCAGGCCCTTGCTCGGAGTGCCACTAAGAAGGATAAGCTTAGGACTAGCATCGCTAACCATTTGGTTGATGCGTTCTGCGGGGAATAATGGGTCGATAGGAACGTATGCTGCGCCTAGCTTGAGAACAGCCAATATGACCGTGATTAGGTCAATGGACCGTGATACGGCAAGGCCGACCACATCACCATGCTTTAAACCTCGCTTTATGAGGCCTCGAGCGAGTACATTTGCGGACGCATTGAGTTCGCTAAATGATATCGATGTTTCCCTGTGAATGAGGGCAGTGTTATTAGGAAAACTATCAACAATTTTCTCAAATAACTGGTCTAAGCGGCCGCCCAGCAATGAGCTATCTTCTGCGGCATTAAATTTGTTAATGAGACTGTGGTAGTCTCGGTCCGAGATACCATTCGTCTTTATTTGGCTAGACATCTCGAAGAAGGCGAGGAAAAGAAGAGATGTTAATTAAGAGATCAGTTGGGGTTTTTAACAGTGAGTATTCTTTGTTTGGTGTGTCTATTTTCATATGTTGACCCTAGGTGAAATTGATATATAACACAAAAATAGAATAAGGTGACTTGTATGAAGTAGATGAGAAGCGTTATCGGAGTGGCTTTGCGTCTTGTTTGATTGACTGGGCGTGCCCACATGGGATATCGTTCCCGAAGGGGTACAAAAATCGACATTAACCGAGGACCTTGCTACTTTGACTTCAAGGCAAGGGCGGCCAAAAAATTGATTGCTGCATCCGGAGATACCAGAGGACTCAGATTTACCATTATAGAGCATTGGCCATATCGTGTCGATTCCAGGTAGGCTTTCTGCAAGCTCATTATCCCGCAGAAAAATGCCAACGCAAGGCAATCCACCACTAGGTGACCGCCATATGCTCACTCACTCATTCAACACTAAGATACACATTATCATTTCAACCATCCCCTTGCCCGTAGCTCCGTATAGGAACACGATCCGTCAGGTCCAGAAAGGGCCGAAGCTTTTTCGCCAAATAATGCCCAAGGGGCCAAAAGTTTGATATCGCTACATAGTATGGAACCGACGGGTAATAATAATAAACAGTTATATACGCAGGCCCCTACGTTCATACAAAGGTAAAGCTACTTGCTGGAAGTTTCGTGGTCAATTTCTTGTGATTATGCATGCAGAGGTATATGCATGCGTCTTTCAAGGTGTAGCGTACACTACGCTCCGTCGCATCATCTCGAAGCAGAGGAAACTAGTTCCGAATAAGTTTTAACTGATGCATCTATCCAGTTCATCCCCATGTCATCCCGTTCCCGTCCCCGAATACTTATTTCTACCCCTGACCCTAATTACTCCTTTCCAACAAACTATGCCCTGTTTCAGGAGTATGATATCTATGTCTTCTGCCAGCGAACATCTGCCGGAGTCGCATACATTTGGATGCACTTCCGGGCCGTATTTTGGTTTAGTATCGGGACTGCATTTTGGGTATCCCGGAGATAAGGCGGTTGCTGCACTACGGAAAAAGTCGATCGCCAAAAGATAAGTGGTTAGGCGGTTTTTAAACTCGCCTGCAGGTTGTTAGCTGGGGCCTGCAGATCGTCTAAAGGATTCAAGTCACCAAGTTCCCTTGTCTCTTAACCCTTGCTTACATTGATGACAAGGCAATTTCTACCCGTCCGCCCGTATCTTGAGCGCGTGGGGTGTGAACCACGCCATCCTTGGTTCTACAAGGTTCCGATACCTAAATATATATCTACTCTTGAATTGATCATGTTGACTATCATCACTCGACTGCCTATCTCCCCCACCTTGTCGGCCATTTCTTTCCGTGACGCTTCAATCATCATCTCAGATTTCGCCTTCCCAGTCATCTATTCATCCTATGTTGGCAGAGGAAACAATGGGGCAAGCTGCTAAGGACGAGAAGTATTCTGCTACTCGTTTACTTTCTCCGATTGATGCTTCCTACCAACCAGCGAGAGCTATCACCAAAATTCCTGCTACTTCTTCTCTAGAGGAGATTCTTGAGAACCTCGAGCGAGATGGAGGTGTTATTCTGACTGATTTTGTTTCATTGGAAACGTTGGACCAGATTGATAAGGAGCTTGAACCTCATACAAAGCCCATTGTCGATAATGATTCATATGATAACTTCATTGGAAAGAAGACCCTCGTTATTCCTGGCTTGATCTCGAAGTCAGATACCCTCGCCAACATCCTTGACTCGAATGAGACTATAGAGAAGCTCCTCAAAGTAATTTTGGAGGAGAGATATCCGGCAGTTTTTGAGGGACACACTGAAGAGCTTGTCGTTGACCCATTACTGAGTATTTCCATGGGTTTCCACGTTGGTCATGGCTCTCCCCGCCAGGCACTACACAGGGACGACATGATTTTTTCCAGTAAACACCGTCCCGACATGAAGATTAATGAAGTAGACGGTTTCAGTTGCTTTTTGGCAGGAACCAGGATCACCCGTGAAAATGGCGGTACGATGGTCATTCTAGGTTCTCACAAGTGGGAGCACGACAGGCGTGGCAAGCCTGAAGAAGTTTCATTCCTTGGTAAGGCTAATATGTTATAAATCCCCATTGTTTTTCGGGACTAACATGGCATTCAGAGATGGAGAGAGGCTCGGCTTTCATTTTCCTCAGTACCATGGCTCATGGTGCTGGATACAATACTATTCCAGGCGAGGTTCGTAAGATTATGAATCTCGTCTTTTGCCGAGGAACTCTACGTCAGGAGGAGAACCAATTCTTGTGTAATCCTCGAAGCAAAGTCCTAAAGATGAGTCCAAAGCTACAAACTCTGCTTGGATTCAAGAAGCCAGCAGGCACTTGGTTAGGAATGGTTGAAAATGATGACCCTGCGAAAGATCTTGCTGCTATTTATGAGAAGATGTTCAAATAGTGGAAATTTCCGCCCTCCCTTAAAATCCAATATTAACTATTTATGGCATATATTAAAATCTAACGGATGCATTCAAATGTCCATTTTACAAGTAGATGGGTAAGAAACTTGGGTAGCGTTTGATGAAGTAATTCTCGACTAAGAAAACACTTCAATATGACGTCGACTACGCAACTAGTTTTTCCTCAATTTTTGAGATCGAATAGGAGGGCCTTTCGACCATTGAATCATGTATCATTAACCGTATACATGTGAATAAAGTATACTATCTATATCCACCACTGCTCTGCCCCACGCTTGTTGTTCATCGTCCGCCTCTAACCAACCTTGACCGAATATTGACATGCCTTCGTTGGGCATTTATGTTTATGAGCGAATTAGACATGGTCAACTGCACTTAATTTCAGATCGATTGGTTAACCATTTACTTAGCTATATATATATAGCTATAATTCGAACACATCAATTTACTTTTCAGTCGAGCACAAGGAGATTGACAGATTTCAGATAATTAGCAGTCTCTGCACAATTACGTAGTTATATATCATTGGCTTTGTGGTTAGTTACCCTTTCTAAGTTTAAAAAGTAGCTAACCAGATGCTAAATCCTGTTGTTTGCCATTCTTTCAGGTAGCCACCTTTGGTGATACACTTATTCCGATTGCCACGATGTTAATAATTGGTTCTAATGAGGGGAGGAGACCCTTTAGGTGAGCAAGATCACCGGCTGTGTTTGAGGCGCATATGCAAGACTTGTCCAACCCTGTTTAATGTCGTATTTACAGGGAAACTTTCCTTGGGGGGCGGGATTTCAGTGATATAGCAAAATATGGCTAGAAATTGAGTGGAGAGCCTTGCATACCCTCAGGGATGTTTACTACAGCTCATTATCCGAGTATTAAAAGGTCCCGGCAGTCCAGTTTATTGTGAGCAATTACTCATCCCTCCGTTTCCATCCATTCAATTTGGACCCATGTTTATTTTGTTTTCTGGACATGATCTAAGTGCCGGCTCAACATAACAACTATCTCCAGCGTCGTGAGGACTGCGGGGACAGTTTAACCTCCCAATTTGACACGATTTCCAACCATTCGTTGACCAAGAAGCATAGAAGTTTGGGGTGTACTCTCTGAGTTGATGAAGCATATATGTCGATGATATCGTAACGGGAAACTTTCACAAGAACCCTCGGTACTCTAGCTAATTACTGAGTTACCCGGATATTTCGATTCCTAGTGTCTTTACGATCAGTATATGTTTCGGTCATCATGCACCTCGAATGCGAAAAGGCGCATGAAGTTGTGTTGGATGAAGTTAGGGATGCCGTCAATCTTCGGCCAACGCACTTCGGCAACTCCAAGAGACTGGCAAATAGATGGGATCATCGACTGAGTGAGGAGAGCCTATCACAAGGTGCATCGCCTCTAAAAGACTCCGTTAAAACAGTCACCCCGTCGGAAACAATCCCACTTGGGGTCGGAAGACCAGCTTCACTATTTTACCCGTGGCAATCCATGACTATGACCGGGACAAAGGAGTCGAACCCAACAAATGCCATGACATGCACAAAGGGGGAGGCAGCATTTGACCTTTCTTCTGCCTTAAACTATGCTGAGCCATCAGGCTGGAGTCAATTGGTAGCTTGTTTCCGGGAGAATACTCGTCTTATTCACAATCCCCCCTATCAGGACTGGGACACAACTCTTACATGTGGGTCGACATCTGCTATAGACTTAGCCTTACGCATGTTCTGCAACAGGGGTGACTGGATCTTGACTGAAATCTCTACATACACCGGTACGCTTATGGCATCGAGAGCTCAGGGTCTCAAAATTCAGGCTATCGAAATGGATGAGGACGGTCTACTACCAGATGATTTGGATAATAAGCTACGTAACTGGGACATGTCACGGGGTCGCAAGCCTTTTATTCTATATACTATTCCGTCTGGGCACAATCCAACAGGCATAACCCAACCCACAGCGCGAAAAGCAGCAATCTACCGAGTTGCTGAGCGGCATGATTTATTAATCATTGAAGATGACCCATACTTTTTCTTACGACTGAATGAATCCTCTGCATTACTGGATATTTATCCCCCTTTCTCATTGTTTGACAAACTGCGGAAATCATTACCAACATCATATTTATCTTTAGACAAATCTGGCCGAGTTATCCGTGTGGAATCTACCTCAAAAATTCTTGCTCCTGGCCTCCGCTGTGGGTGGCTAACAGCTAGCAGTCAAATAGTCGATATTTTTGCAAACTTGGTTGAAGTAGGGCCTGCATCACCCAGTGGGCCTTCACAAGTTATGCTATACAAACTGCTTGTTGAGAACTGGGGTCAAGAAGGCTTTGCTAACTGGTTAAACCACTTGTCAAGGGAGTATAGGTCAAGGAGGGATATTATGATTGCTGCATGCGCGAAGCATCTACCTACTGGGATATGTACATGGACGACACCATCACACGGAATGTTCTTGTGGATTACTATAGATTTAGAGAGGCACCCTGACTACACAGAGATGTGGACAGTTCAGTGCCTTGATGTTGAGGATAGGATTTATGAGCGAGCTGAGAGTAACGGGGTTATTGTTGCAAGGGGAAGCTGGTTCAATGTTGAAAAGCATGTGGATAAGGTGTTTTTCAGGATGACGTTTGTTTCTACGGCCTCACAGGATGACCTCGAACAAGGAGTTAAGCAGCTCAGTAAAGCTGTCAGAGACGAATTTAGGTTGCCGAGGCCATAACAAAGCGGCTGGATAGATAATTGCCAATCAAACCATGCTTAACAAATATGCAAAGCAAAAACATAACTGCCTGGAATTAATTGGTATCCTCTTCATTAGTCATTTTATATAAGTGAACAGTGGGGAAAGTCCATCAAGGTGCCAGGCTCATAATAGTGGCAGTTAATCCTAGCTATCTCAATCGACGAATAGGAGCTCAATTGGCATTTTGAGAAGTGGCTAGTTATCTATGTATACTATGTACTCCATACTCCGTTCAAGCTAGTTATTAGAGTTAAAGATAAGGTTATAACCTTGTTCAAGTTTAACGTTAACTAATTACCCGATATTCCCGGAGATAGCCGCTTCCCCTGTCACCTTTTAACTAATGAATGTACTACGGAGTATTTATATATGAAGTACATGACTTTACTACAAATGTACATACATACATATGCACATACATGTATGGTTGCCCAGGCCGCTGGGATCCACAGTTGTTTATATGTACACAGTACAGTCCGTAACTTTGCATTTATTGTACGACATGGTATGTACATGGCAGGTGTCCTGGTATCCCAGAGAGCCCGGCAGCTAAATTATATGAATAAACTGATTGTGCTGTTAAATGTTCAGTAATTTATAAAAAAATTCACTTAGTAAAGCCATACGATATTCCTTTTCTTGGCCACACAATGGTTGTTGTCGCCGTTGCTGGCGGTACTGGAGGTGTCGGTCGTACCGTTTTAGATGCTATTGCGAAGTCAGGTAGACACACAGCCATAGTGCTATCAAGAACTGTGAGTTTGCTAATACTATTTTTCTAATGAAACTGCGGTTAATATTACTCTAGGCGGCAGCAGCCGCGCCATCTAACGAACCAAGCCGTTTTGCTGTCGACTATAACAATGTCGAGCAGATGAAGAGTATTCTGCAAGATAACAACGTTGAAGTCGTTGTATCGGCCTTGCTTTTATCTGATGAAAATGTTGCACGATCTCAGATAAATCTGATTCAAGCTGCTGCTCAATCAGGAACAGTGACCAAATTTATCCCCAGTGAATACTACATTGATTTTCATGCTCCAATTCCGTGAGTTCTCTTCAGGTATTTTCTTACTACCGCACAACTGACTTGTGATGTACAGTGGTTCTGACTTGTTTACCAACTTTCAAATTGAGGCTGAGGAAGAGCTCTTACGACATCCACAGTTGACTTGGACCCTTATTAGGGTTGGGATCTTCCTCGATCATCTAACTATGCCTCATAATCCTAAGCCAACATATATTAGCCCATTCTGGGTATTCGTCGACATAGACCACGAGCGATGTGTCTTTCCTGGCGACGGATCACAACCACTTGTACTTACGCACTCAACAGACCTGGCAGCATATATAGAGTGTTTAATAGGACTTCCGGCCAAAGACTGGCCACGTGAAACCCTTGCAGCATCAAACAAGCTGCAGGTAAAGGACCTTGAAAATCTTCTTAAGAAAGTTACAGGTACCTTGGCTTACAATTCAGTTATATCGGTATATTCAAATTTCTAACATTGCCGATAGGAAAAGATTTCAATGTCACATACGATCCTGTAGAATCAATTCATAAGGGTCAGATCACCCCGTTACCTTCTAACGAGGCAGTGTTTGATGATCCTGCTAAGGGTGAATTGTTCCACGAAGTTGAGCTTCAGGTCATGCTTTCAATGCTGAGCAATGCGCATGACTTACCTGGAAAGAGTCTTGCAGCACTTTTTCCCGAGGTTCAAATAACAGATATTGAAGAATTCCTTACAGCAGGCTGGAAAATGAAGCAGAGCACAAAGCCATAGAACTTGTCAGCAGTGAAGACTAAGGGTTGAGATTCATACACATGAAAGCCACCGCACCCGCTACAATATGTAGTTATTACATAAAATTGAAGATCCTAAGCTAAACACTCCATTTCAGATTATACTGTTCGTGCTTAAAGTATTGTCACTGTTATCTATAATTATGTATAGATAGATTAATCTAACTGTGGAACAAGCCTTCCGTGGGATTCCTAGATAACGTATTCCCACTGGGCCTAGGAATAAATTTCTAAATATTAATAGATATCATGCTTTAGAGTAAAAATGACGCTCAATTCAGTATATATCGCACTTGCCTATCTACATCTCAATAACCCTATAATGCTTCCTCGCATACAAAAACCAAAGCGAGGCAATGAAAATAGCAATCAACACAAGGACTCCTGAAACATAATTCATCTGGCTTGGAATGACTTCTGAGTGCGCAGGGAAACAATAGAATATAAGAGCCACTAGAGTCCATGCAAGCATAATAATGTTGGCAAGAAAACCTAATTTGGGATACCAAAATGGCCCATGCTGAAAGTTAGATCTGCCCTGCCAAAGAACCAATATAGTAGGAATACTATAGCTGGTATATTGCAGTAAAATGCCAGTTGCGATAAGTGAATTGAAGGCCAGTTCGGAAGCAAGATAAAGACAACCAAATAAGGCTGTGCCGACGGCTGATCCAACGAGAGACCAGATTGGGGTATAGAAAGGCGCTGGGAAGAGCTTGCTAAAATGACGATGTAAAGGAAATCCAGACTCTCTGCTAATTGACCAAGCAAGACGAGACTGCCATGTTTGGATAGACCATACGGACGCAAAAACAAGAAAAAGGACAGGAACCCAAAGGCCAATGGCAGCAGCTTTACTGCCAGTAATGTGATATAAAACAGAGAGCCCTGAATAGTCAGTCGTATCAATAGGGCCAATGTTGACAAGAACAGCCAAAATCATCAATAAACCGCTGCTGAATGCAATAACTATAGTCCAAATCAAAGCTTTTGGGATATTCGTGCTCGGGGAGGGGATTTCTTCGGCCAAGTGCGTAGCAACATCGAGGCAAGAGAAACACCAATTCGACCCGTTTAAACCAATGAGGAATGCCACACCGTCCGGCCATCCTGAAGTATTGACAATCTTGAAAAAATCACCAGCGCTCGTGCGGGTTTTGGATGTGGCGAATAGAGTGATGATAATAGCACCAACAGAGAGGACGTTAAGGAGCAATAATGCGTTTGACATTTTTGGCAATAAGTTTTCGAAGAAGGCACCGAGACACGTAACAATATTGATGAGCTGAAAAGCCACGAATCCCATCCATCGCTGGTATACGAAGTTGGGATGAAGGAGGGTAACGATTGTAAAGGCATTCAGGGGCACCGCGAGGTTACCAGAGGCACCAATGGCAATAGCGGCAATCCAGCTAATCATTGCGGTAGAATAAGATAGACCTCGTCGATATCTCTCTGGGGCAACTTTATGTACCCATATATACTGTCCACCTGGATGGGGTATCGCGGAAATCAATTCAGAAAGGGTTGTTGCGGTAGCCAGACCGACTGCTGCCATTGCAATGAAGCCCCAAAAGACCACAGGCGAGCCGCCCATGGGTATGCCTGTACCTAGGACAAGAAGAAGGCCAACAGCTGTGTTGGTGACCCCATATCCGATTCCGATAGCCGATAGAGTGGTGAATGGCTTTTGTGTCTGGATAAGGATATTTCCCTCCTGAATCGAACTGGAAGTGCGCGTATTGACCTTCTCTGCCTTCTCCGCTTTCTCTGCCACTTGCTCTGACGACATGGTCCCTGGGCTGGCAATGCCGGACTATGCAGGTGGTGTTGATTCTTCGTAGCCTATATGCAAATAGAGGTGATGTAGGGGCACAAGAACGAAAAAAAAAAGTGACAGATCTGGAGAGACAACAGCCTGACCTCTACGTCAGACTGAAAGCGAGCCCTTTGCATACACGGGCACACTTGACACATGCTGCTCATCACTGGTTGCAATGTCTTTCCTTCTTATGATGCATGATGCGGACTTGATATAAACTTCGCCAGCCTGCTTGAACGACCATCCGCTGAACTCTCATCGGAAAGAAGAAACCCAAATCATGAGCTCTTGTGAAAATAAGAAAACCCATTTTTGAGTGCGACCCATGATATTATACTCTCGTTTGTAGCAAGGTAGGCCCCGGATGCGGATATTCAGTGGAGACATAGTATGTATATACGTATCTGTGGAGTTGTTAGTTATGGGGACGAGAATGCGGCAGAAGAGTGGAAAAGCGGCTTGATGCCGATGCATGTTTGTGCAGGGCGGGATTCACCAACCAGACTCTCTTGACCTCGAGTCAGGCCATGCAGAGAGATATGCGTGTCATGTAACCCGAAAATGGAGAAAACGAACGCCTTTCAAGTGGCAAGGGACCCCAGACAACCGCTGTTTTTCTTTTTTTGCTTGTGACGGAAGTTCGAAAGACGGCCAACCGGGGAGGCATACGTTATATCGCATGGAACAAATACGAACATGAACCTAAAGCGAGCCACCTGTACGACTTCTTCCTTGTGGCCGGCGATATCTGTCGAAGCGTCAGATCGGATAAGATATTACCATCTGGACTTGACTTACTCCCTGGCAGGTTGTGATTGCAATCCGTCTGCATGCTGTGTAAAACGGAACCGACCTACCTCTGCTGGGTTAGTAACGGTTATAAAAGCTATGTACATATCTATCCATATCTAGACAAGCTAGAAATACTTATTTACATAATATTATATTCTGTAAACCTTCTGGAAATCGACATCGACTGACTCTGTTGAATTTTGGCATCTTAATCCACCAAAATGCCTGAGTTTCCTCCCCCAATTGACCCATCTTATGTGCCATCCGTCTCACTTACGAGGATTCCCGCAAATGCGCCAATCGAAGACATCCTCGCCATTCTTGAGCGAGATGGCGGGCTTATCTTGACAGATCTCGTCTCAAGTCAAGATGTAGCCGCCATCAACGACGAGCTTGACCCGTATGTCCAGAAGGCCAGGGCCGAGGCTCACGCTGCATACGATCTGATTCCCAAGCAAACAATAATGGTTCCTGGTGTTGTAGGCAAGTCACCAACGATGGCCAAAATTGCCGAGTTTGAGGTTATTGATAAACTGCGGACGTTGGTCCTGCAAAAGAAGTGCACTGCGACCTGGGAGGACCGAACAGAAGAATTTACAATCGGCCCTATATTGAACAGCAGTTTGACATACAACATCAGCTATGGCGGCCCTCGTCAAAGGTTGCACAGAGATGACATGATCCATGGCATCTACCATAGTGGTGGTGAATACAACCTTTCAAACGAAACTATGCTTGGCTTCATGATTGCAGGGTGTAAAACTACCCGCGAGAATGGAGCCACGATGGCCATTCCTGGGTCTCATAAGTGGAACCATACTCGGGTTCCCCGAACTGATGAGGTCTGCTTTGCTGGTAAGTCAAGTTTGCTCCAGCTGCCCTCTTACAGGCAACCTGGGGCTTAACATATCTTTCACACGAGATGAGACGAAATTTTCTAATAGACGTAAATGATCCAGAGATGGAGCCAGGCTCGGCCTTTGTCTTTCTCGGTACTGTCTATCATGGTGCCGGGCATAACTCTGTTCCCGACCAGGTGCGCAAGGTCTACGGCCTATTTTTCATCTCAGGGACTCTTCGGCCAGAGGAAAATCAATTTTTAGCTATTCCTCGAAGCAAAGTACTCAAAATGAGCGATGAAATGCTCTCCCTCCTTGGGTATAAAAAACCAGAGACATGGCTGGGTATTGTGAATAACGGTGACCCGGCAGAAAACCTTCAAGAGGTACTTGAAATGGCCAGCTCATAATGGCCTTTTATAATTGCGACGAGTTTACCACCTCCTATTAAGTGTCGATAGGTATATAGCCTCACTATCAAAGGAGACTGCTTGCCAGTTGGGAAGTGGTCGACATCACAAAGTCGCAAGCGTGTTTGGCTTTCACCTTCCCTCCATATTCAAAAACATATTAGTTTATCTCGCCGACTAACCTGATATATAAGGTAGGGGTCAAGTAATATATCATCTTAATAGTATAATCATGATCAGTATTCTTGATCAAAAGTCGTTTCGTCTTCAACTTTTTTCAGGTAGAATTTGTGATTCACGTGACTGATTTTGAGTCTACCACGTGATGAATTAAGTAACTTTATTAATCATTTATTACTAAGTTATGAACGTACGAGATGCTTGCCATAACTAAATATTATTACTCTAGTATACACCCTGGGCTTTCCATCGCTTGTCTTATATCCTCTTTATTGTCCCTCTTTCCTCTACTCAATATGTCTGATGACGAGGTAAGGTTTATTCATGACCAAGAGATTTACCCCAATCACCACGAAACATCTGTTGGCTAACCTTGTGTAGGGAGCCTCACCGCGCGAAGTGGTTGTGGAAGCCTGCCGCCGCGACCAACCCTACCTCATTGAAGAGCTCCACGAAAATTTATACAAGGATAAGCCTGATGAGTTTTCAGACTTCATTAACGGAGTCACAGACTCTATGGGAAACTACGCGCTACACATCTGTGCCACCTACGGTAGCTGTAAGAAACCCCTCCCCCCACCTTAGCGCCCATTTGTCTCTGCGTTCTCGTCAATATCCAGCTAATAGCCGGGATATACATATAGATGATACGATGGACTATCTTCTAGACATATATCACTTTGAAGTAGACCCTACCAACCGTATCGATGGCGACACACCGCTCCACCTGGCCGTTCGGCACGGGAACGAAAAGGACATTGAAGTCGGCATGTCAATGTTAGAGATGATGCTTGAGGCAGGCTGTGATCCGCGTATACGGAACAAGAAAGGCCAAAAACCAGCAGATTGCGTGATGCCGCAATATAATCAGATGAGAACTGCACTAATGAAGGTGGAGTATATGATGCAAGAGGGCCAAGGGGTGGAAGGGCAGGGCCAGGATGCTGACGAAGATGAGCCTAGCGATGGGCCGAGTGATGATGAGGATGATGGTCAGGCGAGGAAACGTTAGCCTTTCAAGGAACGGGAGTTATGGTGTTTTTCTTTACCGATCTTTATGTTGGCATGATCTTTACTCTTTTCTTTTGTTTTGGCATGTCGGCTGGATGCAATCTATAGTGCATTGTTGGGAGGAACCGGCTTACAGGAATATACACTAGACTTTTCACATTGTCGTCTCTAAAGCATGATATGTACGGGTGTTTCCATTATTATTTTCCCTCCAGATTCCGGGTATACATGAGTAATAAGTAATCCAAGCTTGATTCGTGACCGTCTATGCATCGGAGTCATCGTCATCCCGACGACCTCTCCTTCGAGGCGCCTCTGCCTCAGCACTCTCTGCTTCCGCAATATTACCATCTTTAATACCTAAGCTCCTTTTCAACCTCTTCTCAAACTGCTTACTATCTTCATCTTCACCTTCTTGCCCTATACCGAATACCTCTCTTGCCATTCCTGACACGCCTGACACGCCAACCTCTATCTTACCCCTCGGGCCAACAAAATACTCAATTACCTCCTCCCCCGTGTCTGAATCCCGGATCTTTAGTAGGTATCCTTCCTTACACAGCCGAGTGAGTAACTTGTCCGTTCTATCAAGCGGTGTCTGTGTTTCCGCATTGACGCGGCGGAGATACCTGTACAATTTGCCTTCTGACAACGACCCGCCCGATAGCATGATCAGCGATATGATAAAGGTGTATATTGCTACATATGAGCTTTCAGTGGCTGAAGAAGGCGCTTTGGACGGCTGTAAGATGGCTGGAGTCCGATAAGCGGAGGGCAGTGTAGAGATGACTATCCATGACTTTGACGTGCCTGCCTTTTCTACACGTTGAGCCGCTTTTGATCCGTCAGCAAAGCAACATACGCTCAGGTAAGGAAGTAACCCAAGCACTCACCTCTCCTCTGGCTTATGGTTACTTTTTCTTTATTTGGTTGCTCTACCATCTGCATGCCAAAGACATCTTTCAACGTCTTCTGTGCATCGAGGAAGACAAGCTTAAAATGCCGTGATCCACCCTCACCCAGCACTTTAGTAGATATGTCGGTTCGGCGAATGGTTTGACGTGAGTATTCACAAGCCAGGGCTAGCCGAACCAGCTTCTTCACCATCACATTCATCGAAGCAGAGGTCTGCAGGTGCCCGCCCTGCTGGTATTCGTCATCAGACTCAGGGGTAGCACTATGTCGGCGCTGTGTGGCTCGTTGCGTCTGCGTGCGTAGTGGAGAGCCATTTTCACTGTCTACCGCCTCCTCATCTTCGTCATCGGCCTGGCGCCAGCAATACTTAGCATCATTTTGCCAATGGTGGGATGGCTGGTTTAAACTTACACGACGTTTTCGAGGCATCCTTCTTTATATTAATCGAGGTTATCTAGACTATCTGGTATATGAGCTTAGTCTAAGCTATTAAATATTGATATACCATCAAGATGCTGATACTGCGGTGATAAATCTGTGATGAGATATCTTGAAAGCGCGAATCAATTAAAGCTGAAAGCGCGCTTCAGCGAAACGCGAGATCACGTGATAATCGAGCTTTGTCGTTCCCGTCAAGCGCCTTTTCTCAACTTCACCCCAACAACCAAAGACGACGTGGTATTATTTATATACTACCATAACTATGAAGAAGAAATGACATGTATTCAAGACTAGAAACAATAAATTTAGGACTTATCTTTGCACTCAAACTATGGAGATCGGTCGACATATAGCACGACCAATATCGAGAGTTTCGTTTTCTTGCACCTTCCGAGCTCCTTTATCAATATATCGAAAGATTTTCATTCACTACTCGACTGTCACGAGGATGTCGGAGCCCCATGATTTATTTGAGTATACGTCCGGGCGATGGATGCCTGTTAAGTCCCTTCCATGGCTATCGATCAGCGTATGAGGCTGATTATTTGCTTAAGCTACAACGATGCCTTGAGACTCGCAGAGAGAAAACGTTCTTTTCATATCTCAGAGCTTAAACGCCTTGCTGCAGCATCGATACACCAGAAAAAGGAAGATGTTGCTAGGTTCGAGAAACTTGCGGAAGGAGGCTTCAATAGAACATTTCTCATAACCATGCGAAATGGTTTTCAGCTGGTTGCACGCATTCCCTATCCGATAACTGGGCCAAAGGACCTCCTCATTGCGAATGAAGTGGCTACAATGGATTTTCTTCGCTCCCAGGGTATACCTGTTCCGAAAGTTTACGGCTACTCTACAGTATCAACAAACCCTGCAGGCACGGAGTACATCTTTATGGAGCTGATACATGGTAGAAACTTGGGAGATATCTGGTTTGACTTATTGGAAGGACAGAGAATCACTATTATCTCTAACCTTGTGGAGTTAGAGTCCCGAATCTTTTCTTTACGATTCCCAGCAAGCGGAAGCCTTTATTACTGCGATGATCTGCAAGAAGAAGATAGTAGAATTATTGTTCCAAGTACACATCCTACTAGTGAGAGTCGCTTTTGTATTGGTCCTGAAACCACCCTTGGATTATGGTTCGGTAAACGACTCAATCTGCAAATTGAGCGTGGACCATGTAAGTGATTTCATTTTTTTTTATATTACTTTGTCCCCATTAATGCGTCAGGAATTAATGCGTAAAAGACAAGGATTGTTTAGGAGCTCTGACCGCGGGCGCTAAGAAAGAAATTGCGTATCTGACAAAATTTGGACAGCCCGTTCAACCTTTCCAGCGTCTCCGTAGAGAGATCTACGGCTATGAGCCACGTTCACATCTGGATCACGTAGTCAACTTGAAACAATACCTGCAAATTGCGTCTCATCTAGTACCACACGATGACCCAGCTCTTGCACGTCCAATTATGCGGCATCCCGATCTTCAACCCAACAATATATTCGTCTCCGACAAACTTGAAATCACTGGATTGATTGACTGGCAAAATTGTTCTGTCCTTCCACTGTTTCTTCAATGCGGGATTCCAAACAGTTTTCAGAACTACGGGGACGATGTCTCAGAATCAATGCAATTTCCCAGTCTGCCAGACAATTTTGATGATTTGGGGGAAATGGAGCAATTTTCTGAAGTAGAACTACTACGTAGGCGCCAAATTCACTACTTCTATGTCAGAAGAACTGCAGAAATGAACACTGAACACTACAATGCGTTGATGAATGATGTGAACACTTTAAAGCGAAAACTCTTTCACCACGCAAGTGACCCCTGGGACGGTGATGATATTACCCTTAAAGCCGATCTAATCCATTTAAGAAAGCATTGGCCAAAGCTTACCGGTGGCTCGGGTACTCCGTGCCCAATCACTTATTCAGACGATGAGGCTACTACCTGTGTGCAGTTAGACCAAGCGCAAGTAGAGGCGGACGAGCAGTTACAAGCTTGTAGAGAAGCGATTGGCGTTGGAACTGAAGGTTGGGTTCCTCGTGAACTATATGAAGAAGTAAAGCAACGTGAGCAAAAGCTTAAGTCTGATGCTTTTGATGCTGCTGAGACCGACGAAGAGAGGGCGAAGATAAGAGAGCACTGGATTTTCGACGACTTTTGTGAAGAAGAGTATATGTGAAACGCAGGCCTGCTCAATGATTACTATCTAAGTGTGTCCGTGGCCACTTTATTCCCAAGGAGCGAACTGGATTAAAAATAACCCGACATTCTGCGTCTGCATTGTGGCCCACTGTTCTAAATCTTGAGCCCTATCGCCAGTCGCCCTATGGCTGGGCCGTTTACGAGGTCAGCCGCGAACCACGAGTATAGCTTGATCCCCAGGGACGCCGAATGGCGGACATTTGGTGACAGCTTGCCCTTTCGAGCAGGTACATCCCCACTGGGTGTCGGTATTGCCTATAGCAGCAGGCCAAGTTGCGGAATGTTTTGCCGGACATTGTTTCTGCAGCGTAATCACCATCCATTGATATGGTCTTATGGGAGTCTATCGCCACAACATTAAAGCGAATCAAGGTAAACTTTGGCCACTTGAAAATACTAGTCAGCAATGCCGGTATATTGTGGCCGTTGATATCGGGCTTCCGACCAAGCATGGAGCTCATACAGTAACTAAATCCCAACTTACATCGACCTAGCCATATCTCCAAGCAAGAAAGGATGAAACCAGACTCGGGATGTCAACGTCATTAGAACGCATCTTATCACAGATTTTTGTGCCACTCCTCCTAACCCCACACATTGATAGACAGCCCCCCTTTCATCACCAGCAGGTTGTCCTCAGTTACTTAGCAAGCTGATAGTAATATCCCACGCTATGTTCTTGGGAACTAGGCACATTTACTGACGGAACAGAGTCATCAAATTTGCAAATTGTGACGCTGCAAGCACCAGCAAGGTGGCATAAGCCGAACACCAGGAGACCCGTCTATCAGGTAATTAAAGCTGGTTTGAATGTACTCGCGGTAGTTGCCTTTTCAGTATGAAAAGATGTCCAACAAAGCACTTTATCGTCCAAGTATAGTGCATAAGCCGCATACTATGCACAATATGTGTGAAATTCTTTGGAATAAACCGGTAGATATCCTCCTGGTGAAGATACAATTGCCCATAGGATTAAATTAAACAGAACGCGAAGAGCTCATGTCAATTGTCTTTGAGGAGCCTTTCGTTGGGTCACGGACATGTTTAACAACCATATCCTCACGCTCTACGCAGTCTGAAGTCGAGTCATTTATAGATGAAGACTGAAGGACAGGATTCATTATGTTGAGTTGATAAAACTCGCAATGATAAAATGCTGTGTGCCAACAAAACTCGTGTCTCCTTAATTCGACTCTTAGTCGACCTCTTGAAACATAAAGAACACTCAGCAACTCCGTGCATAGGCACAATATATTCTCATTACTCTCATCCATGGAGTTAACGACAGTCTATGCATTCTTGTATCCCATTTTGTTCATGCTCTCTTATAACTCTCAATATAAACTATGTCTTGGTATAGCAAAAGCGCGCCTTGGTCTCGTCGATTCAAGTATAGAATCAATTCAGTCATCTATCAGGAGTCGTACATAGAGAGAAACAGCTAATGTTTGCCCATGAGACGGCCATTTTTTTTTGGAAATTGTATACAAACGGGAACACTGTCTCGTAATACCACAGTATATTTTGAAATAGGAAATGCTTCAATCTCCGTGGAGCCACAGTTTTGAAGCTCAAAATAAATAAAAGAACTGTATTCATATCAAAAACGCCTTGTATCTAGGAACCTAAGCCTGGTTTGAGGAACCAGTGAGGTTACATTAAACTTCTTACCTCGTACGCCAGCCTATTAATATACGATAGAGTTGTTGGAGGTGTAAATTGCCATTTTATTCTGATGTACAGATATTGCGGGGTCATTTGATAAGGCAGCAACCCACTGTATCCCATGTCTGTGTATAATTAAGGCCCGATTCTATACTACACACAAGACGTAACTAATTCAATATCCTGTGCCGGAATATAAACCCAAGATTCTAGATGCCGGCTCCCAAAATACACTAGGGTTGGAAGCATATATTATTCACAGTGTTTTTAATGTTCCAATGTAATCCAACCTCACCTCTCATTATATGTAACAGGCAGCAGTTCAGCGCCTTGGCCATCATTTTTCAATACTTTGCTGGATAAAACTGTTTTACGTAGTGGCTGCCCCCGCAGACGACAATTTATGTAGTTACAGATTACAGAAACTGCCTAGCGGGAACAGCCGCATTGGCAGTTCAAGGCTTGATCCCTGCGGCCCCACCAAAAGCTACCGTTCCGCTGGATACTTAAGTGCTTACTAAACGTTCGGGTTGTTACTACATAGTAGTATATATATATATCAAACTTTGGAGTACGTAGTAATGACTCTATTGCAGGCGACATGAAAAGCACTTCCTTCAATTCCTCCTATCCCTTCTTTAACGGGTGGTATCCGGGAGTAAACAGCTACCTGTAATTAGTTCAGGATCCTTGTCAATTGTTCTGGCGGAGTATAGATTGCTGTGCCGCTTATCCGACACGCGACCTATCACCAACTCATGGTTAAGACAGATGGTGCGTGGTATATGAATAATACTACTTGGCAAAATGGAGGTATTTCTATCATTACTTGAGTCATGCCACAATCCAAGGATATTACATTACGCCAGCTACTTTAGCCCGAACTCGTAAAGCAAGCTACGGATGCAGGGGAACTTTCGAGGATGATTATCACAAAGCGGCGATGACCGTATTCTAGAGACGGCGAGCGTGTAATTGATAGCATCTACTTTGCGCGCTTTTTCGACCACGTAGCTCATGGGATAATGAAAATTATCCGATGAATAGAAGTAAACCAATCGGCGTCGAACTGATAAGAGTTGGATTAAAGTAAGGGCTAAGTGATAAATATCACACACGGCGGGGATTATCTTTACTCTGGTTATCGAGCGGCAGGGTCCTAGTTGAATCTATATGATGAGTTACGCACCTTTCCGGGGGTGTTGTATCCCTACTGGCATTGCACTTTCTACAATTGGCTTCTAGTTAAGCCCTCGAGGATGTTTCAGTCTGCACAGCCCTTCATGAGGTACGTAACCAAATATGCACAGTTAATCTTGGCCAACATTTACATGTATGCGCGTTTATATACACCTATTTAGTGAGATATACTCCGTACCTGGAAGCTGTCCAACATCTGAGTGAGTGTTAGCGCTGGTCCTCAACGTACATACACACGTTTCACTAAACTAGGGGCAAAAATTTGACCAGGGATGCATGAGGCCCGCTGTCTCAGTAGTTCTGAAAGCACAATAGAACAATGCCACCCCTGCCTGAATTATTCGGCCAGATCTGGATGCTATAGGATTCTTGAGTAAGGAGCCATCATAGAGGTCTATATATAGGATAACAGAGTAACAATTGAGGAACAAAGTTGTCCATGGGACGTTCTCAAAGTCAATCACCTAATTTCCTTTTGCATGAGTTATTGAGAATCAATCATACCTCCATTCCAATCCAGGTACCAATCATGGAATTAGAGCATACGAAGAGGAATGGCACCGGAGATGAAAGATTCTCCAAGGAAGAATTCCTGGTCAATGTACCCAACATCAAAGGTAGACTCACCTGCTGCTTCAATGTGTCCTATGTGGGTTAACTTATATGAAGAGGCAGCTCTAGCCAAAGTTGCGTGCCGTTGGAGATTTTCTGAGCCAGAGACAGAGGCGGACACGCAGTACTTCCGCTCACTCAACCTGCTAATGGAAGTCGTTCCTACCAGCAAGCCATGCGAGGACGACAATAATGGAAACCCGATACCATATGCCACTGACACTGCTCTGGAGAACCTTGTCCAAGCATGCTGCGCAGCTGAAGCGACCAATCAAACCGAGCTAGCAGCAAAGGTGATACTTGTGCCTCGAAAGGGCTATCTGTGCAGAAGCGATATTCTGGAAGTGCGGATGCGACATTCCGCATACGTTTGTTCAATTATTCGATTCCCAACTCCCAACGGTTGCTTTTCACCAGTTCAAGGCCAGGGGGAAGGGAGTCTACTTTCTCTATTGTCCTCAGCTCCTGGAGCATTGCTTGTGAAAGAGCCACTAGCGTCAGATCATGATGCATTCACGTTGCTGGAGAGAGAGTTAAGGGTCCGTTTATCTTTCGACTGGGTACTGCCAAACAAACCGGCCGCACGTAAAATAGCTTTGATAGGAGGGCGCCCCGATTTCTATATCCAGAAAGGATCATTCGGACATCAAGGCACTTTCGAAGCGGCCCTGGCACTGGGTATATCAGTAGTTGTGGTCGACCGCCCAGGACATTGGCTCGAAGGAGAAAAATACTCTTATCTGAGAGATGACTTCGTTGCTATTGATGGCACCGACGATGCAAATCTGCCATCGAGGATTTCCGAAGCGCTTGAAGGCAAAGGTATCCATGGCATTGTTACTTTATCGGATGAATTTGTGATCGCAACCGCAAAAGCAGCGGAAATCATGGGGCTTCCAGCTGAACCCGTATCAGCAATCATGAAAGCCCACAACAAGTACGAGACACGCAAGCTATTTGAGTCTAATACCCAAACGCTGCGACTCAACAGCACAAAACAGCTTGACGACCCTGAGCCTTCTATGGCCGAAGCCCTCAGAAAGATGCAGTATCCCTTGGTGGTTAAACCATGTCGGAGCGGTGGCTCGCGCGGAGTTAAGAAGGTTAATGACTATTCGAGCATGCGTCTGGCCATACAGCAACTCGAAGAAACCGGCTTTGCAAAGTATGGTGTTCTCCTTGAAACATATGTCGATGGCCCCGAGGTAGATGCCAATTTGGTCCTCTGGGAGGGAGAGATCCTGTTCTGCGAGATATCAGACGATTTCCCGTGCCAGGCAGATGCAGAAGACGCAACACTTGCGGAGAATTTTGCTGAAACTGTCATACTCCTGCCAAGTAGGCTGGAGTCCAAAGAAACAGAGTTAATTCGGTCATCTCTGCACCAGAATCTTCTCCAGCTGGGATTCCGCTCCGGTGTTTTCCATCTTGAAGCTCGAGTGCAGAACTCTTCTATGCGCTATAAAGAAATTGATGGCATCCTCGAGCTTGCCGACACCGAGGTGACGATAGGTGAAGTGGATGTATTTCTGATCAAAGTCAACGCTCGGCCACCCGGTCTGCAGTCTGTCTTTGCAACCGCCTATACGTACGGCGTAGACTTTGGGGCACTTCAGCTACTCCGGGCCCTCGAGGACGGCGAGCGTTTCAAAGCTCTATCGAAGCCGTTCTCCTGCCATGCTCAGTACTGTTGTGAGATTGTTATGATTCCCGTTCATCGTGAAAGCATCGCAGTTCCGGACGACTTTTGCGAGATGGTGACCGAACGGCTCCCCGAAATTGCCCCGTACGTGGCCCGGGCAGAACGGATTACATGGGCGAAAGTTGTATCGCCAGTAGGGGGTACGGGGTTCATAGCTTATTTCTTGCTGTATTCGAGATCCGACAGAAGGCAGCTGTTGAAAATGGGCAGCCGTATTCAAGAGGTTTCCCGAGGGGTGTTGGATTTCTTTTGTTAAACACGAGTCATAAATATCAGGCTCTCCCTTGTCAGCACCATCGGAAGAGGACCAAATATCGTAGCCAGTCTTCTCTGCGCAAGGGTCATATTACCTGGAACGATGCCATCAAATATATTTATTTCAAATATACATCTAACCCGTCAAGTTAGGCCGTCATATCGCCTGCTCAACGACAGCGCGTTCTCTCCTTATACGACCCTCCATCAAACCCAAGCGTTGCGCCCAGCGAGGATGATGAGAATGCTACCCAGCGGAACTAAAGGCATGACGATGTGGTCGAGACGAGTTCGGTTCAGACATACCGTCTACCATGCAGGGATTGACCAGACTGCCTGGTCACTGCGTTTGTGTGTCTGGCCGTGATGCCGTTTACGTATTCGATTGCGTACGGCTTGATTGCGGGCATCCTCACGTATGCGCTGCTGAACGGCCTGGTGGTGCTGATCGAGGTGCTGTCGGGGGGCAGGATTGTCTCTGAGAATAGGGAGTTTAGGGATCCGTGGTCGTACAAGGGGCGGCTGAAGGACTTTTGGCGTGAAGACGAGCATGTCCATGGTCTACTATTTTAAGTCTACACCAGAAGAAGAGATCAAGGCACAGGTAAAGCAGTAACTTGTGGTCTGAAGGGAGTCTGAAGCAGTAACTTGTGGTCTGAAGGGAGTCTGAAGCAGTAACTTGTGGCAGCTGGAAGGAGTCTGAAGCAGTAACTTGTAGGTCTGAAGGTCATCCCATCCGTACATACAGTATAAGACATGGTCGAGTAAGATTAAAAAGAAATAGGGAGAGGAAATAAAAGAAACTACCTTGCTCTGGGCTTCCTCAAGCTTTTGACACGGTTGATGAAGCCGCTGGCAGGCTTGGACTCTTCGGCGGTCGGGCTGGGCATCCCGTCGCTGCTCTCCTTCCTCTCCGGCCGGCCTCGGGGGCTGCTGGGCCGGGCAGAGCAGCCGTCGTCTGCGGTGTCGACGAGCTTCTGGCCCTGGATCCTGGCGGACTTGACGTCGTAGGCGTCGTCGTAGTCCTGGTAGCTGTTGAAGAACGGGTTCCTGTCGTTTGTGTTTGCTCTGCGCGAGCTGGTGGCGCGTGGCGGCGGGGGCGGAGGGGGGTGGCGCGGGGGGTTGTCGGCGGCCTCTGAGGGGCGGCGGTGGAGGAGGGGTTCGGGGGAGATGACCCTGCCGCCGCCGCCGCCGATGCTGCGGTTGTTGATTCCGCGGATCTTCTGGGCGAGGGACTTTTTGCGCTGGAGGCCGGCGTGCATGGTCTCGGACTCGGAGGCCTTGCGCTGGATGGCGGCGCGGGAGGCGGGGGTGCCTTCGAGGAAGGTGGAGGAGCCGAGGCCCATGCTGACGTCGCTGTGGACCTGTTCTATCTGGCTGGTTGGGTTGAAGGCGACGGCGGCGTCGGCCTTCATGGCGGAGGAGGGGATGGCGGAGCCCGAGGAGCCGCCGGTCGAGAAGTCGGAGTAGCCCTCCTGGCCGCGGCCGTGGATCTGGTTGAGGTCCAGCTTGCTGTTGTTGGGGCCGGCGCCTCCCAGGGCCATGTTGCGGGAGTCCTTGGGGAAGGCCTGCATGGGGGCGGCGCGGGAGCCTTTGCGGTTCCGGTGCGGGTTGCAGGCGTCGAACGGGCCATCGTGGTGGAACGCTATAAACATGCATCAGAGACGTATATAAAGAGTGTATAAAGAGTGTATAAAGAGTGTATAAAGAGTGTATAAAGAGTGTATAAAGAGTGTATAGACGTACTGCCTGGGCCGTAGATGCCGGTGACGTCGAGCTTGTCGATGACGTCGAGCTTGTAGTTGTTGCCGCGTCTGGGGCGAGACTTGTGCCTGGCGTCACGCTCCCGGTGGCGACGCTCACGGCGGCGGCGCTCCTCCTCGGGGTCGAGCAGGCGCGGGCGCTCCATGAGGGAGGAGTCCGAGTTGCGGCGCGGGCGGCGGTCACGCCTGGAGGAGGTCTGGGGGTCAGCGAAGACGTCGATGAGCTGGCCCGTCTTGGCCGACCTGGAGCGGCCGGACTCGTGGTTGGAGGGCCGGCGGTGCTGCGGCGGAGCCTTGGGTGGAATGTTTTCCGGCCGTCTGTCGTCCAGCGAGAGGTTCTCCTAGGAGACAGTAAGTAGGAAGTAGTAAGTAAGTAGAGGGTAGAGGAAGTAGAGGGTAGAGGGTATAGAGAGAGGGACGCACGAAGAGGGAGGCGTCCGGCATCGAAGGGTCGTCCGGGGCCATGCCGGGCGAGGGAAGGGAAGAGTCGTCGAGGAAGGGGTTGGTCGAGAGCGGTCTCTGCGGCCTACCAGGGCTCAGCAGCGAGGCGGGCGTCGAGGGAGAGGCGGCCCTGTTGCGGAAGGGATTGTTCGATCCCAGCGTGATGCCGGGCGAGGCTTGCCGGTCTGTGAGGAAACGTCTTCAGCAGGTCTGACCAAGCGAGTGATGGGTGCAGGGAGAAGAGCGCAGTCCGTCCGCTTTTAACAGTGAAAAGATGAAACAGCGGGCCATCTCCCGGGGCGTCTGCGTCTTGCTGTCGTACCTGGCACAGAGACTGGAGCAAGCGACATTGCAGGAAGAGGCGAAGGCGGACGACGGGCCCGGGGGCGAGTCGCACGGAGAAGTTGGCAGAGGCGAGTCTGAGTCGTCTGTCGTCTGAGTCTGCTGTTGGTCTGCTGTCTGAGTCTGAGTCTGCTGTCGTCGTCTTCTGCTGTCGAAGGCGAAGGGGCAAGGATGGACGAAGGGACGCAGGTGGAGCGATCGGGTAGAAGAGTAAAGAGTAAAGAGTAAAGAGTAAAGAGTAAAGAGTAGAAGTAAAGAAGAAGAAGATATAGAAGAAGAGAATAGATGAAGCAGAGAGTAAAGAAGCGAAAAGTCGCTAAAGCTTCAACCTTGACTCTTCATCTTCTTTATTCTCTCTACTCTACTCTTCTACTACGCTTCATCTTCTACTACAACTTCTACTACGCTTCATCTACTCTTCATCTTCTTTATTCTACTCTTCATCTACGCTTCTACGCTACAACTTCTACGCTGCAACTTCCACACGATGCCTGCGAGCGCGCGCTTCGCCCTCGAGCTCGAGTTCGTCCTCTCGCTGGCGAACCCGCACTACCTGTCGCACCTCGCCGTCGCGCACCCTCACCTGCTCGGCATCACGCAGGCGTCGACCCGCGGCAGAGAGCAGGACAGGAGCAGGGAGGAGAGCCGGGCCTTCGCCGCGTACCTCGCCTACCTCTACGACTACTGGCGGCGTCCCGAGTACGTCCAGTTCCTCACCCACCCCGGCGCGACGCTGCGGGCGCTGCGGCTGCTGCAGGAGGAGGCCTTCAGGCTCGCCGTCATCCGCCCGCAGGTCATCGACGCGCTGAGCAGTTGATCTATACTTTTCTACTTTTCTACTTTGTTCTCTCTCTACTTTCTCTACTTTGTTCTACTTCTGTTCTTCTATTCTCTGTTCTGTTCTTTGTCTTTCTACTTGTCAACTAGTTTCCCGTAGAAAAACAACTTCAACTTCACAAACACACGACGACACGATAAAAAGATACACGATACAATAAGAGATACAGAGAAGACAGAACGAAGACAGAACGAAGAGAGAGAGATAGAACGAAGACAGACAGACAGACAGACTCATGACCGGTTAGCATTGGTGACTCCAGGCAGACGAAGAGAGAGAGACGACAGAGAGAGACGACGACAGAAGACAGGAAACAGACAGAGACAGAGAGAGAGAGAGAGAAGACAGAGACAGCGAGACAGAGAGAGAGAGACAGAGAGAGAGAGAGAGAGAGAGAGAGAGAGAGATGCACTCGGTCCGCCAGGCATGCCGGCCAAAACACCAGGTCCTGGTGCTCAAGTGCTATCCGCGCTTCCAGAAAGGCGTCCAGGTCGTCCGGCCAAACTCCTCTGAGCTCAGCTACCTGCTCTACTACGCCAGCACCCGGCGGAGCAAGCTGCAGAAGGTCGGCGCCTTTCTCGAGAAGCGCGCCGCCAGGGACGTCTGGAGGCAGAAGCTGGGGTGAGTCCGGCCCCTTACCGTCATTCTGACTGCGATTCTGACCGGCGTAGCAATGTGCAGGTGACGATGCAGCTGCTGGCGGCGCTGATCGAGAAGCTGCCGCGAGACCTGCCTCTCTACGCATGCTCCGTCCTCGCCATCCTCGACACCGTCCTGCAGCACTCGGACGACATCGCCATGGTCGAGGAGACCATCCCGACCTTCCAGGCCCTCTGCTCCCACCAGGACGCCGCCGCCCTCGCCGCGGACGCCCACTACACCAGCCAGTACCGCGACCTCGTACGCAGGTATGCCGCCCTCGCCTCGCCCGCCGCCCACGCCTCCCTCGCGGCCCCCATGGCCCTGCGCTGGCGGAACGTCGGCCTCCAGGCCGTCCGGAGCGTCGTCGCCTCCGAGGCCCTCGGCGCGGACTGGTCCAGGCAGCTCTCCATCGTCATCCCCGTCGTCCTGCAGAGCCTCTACCACCACGACGACGACGACGACCCGGGCCTCCTGCCGCTGCAGCAGCGCGCCCTGAGCTCGCAGAGCCACGAGCGGGAGCACGCCAGACGCCGCCGGATGAGCATAGCCACCGTGCAGACCGTCGACACCGTCGACGGCAACCCCGAGTCCGCCGCCGGCACCGCCGCAGACGCGGACAAGGCCGCCGAGACGGAGGCCCAGGTGCTCGCCCTGCGCTGTCTCGAGAAGATATTCACCCCCGGCAGCAACCGGATGCAGATCCGGCTGGCCACCGCCCTCGTCCTCGACTTCATCGTCGCCCGGAACCCCCCCAGGAAGGCCGGCAGGGGCAGCTCCAACTGGGCCACCGACCTGCTCGAGGTCATCGTCAACTGGACCCCCGTCCAGGACCGCTTCGTCCTCCTCGTCACCCTGGTCGAGGCCCTGGCCGAACGGCCCCTGGTCGACGGCCAGCTCGAGCCCCAGCTCACCCTCGTCTACATGATCGAATGGCTGCTCAGCTCGCCCATCAACCTCATCGGCCTCAGCGTCATGGACGTCCTCATCGCCCTGCTGCGCTACCTCGTCCTCCTCCTCCATCTCGGCGACGGGAGGGCCACGGTCGTGCCCCCGCCCAGCAACACCGCCTTCGCCCTCCCCGCTGGCTCTTCCCCTAGCGTTGATGCCGCCGCTGCTACTACTACTACTACTACTACTACTACTACTACTTCACGGCCCGCCTCCATGCGCCAGGAACTCCTGCTCCTGCTGCAGTCTTCGGTCGCCAACCTGGCCAACCACGTCTACTATACCGACCAGATATCCGACATGATCAGGACCATCCTCTCACACATCAAACCCGTCTCGTCAACGTCAACTACATCAGACGACTCCGAGAAACCAGAGTCCGTGGTGACGGACACGTACTTTTCTACCCCGACGGCCCAGCTCATCGCCCTCAAGGCGGCCAAGGACACCCTTGTCGCCGCCAACGCCAGACAGACCACGGGCGCAGCCGTAGGAAACGCAGCCGGCGCAGCCACAGACTCCAGACACCGTGTGCCCGTGCAGGCGTGGGAAGGGTCCCAATGGCTGCTCCGTGACGCCGACAGAGAGGTCAGACACGCCTACGTCGACGCCCTGCTCTGCTGGCTCAGGCTGGAGACCAACGAGAGCGACCTCAGAGCACCCGCCGAACCATTAAAAGTCGCCAAGAAGAGAGAGCGGGACGTGGCCGAGAAGCTGGCCAGGAGAGCCCTGGGCCAGGACGACAGGCAGGCCGCTTCCGAGGACTCGCGCTTCCTGCAGCATCTTCACTTCACCGTGTACGAGATCGCCACCGACCAATCCGCCGCCGAGGCAGACGTCATGCTCGTCCACCTCCTGATGGTCCACCTGGTAGAGCGTCTGGGCGTCAATGCCGTCAGATACGGACTCCCCGTCATGATCAAAGTGCAATCCCACTCCCTCGATGCGTCCTCCCCATCCTCCCCCCTGAGGGCCGGGAGCCTGGTCCACGGCTACCTCTCCGCCGTGGTCGAGAAGTTCACCCTCGAAGGCACCAAGGTCGGCGGCGAAATCCTCAACGAAGTCGTCAGGAGAAAGAGGAACGGCCTCTGGCTGTCAAAGATCCAGCTTCCTCCCCTCCCCGCTACCCGTACACTCGCCGAACAGGCCCTCAACGCAAGCGAGAGCAACGCCGCCCAGTCAGACAGAACCGCGTACGTCCCCTTCACCTCTCTCGCCGAGCTTGTCTCCCAGATCGAAACCGCGTACGGCCAGTCCTGCCTCTCTCCGCCGTCGAGCCCGGCAGGCTCGCCCAATGCAGGCCAGGGGCACGCCGTATTGTCGTCGTCGTCGTCCCAGGCCCGCCACCCACAAACCACCCAGCTGCCACAGCACATCAAAGAGCAGATGCTTGCTCCATGGTCAAGGGAGGCCTGTCTCGCCTCCATCGAACAGGAACGCACCCGGTCGTCTTCCCTCGCCGGCTCAAAGAACGGCTCTGCCGCGGCCCGCAACCATCTGAACATCGCTGCCGGCAAGAATGCCACCGCCAGCTCCCCGACTGGCACCGACTCGTCACACGGTAAATGGCACCGCCCCGTCTCCGCCTCTGCCGCCGCCGTTTCCCGGGGCGAAAGCCGCAAAGACCGTCGCCAGAGCCTTACGGAGGTGCCTCACCCGCGTTCTCCGACAACCGCTTCATCGAGCAAGGACTCAACCGTCCGTGTCAACGAGCTCCGTCGTGTCCTCTCGGTAGTGAACAACTCGAACGTACGCCATCCGAGCCCCCTACGCGGCCATTCAAGGCTCGGAAGCGACGCAGACGCCTCAAGCGCAGAGAGCATGGTCACCGACACCTTCTCTACCTCCGACGCAGGATTCAGCAGCATCGGTCCCGCCGGCACCGCTGGCGCCGTGCTGGAGAAAGTCCAGCTCGTGCATACCCAGCCAACGGCCTCCAGCCGTTCAGACGGCCATCCCGAAGACGACATCCCCCCCGTACCACCAATCCCCGCCGTCTCATCGTCCTCTTCCACCCGTCAGCCCCGCAGACAAACGACCTCTACCTCAAAAACACGGGAGTCACGGTCCCATTCTCGTCCTCGCTCGAAAAGCAGAACCAGGACGCCCTCTGCCTCTCGCCGAGCCTCGTCTCCCCAGCCATCCACCCGCTCCCGCAAACATAGCAGGAGCGCCGCAGACGCCCATGGCGAAGGCCAGTGGGATCCAAGTCTAACCAGGAACCCCATACTGCTCCGCTTCCGTCAGCCAGAACCGTCGAGCAGAGGTCGACAAGCTGCTAGATGGCATTGCAGCTCCCGGTGAGCGTGAGCACGGATATGAGGCTGGGCTTATTCCCGGTGCGGACACAACCACCATGTCGAGAAGCCTCTTTGCCCCGACCAATTCCCGGGCGAGTTCAACCAGGAGGGGAATAGGCCCGCCCCCTTATTGACCGATTCAACACAGTCAGCATCAAAGCCGTGCATTATAATCCTGCCTTTACACATCCTTACTTCACCATGTTGTTAGTTATCCAACATTTAGATTATTTCTGTTTCGTTCGGCAAAACAAAAATCATTCTTATCATGTTTAGGTGATGGGTCTGGTTTTATGAAAGATATTTAGGTCGTCTCGTTTTTACTCATTGTCTCCTGTTAAAAGTGCAGCATAGTTATCCGAGCCCGGTGCATCTTCAAGATGCCGTTGTCCCCTTTTTACCCATGTATATAGACTTCGTAGCAACATACGGAGTAGATATATGAATATATAGGGAAAAAACCAACCACGCCTGCTCGATATGCTCATTTCTTAAAAGCGCCTCCACACATTGCATCTTCGTACTTCATAGGCCGAAACTCACAGTAAAGCACCTCTTATACGTCGCCTGCTCATCCGAAACAAACACCTTCTCAACCCCATTAGCGGCAGCCGCCTCGGCAAGTAACTGAGCCTGACAACTGCGCTCCAACACCCCGAATAAATACGCTGCCTCGTCCACCGTGCCTCCCACGCTGAGCAGGCCATGGTTCACCAGTATAGCAGCCTTTCCATCCCCAAGTGCCCGTGCAATCAAACCCCCTTCCTCCTCCGCAAGCACAACGCCGCCATACGAGGTATACACGCTATGCGCATGACATATGGCATGCACGTCCGGCCGGGCCTTGTGCACGGCAGATGCTCGAGTTGCCACTGGCGCTTGAGCTCGTGGGATGTAAAGCTGGGTATGCCTGGGAGGAGGAGGAGGAGTAGTATATATATATATATATACTGCTTCCAAGAAGGATTGTGGGAGTTGAGATGGATACCGGGGATTGTAGTGTCTCCGTGAGAAAGGGCTTTCAGCCCTCGTTCTTCGCTGTGAACATGCTGCTCGTCATGTTCCTTTATATCCTTGCTGCCGGCGGCTGTGGGGTAATAGGATGCATAATATTTGGAACAAGTAACTAAAGTAGCTGGCTTTATTCGGGCGAATGTTTGCCGAGTAAATAATATGTATGCAGGTATATAAGCAGCTGTTGCATGAAGATGGTAAACCAAGAGCTGTGGTATAGTTATAGAAGACGGTGTTGAATAGTTTAATGGAACTGCAGAAACATCCAGTATATTATCTCACAGGAACCCGATACAGTGAACCAAATGGGCAGTCAGTCCAAATAAAGATATACCCGTACATACTCTGATTATCGTCCGTGGGAAAGGAGACGATATCCCGTTATGACCCGAACAGCTACCAAACATCGCGTCTCTAAACAACCCCATGGATACATCCTTTCCAACGGCTGCGAGGCCTATTCTGGCATCATCTCTTCTGCCCCCTGATGATGACCCTGCAAGTATAGCCAGCTCACTGGATGAGGATGAATGGCGACTGAAACCCGACATCTACGGCGACGAAGCGTCAAAGAAACCCGCGGCCGCTATTGCATCTACCGGTCAGATACTGGGGATATCTTCCCTAATACCCAATTTAGATCAAGGAAACCAGACATCAGACAATAATGGTAATGTTAGAGAATGGGTTGATGAGGTGTGTGTTTGATGCGTGTCTGTTCCTCTGTTGACTGCGGCTTAACTTGGAAGCCATATTGTCCTTAGACAATTTTAAAGGCATAGCTAATATCTTTCTCTAGTTATCTATCCATTTCTTGATCTCTTTAATCACACGAAGCCCAAGTGTAACTCCAGACAGACCAAGGGCCTTTGTTATTCAGTTTTCTGGCCGCCGCCCATTACCACCGACAACTCTTCACGGCTTCATACAAGCAAAATTGCCAGATCTTTCCCCCAAGGAAACAGAGGCCATCATTAACAGCGTCAGCATATTCCATGCATCTGGATTCGGCCAAATAGTAAACGCCGTCGACCAGGTATCAGACCTCCTATTTAAAATTGAACAAATACGACAAGAATCAAAAAACGAGAACACTCTGTCTCCGAACATAAGCAGCTCTCCTAGTGGCCAAGCTAGAGTGGAATCAGAAAATGCCAGGGGGAAAGAAGATGCCGCTGAACCACCTATCCTACTCCTCATCGAAGGAATGGATCTGGCGGTACATGAGATTATTCGAACGTCAGACATTGACACTGCTGGTGCACAATTATCCAGTTTCCTTCGCACACTTATCCTCCTGTGCCAGACATATAAATCTCTTTTGACGGTTATCCTCATCAATTCTATACCCCTACGGCCCCTGCCCCCGATGTCTCTACAGCTGTCCCCGGAAGAGCTCCAAGCTCAGCTGCGTGCTGGAACAACTCCTGTTGAAACTCCGTGGACGTCACCGTATACGGTCAAGGATATGGAAATCCCAGTGGAATCTGCTTTCGATGCTCTTCCCGATCGCCAATTGATAACTGCATCTCCATACCCACCTAATCAGCGTTTATCTCTTCTAGCAGACGCAATCGGGGAAGGCATCGATATTCATCTGGTTGTCTCGTGCGTAGATAATGAACGGATAATCGAAGTAGTCAAGGACAGAGTAGGAGATAACCTAGGGCGTTGGGATGTTTTCTAGCCAAATTACCTGGAGAATTTATTATTACGCCATAAAATAGACGGATTGGTGCAAATGTTACCATCGTCTCTATTTCGACTTATCTGCCTAACTCCATAACCATGCGCCCTTTACCGTTTCAAGCAAAAAGCAGCCTCTCCTAACTGTACACAGGATAAGGTTGTAATGTATGGAGGTATAAAATACATGCCGAATGGTTTGGAGGAGAAACAAAGCACAAATAGACGCCAATGCCGCTAAAGGTCCGAAACAATCGGGTGAAAAAAGGGGCAAAACGCCGGAATCCCATTGGTATTTTTGTTTGTCCATTAAAGTCGTGAAGAGGTGCCGATAAAAAAGGGCAGCGGCTGAAACCACCATGATATGAGTAATAATAATACAGTGCTGAAATGATGCCAAAGGAATTAACAGAAAGGGTAAAAGAAAATAGCGGTAGTTGGTTATCGGTATGAGGATCCAATGGCCAAATTTTAGTTGTCAAAATTCCGTTAGGGTAAAGGGTATGGGTCGGGGTATTATTTTATTAAATGGTGTTACGGCTAGAGAGAAGCTAGTTCTCACCACCAAATACTCGAAGAACAGCCTTTCTGACCAATTCCTCCGCATCCTGGTGGCATTTGTTTGTTTGCTCCTTCAAAATTGATTGTTCAAATAGGATATCTTGCTGCATAACCTTGGTCCATTGTTTATGGCGCTCACAGCGTTTCTTGAAGCACAGGCTCTGTGTAAGCGCCTCGATTGTCTCAGCATCAACTGCACTTTTGAGCTGGGCACTAGCTTCACTGCTACTATCCTTGTCAGGAGCACCCAACAATAAAGCCCCCTTTTCGGATTTTCGCCATTCGTCAAATTCTTCATCCGATAAAGAGAGGCGATTATCGAAGCCACAGAGGTCTTTGAGCTGCAAGTTGCCTACGGAACCATGGCTCTTAAGGCGCTCAAATGCATGCTTAACTCGTTGTTTTGCGATGATAATAAATTTTTCTCGGGCTTGAAGCATCTCTTTGCGGTTATCGAGTCTCAACTTTTCTTTTCGAAGTTGATTGAGCCGTTGACGTTCGTCAGACGTGAATGCAACCCTATCAGCTTCTGACTCGAAATCTACATCACCGGGCTGTAGCCCGTCTTGGCTAGGCCCGGGTGCTGCCATGGCATCAGAGAGACGCGCCTGTACTTCCTCCTGCTGGGCTGATAAGGGGCTTGCACCCAGCTTTCGAAATTGGTCGGCAGATTCTACCTTCGAAACAACAGTTTTAAGTTCTCCCAGATTGAGTACTCCGCCTCTACTAACTTCATTTTCACGCTTGTTAGAACCATATTCCTCGGCATTGGAGCTTGGTTGTCTTGAACCTCGAGACATTGCCTGCTTCATGTAATCCAAGCCGTGTTGGTCACAGCAGTATTTGCTTGGTGGTCGTGCATCAACTCTGGCTGGCTGACGACACTCACGAAGGCGACACATTGGCTTCCAGGTTGTACGTAGGGGGCTTTTTGTTTCACAGGTTGGGCCTATTAACCAGTTAGCTCCGCGCCCCAGAACGTGTTAGAGTTGGATATTCAAAAGGTAACTTACAGATATACTTATCGATCAAGTCGGCGTCTTTTGGATCAATATTCATACATCTGCCATGGAACCAATCTTCACAACCTCCGTCACACGCAATCATCCAAGTATGGTTATCAGGTTTTCGACAAACGCAAAACAATGCTGACTCGTCGTAGTTTTCATCATCATCAGAGTTCAATTTACCTCGTCGTAAACGTGCTTTCTTAGGGCCTTTAGTCTCTGGCGCGGGTGAACCAGTAGCCGACAGTGAATCCTGTTTTTTGTTTCTCTGTGCAGACGATTTACTCAGCGGAGAGGCCCTTGTGGACGCCACATCATCCACATCCGCAAGATCGTTTAGTTTCCGCTTCTTCGCCGCCGGAGCTCGTTTGGCTGTTCCCTTCTTGACAGTGGCAACAGTAGGGCCTTTTTTCTTTGTGGTAGGCTGGGAATTTATTGATGGAGCAGGAGACGAACGGTCAACTGAAGAAGCTCGTGATACAGATTTACGTTTCATATCTGCAACCTTCTTAGGTGTAAGAGTAAGTGCCTGTGATGGGCCCTCCTCGATAGGGAAAGCGTGGTTCGATTCTGTTGTGGGCGTAGCCACTTTAGGGGTGACCCCCCCTTCAACCCCTGGTTTTTTAGGCGTGAGTGGAGGCTCATAGAGATCATGCCATTGGACTTCTGATTCAAAGTACTCCGGGATAGGCACGTTCGTTTGGCTGTCTAAGCATCTAACTTTGGAGTGAATTTTACTGACAGTCCTCCAGTTGAAGTAACCGGCATTTGACCATCCAATGAGGCCGACTATTCTATCATTGTTTACAATGATGTTGGACATGACCATATCATTATGAGCCACACCAAGATCCTCGCAAGTATCAGTAGGTGACAGGCTATGGACTTCTTCGGGTGATAGTTTCCTTTGACTATCCTTCTCTGAGCTCGTCACAAAATATCGTGGGTACTTCAGGGTATCAGGAGTTATCTGGCGTAGTTTTAAAATGATGTCACGAGCTTGCTGTTTATAAACCTCCTTCTGTTGCGTTGAGAGTTGGGTCCAGATAGAATCCAGAGGCTCTCCAGGGATACGAGATTGAATAAGAACGTCATGGCCTCTGATCTTCGAACTGAAATATGTTTGTGGTAATTGGATTTCGGGTATCGCATTTCTGACCAATTTCACTGCGGCGTCCTCGTTTGCGTCTATCAAATGGCGTCCAGTCCCCCCGCCTGGATCAAGGTGGTCACTCTTCACAATGACATTGCCCACCATGAATATATCTCTTTTTCCGATGCGGGGAACATTTATGCGTGTCTCGGAATTGCAACGGTCTAAGACGCCTTCCCAATACTTTATAGACTCTGGACTTGTGGACATGATATGACGCGAATCGGGGCAAAAATCATCGACGCTTGACAAGCGATGGCTTGGAAGAGAAGTTTGTGAATCAGGAGCTGCACTCGTAGTGGCTGAGCTTGACTTATTACAATCCATCGCGTTAAAAGTCGCGCTTTCGCGCTGCGGCGGGGTGTTGGCGAGCCGTGAAGTATCCCAACTTTCTGAAGGTCTTGATACGGCGGTCGAGAGCGAAGAGAGAGAGAATAGAGGCTGTGTCTCACTAATGGAAGGGAGTTTGTCTGACACGGCAGCGCTGAGAGAATGTGAGCGAGGATAGAAGATCCGGACGGAGCTAGCTTGGTTGGCACGTTTAGACAGCACAGGACATTGCGGTGCCCGTCGACTTTTGGAGGGCTACTCCTGCAGGCCCAAAGAGGCTCTAGCTCAAGCGTGGGAGCTTGCCCAGGAGAGCGGTGGCTCCGCGAGCCTATGGTAAAGGAATGGAGCAGGAGTTCCCAGGATGGAGTGCGAGGGCGATGTGAGCTATCGGAGCATTGTGAGGGCCCTGTGGTAGGCGAGGGGAAGAGGCTGCCTCTGAAAGGCACGGTCTCAATTGAAGCGATTGGGGCTTTCTTAGGTTCGCGTTCTAGTAATCTGGTGCTGGTGCGTATGTTGATGTTTGAAGCTGGAGGCTCATTCATGCTCTTGTTTTATTTTTATTTTTATTTTTTCAGTCTTTTTGGGTTTTTGACTAAGCCATGAATGTGGAGCTTATGATGGTGGCCTTTGTATATGCACCCAGAAGCTATATATACATTTAAAGAGAGAAGAGATAACGACTTCTATCCAGATACTGCGTAATATTTTTGATATCAAGAAGAAGTTGGCCAGCGTCGTCGTCCCGTTCTGGACATGCGGTGAGTGGCGGCAGAATAGAGCAAAATCTTTCACTTCAACAACATCAGAAGACAGACGGACGGACAAACGGATGACTACCCAAGCAAGAGACAGGAGAAAAGGGGCCTCTAGAGTGTCAGTCTATAGGAGTGTTGGTCTTGTTCTGATGTTTCTCAATGTCGACAGTGATCAAGCCATCTCCAGCGATACAAGAGGGTCAAGGCTGAAGGAACAGTCGAGTAAGCCCAAGCTGTAAGAATCAATCCAGTATAAGGCCGACCGCGTGAATAACATTGGATTTTTCTTAGGAAAAGCCAATGGCAAGAGAGACACGCAGCCCCTGGACGCCCTGTCCGAGATATATGATGTGTGTGCCTACTATATATGTATACGAAGCCAGGGTTGCACGGAATACAGTATCATCCCGATTTCTATATTTATTCCGTATGCGACTCCGTGTGTTAGCTCCGTTATCGGGTCTGCTCCATGTGTCGATGCTCGCCTAGCGCTGGACAGCCGCAAAGCTTGTCGTTTTCTCTAGGTTCCATAATCCCATGGGTTCTCGGGTGTACAACGCAAATCACGGAAAGCAACTTACTATGTACGCGAACAACGGGCCAGGGCCCAGCCTCAGGTTTAGGATGTGCAAATATCATGGAGAAATTGGTAGTGCGGAGTCCATGGTAAATAAAAAGAACTACGTAGTATGTCCCTGTCCTGCATATATATACACTTTTTCGCTTCTATACTGTGCAGCACGGGGGTAACTAACGCTATGATATAAATACAAACATTGACACCCTGGCCCCTGACAACTCCTTGAGATCGCAAATCCGGCCGATAGTGAGCATCCAGAATCTTGCGCCAGATCATCACGCCTAACTGCGAGCAAAGCAGCAAGAATCCCATGACTACCAACACACCGTTACTTCCGGGATGGAGTTTCCCATTTTGATTTTGTACTTTTGGCCAGGGGTCGCTCGGAGCATGCAGCTAATCGATTATGATACCTCAGGCTTGCCTCATCTCTCATCCTGGAAAGCGAAGCCTCTCATCCATCGCGTGCATCATACATTCATTCATACATACTATGGCTTTCCTCCATACACAACGCCCGATGACGTCTGGTTTTTCCGAATCGGGAAGCGCAAGGGCGCATTCTTAGCCCAACCTTATTCTAGGGTTGCTTATATAATACAAACGCAACATATTATTCCGACGGATGGACCAATAAGAAAACAAAGAGCAAAGTCATATTTGAAGAGAAACACATTAGTCAGCATATGCAGCTCGGAGTTGGAAATGCGACTTTTTGCTGGCAAGAAAAAACATGGGAGAATAAGCAAGAAAGCTGCATCTCCAGTCTGAGCTGACAAGCTGTGCGACACTCGCTTTGTCTCCTCCCATCCTCCTCCCTGCTGTGGCTGCATGACTTAACAGCACTTACTATGTACTATGTAGTACGTCAAATACTCCGTACACATCGATATCCTCGGTTCCAGCCTGCCTCGGACTTAATTTAAACATCGGACCAACCAACTCTCCAACGCCGTGCAATCTCGCTCTGGGGCACCCCTGGCTGTGACTGTTCCAGTCCAGCTGCCCGCTCTCGCCGCCCTTATCCTTGCTTTGCTGCTTGTTTGATGGATAGGTTTTTTTTTTCGATGCGCAAGAGCTATTTCAATCCGGTGATCGCGCACGCCTTCCTCTCGTTAGGAGAAACAAGTACGAAAGCTTGTATCCACCTATCAACGGGGGTGAAGTACGGGTATAGCGCTGTGGGTCGCGCTTTTTCAGACTTTTACCTTCAATCTGAGCAAGTCTGGTGTTGAAAGATCAAAAGTCATTTTCATCTGTAAAAACTACCACCCAACTGTTAGTCATATCTCTCGACCATCCTGACGTCTGTACGTTCCTTCCTTCTTTCCAATCATTACCCAACGATATCGACGAAACCGGTGGACGAGTGTGCCTGTTTGTCAATTTGGTAGCAACTCAGTGGGGGAAACCTTTGTCATTGGTAAGTCATTCCGCTGATGAACTTTCTTCTCGATTTCTGGAGAGGGGGGTGAAAGTCGAATGAACATCTATTGGAATGAGACTGGTCAAAAGAAATTTAGACATGGAGATAACTCGTGGCTGCGGAAGTTTATAACCGCCTAATGTACGGCCTGTGCTAACCTGCATTTCGAGTAGTGCGCATCCCATAGCTCCAGGAATCGACCCTGGCGCTTGGATATGTTCTTGCTCGACACCGTGAGTAGTAGTGAAGACGACGATATAAACGCCCATTTAATACCTGATCGCCCCCAATGAGCTTGTGGGCTCATCCTGAGACATTCAAAAATAATGGTCTCTGAAGAAGATACTACTATGCAATCACCACCGCCTCCATCTGCTGGGGAGAACAAAGAACGACGGTCGGCTTCGGCAGAAGATTCGGTCGACAATGCTCATGACTCTAATACTCGTACTTCAGATGCAACACACGATCCCGAAACAGCAGATGGGACGCCAGCTACAGACTCACACCAGTCTTCACTAGCCATTACGGTTCAGAAAAGAAGAAGGGTCACACGGGCTTGTGATGAGTGCCGTCGTAAAAAGATAAAATGTGATGGCAAGCAGCCGTGTACCCACTGTACTGTCTATAGTTATGGTATGCTCCCTACATTATAGCACACTTTTGGCTCTACTCTTAACGGGATAGCACTAATGACACATTGATATCAGAATGCACATATGACAAACCGTCAAATCGACGAAGAAACCCTGCCCCTCAATATATCGAAGCCCTTGAATGTCGACTCCAGAAAGCTGAGGGGCTTCTTAGAGCACTTGTGCCAGAGATTGACCTCGACGATCCGCGATACGACGGATGTTGCACCGAAGAAATCCTTAATCATCTCAAGAATAAATCAGAACCCCCTCCCAAGCCTGAGCCGAAGGTACCGGTATCTTCAGAACCTTGTGATGAATCTCTTCTAGAGTCGATGGTGGACAATACCGGCTCGCTTGACCTTGACGATGAAGGGCATTGGGACTACCACGGCCATTCCTCTGGGCTTATCTTTGTTAGAAGAGTGCGAAAACAAATAGGAAACATTGTTCCTGAAGGGCAGCCACCACATAAGTTCCCGCGTATCCCGTTCAGGCTAGAAAGAATGAAATCAACGTCCGAATCTCCCATCGATACCCATTTGTCTCCCGTACACGACTTGCCGTCGAAGCAGGAAGCGCATAAATTTTGCACACATGCTCTCGAAGATGCCTGTTGCATAATGCGATTCTTGCACAAACCGACGTTCTGGGCAATGTTTGACCGGGTATATGATACTCCACTAGAACAGTACTCAAATGAGGAGAACAGTTTCCTACCTCTCTTATACCTCGCACTTGCCGTCGGTTGTCTGTTCCGTGGACCCGGCGATTGCACGTTGGAGAAGTCCGGATATGAAAGTGCTGTGGACCAAGGGTAATATCCTCCCCTCATATTTTATTTTTTTCCCTTGTGAATAAATGATAGCTAATATCTAGTCTAGCTTTCAATATTTCAGAGCTGGAAGGCAGTTGCTTGATATCACCGAATGCCGTGATTTGACCTCTCTACAAGCTGTCTGCTTCATGATCCTTTTCTTACAAGCTTCTGCCAACATTAGAACATGCTATTCTTATATTGGAATTGCTCTTCGTGCTGCCGTCCGTCTAGGTCTTCACCGCTCAGTCCCCGTAAAATTCAATCCCATTGAACTTGAAACCCGCAAACGGATTTTCTGGGTCGTCCGAAAGATGGATGTCCATGTAAGCACCATCCTGGGCCTTCCATCAATGTTAAGCGAGGACGACATCGATCAAACCTACCCTGTTGCAGTTGACGACGAATATATCACAAAAGATGGCATTTTGCCTATGCCATCTAACTATATATGCCTGATGCAAGGTGCAAATGCACACATGAAGCTGGGCCGCATCATGTTGAAAGTTATGAAGTATATTTACCCTATCAAGGTCGCGACGCATGGCGATAATCATAGGTATATGGTAAGCCATTCGAAAATTCGGGAACTTGAACGAGATCTTCAGAAGTGGATGGAGGCGCTGCCTGACGTCTACAGACCAGGTGGGGAGGCGCCAATAGAGGTTGAACGGTAAGCCGCATCTACTCTAGCCTGAGCCTATATATATGCTGATAATTCTTAGAATGAGACAACTGCTCCGCATTTGCTACGCACATGTTCAGATGGTTATGTACCGCCCATTCTTGCACTACGTTACAGGTGGTTCCAAAGGCCAAGAAATCGACAAACGCTCTTATGCCTGTGCCGCCGCTTGTGTGAGTGTAGCACGAAATGTTGTCCACATCACGGCAGGAATGAAAAAGAAACAACTTCTCAACGGCTCATACTGGTTCACGATGTATACGACATATTTTGCTATATTAACATTACTGTTCTTTATCCTTGAAAACCCTGAATCTGCCGCTGCAAAGGATGGAATTTTGAAGGATGCTTTAGAGGGAAAGAACGTATTGGCTGGCCTTGCAAAGAAAAGCATGGCCGCGGATAGATGTGCCCAGAGTTTGAATGTAAGTTGCTATTAATTATACCCAAAACGACTCGGCGTTATACGGAATGGCCTAACATTAATTCTAGTCTATGTTTAAATACCTTCCCGAGAGGCTCCGCAACAGACAGGCCCTTTCATCGTCACAGATTAACCGGAAGCGCACCCAAACACCCACTCCTATCTGTTCAAACAGTTCTACAGTGAATGGAAATAATACTCCACCGCAACCTAAGGAACTCGAAGAGTTCAATGCAAGCTTACCACAACGAGCAAGCACCTTCCCCCTGCACCTTTCACCAAATGGGGAGTCTGCTATTAAAAATTCTCGGTCGGAAGATATTATAATGGAGAATACGGATAAGCATCAGAATGGCCCTTTGAAATGGACGTCAGCCATGCAGGGCTTATTTGGTCTATCACCTTCTGCATCTCAAAACACATCTTTGGTTGATGATGAACAAACTCACATGTCATCTCCTTCTTCACCCCTAATAAGCGGCCAAGGAAGCCAGCCTACACACAAGCAAGAATTATCATTCTCACCGCCGTTCAATAACGCTGCCCCTCTCCCTGATCTAATGCCTATGATGTTCCCGTCTGATGATCCATTGGCATATCCTAACCAACCAATGTCAACCTTAGAAGACGACCACTTCAAAAAGGACAGCAGCAGTAATGGCCATGACCAGTTCATGTTCACGCCCACCACATCCATGCAGTCTGTAATGGAAAATAATGGCATGAATAAAGCCACCTCATCCTCTTCGACTTCCTTCGCGAATACTCCCGGGCTGTCTATAGTTAACTCAACCTCCTCGCATGATCCCGCCTCAATCAGCAGCCTACCACCCCATGTAAAAGCTATATCCACTGCCTTCCCAGGTAACACGCAGAGCCCAACATCAGAACCCCAACATGATACAAATAGCTACTCCTTCATGGGGAATCCCGATCTTGTCACCATACCCGGTCATTCTTTTATCTGGCAAAGCCTTGCCGCGCAAGGAACTCCCAGTAATTCATATCAATACCCTACGGCTGAGCCATCTTTCCAGGCGACACCTGATGATTTCGTATTGGGCCTCGGCGCTGGCCTAGATATGGGTCTAGGCACGGATATGAAGTTCGATCATATACTGGATCCCTTCTGCGGCGCAGACACCAACGACAATGGGGGATCAAGTGGAAATGGAGATATAGGCTCATCGTCAAATGATTGGATTCAATGGGGAAATTAGAATGCAAATAGTGGCCGTAGCAACGACAACATTAGTCACGAGGACTAATGATTTCACGGTATGACCCCCTTTTTTTTCAATGTATGATTTCTTATATTTTACCCCATTTTTTTAACTTATGCACATACCCCGAGAGATATACTATGGCTATGTCTATGGTTTACCCCCGCCATTTCCCTAGACACTTGACACCCTTTGAAGCACAGATGCGCATACACCCACCCATGTTGCTTAAGCAAGCTTCTTATGTGTGTACACTCTCACTGTTACGTGCATTTTGAGGTGCTACGAAGGTTGATGGGGCAAGGCATTATAAAGATTTACGCAGCGTATAGATATTCAAGTGTAAACAGATCTAATAAATTTATACGATTTCATATAGAGTACTCTCTAAGTTTCTTCGCCGCTCTGGCTTTCTAGAGGACGCTCCGCACACCCTATTAATTTGGCAAGTATCTCTTTTACTTTGGCCACATCCCGTTTGGCATTATCCACCCTTATAAGAAAATGGATTAGTCGGCTTGTTATTTCCATGTATTGGATGTGCTCTTGAAGAATAGGGTGCCTTTGTAACTGGCTGTCTGTGATAGGTAATTGTACTTCACTCGAATATCAAATAGTAATGGAGTGAGTCAAAGCAACAGTGGAGTTATGACGGGGATAATAAAAATGTTGAATACGTATTAACAGATTCATCTTGGTATTCATCTGCTTTAAATGGGTGCCCATGTATCAGTCCATAGACCATGGACCACGTGGATTGAATACAGATTTAGTTTGAAAATAGCAAAGAAGGAGGTGCATAAGCATACAAGACAGCCTAGACTCCATAGATCTGATTGAATACTTGCAAAAGCAAGCCTCTGAGCCCTTCTTTTCAAGCGGTTGATGGTGTTGCATGCCCCTTGATATAGTTTTAGTTCCCTCGTACCCTATATACTACGGTTAGGAAGAGTATAGGAGAGAGTTAAAGATAGATGCCACTCGTCCGGTGCGAGTGGATAGTCATGCTGCATGGTAGGAGGCTGTGTTTCTGGCCGTGGCCTGTGTGCCAGGGATACTTTGTCGCTCCCGAATATCCTTTGCATGGCTGGAGTAAAGGCACTTTCATACCTAGGATAATGGTGAATAGGTTGCGGTCAGATCATATGTATCAGGTATTACCCATTTGGTTTTGGCTTGGAGGTACGAGTGCACTCCGTGATAGATTCCCATTTTATGAGTCCAAATCCTTTGAAGTAAAGTGTTTCAATAAAAGTTGCAATAGGAACAATGTCCCATGCTGCAAGTTTCTCCCCCTAGAATGTCACCGATCAGGATAGGGCAGAGGCATGTCTCTCCATAAGCATATTCATGAATTCTCTCGCATGACTCCCCGTTACAGTATTCTTAGACCCAAAAAGGGGTTCCGTGCTCTGCATCTCCAGTGGGGTATTCGAGAGACATTGCTTGTCGGAGAGTAAAGGCCGGAATAAAAGAGATCTACTATAGCAGTCAGTCAACAGCAGATATGACCTATATGATATAAATATTAGCTAATGGCAACTACCAGTACGCTTTATTGGATAGGATAAGAAGGATACATACGGTGGTGCTGAGTCTAGAGGAGGCCCGGAGAGCAGCAAACATTAGGGCAGGCTGTCGGGTGCCCTTGTGCAAAACCCGACCCGTCAAAGTTCATAGATGCATAGAAGTACGGATGTTATTTAGCTGGTGGCTGCATGGCTATTTATAAATAGGCAGTAAATGTGAAGCCGTTGGCCTCAGCCTATACCCTGTTGAATCACAATACTATTATTCAATGCATTCATAGAATATTCAAAGCGGGTGCAAATATCTAGTTTCTATAATAAGCTCCTCTCAATGTATGCATGCTGGGCGACCCTATACTCGTCAAATATCTATATATGGCTGCCATGAATGAGGGTAAAACGTCTCCGATAAACATACCCCTTTCCTTTTTCTAACAGCCATTGATAAATACAAGCTCTTAGTCCGGCCTTGTCTCTCTTCCTTAGCTCTACATCTCAGAGTATATCATAGTGTTGTCTTATTAAGGCGGTGTCAAATATAGGAGAAGCCGACAAATCTGCATCCGACTCTGTGTTTGCCACCACCTCAGGCCCTTCTCATCAAAAAGCGGTTTCAGGAGGGCCAAGCCGACCTTGGGGGAAGGGTGCTATAAAGGTACACACTTCTTACATCGTAATCTGCGCAGGGGGAGCGCGGCCATGCTGGGAAATCTGTCTCGACTGGCATGTAAGAGGGTGAAAAGACAGCACATGATATAGATGATATAGGAAGGATCGCTCATAACGAGTTAATCAACGGTCGTTTCACCAGCCACATCCATATCTTCTTGTCCTTCTAACCTGGCCATACTAAGCGTCTTCTGCCATTCCTTTTTTTTTTCTTATAATGGCAAAAGGGCTAAAGGGTGATGATCGAGGAGATCACGATACGCTGTGCATAAAAGCATGGCTGCTCTTATTATTATATGTTATATGAGGTCGAAGTAAGCCTGACTAAGCAAAGCCGGTTGGCCTCGGCACAGCATGGAGAACAGGGATAAGAGAGCTTGGCATGGCCTTGGCGTGTCGCTTGATGTATCTTGGCTGTGGGTCTTGGCACGAGGCCTGGACTTGGCCTTGCCGGGGATCCCTTGGCCCGGCCTTGGCCGCCCTTGGCTCCGCCTGGCCTTGGCACAGCATCGCTTTGCTTACATGGTGAGGAAGAACGAAAAGAAGGCAGTGTCAGACAAGAAGCAACACGCAGGAAAAAGCAAAGAAAAAAGGAAAAACAGAAGAGGGACGAAGCGAAGAAGCAAAAATAGAAGTAAAAAAAAAAAAAAAAAAGGAGAAAAAGTTGCCTTGTTGCGTATTTAATAGTTCTTGGCCCACCCTCGCCCTTCAGTTCTGTTTCTTTCCTCTTTTCCTCTCTTCTCTCTCTCTGGTCTCCTGCTCCTTGTGTGCTTCCGCTCGCCCAGCCCTTGGCCTTCTCGCTGTCGTCGCCCTCGCCTTTCCGCGCTCTTCCCCTCCCCCCCCAGCCAAGGCCACGTACGCCTCGAACTTATTTCCCCTTTTTTTTTCTCTCCCTCCTTTACATACCGCAGCCTTTCCCTCCCGGATTTTCCCACTTCCACTCCTCTTCCACCGCAGGACTTTTTTTCGTCTACGTCACCACCGCGTAGTCCGCTCACGCTCTCTCTATTTCTTCTCCCTCATTCTCTACTCTCGACTCCCTCTTTAACGACTCCTGACTTTCCGCTCTTGGGTGCTTTTTGCCCAGCACGACAAGACTTTTGCTTGGCACCATGTCTTCCACCGAAAACCAAGACCATTCCGCTGGCCTCTCCCAGCAGCAGCAACCACATCAGCAGCATCAACAGCAGCAGCAGCTTCAGCAGTCACAGTCGCAGCCTCAGACGTCGCAGGCGGAGCGGGCTCAGCAGCAGGCTCGGTCTCAGATGCAGCCCGCACCGCCTATCCAGCAACAGCAACAACATCAACAACCACAGCAGCAGCAGCAGCAACAGCAACTGCCGACGACTCAAGCCCAGCACTCTCCTCAGACGGTGCAGCAGAGTATACCCGTCCAGGCGACCCTCCAGCATGCCGCCGCCGCCGCTGCTGCCGTCGCGCCGCCGGGAGTGCCTCAGGTAGGCCAGGTCGCGCCCAACAGCCCCGGCGCCCCCGGCTCGCTCGAGTGCCAATGGCAAGGCTGCCAGGAACACTGTCCGACTCCAGAGGCTCTCTACGTACGATACCCATTCCCTTCTCTTCATGATATCTGGACTAACAGGCGTAGGAGCACGTTTGTGAACGCCATGTTGGACGCAAGAGCACCAACAACCTCAACCTGACCTGTGGATGGTCGAACTGCCGCACCACCACCGTCAAGCGTGATCACATAACCTCTCACATCCGAGTCCACGTCCCGCTGAAGCCTCACAAGTGTGATTTCTGCGGCAAGGCCTTCAAGCGGCCTCAGGACTTGAAGAAACATGTCAAGACCCATGCGGATGACTCTGTCCTGGTGCGCTCGCCCGAGCCTGGTGCGGGACAGCGCCAACAGGCGCCAAATGGCATGTTTGGAGTCGGGCTCGGACCAGATGGAAAGCGTGAGTCCAAAGAAGAGTCTCTCTACATGTATATATAATGCTAACTAGTTACAGCGGCTCACTTCTTTGAAGGCTCGCTAGGACCGGTCCCCCAGGCATACGGACACCCACCGCCACAGTACTACCAGCCCCAGCACCCGCAGCAGCAGCAGCCAAATCCATCCTATGGGAACGTGTACTATGCCGTTGGCCACGATGCTGCCCACCAGGCGTCCTACGAGTCCAAGAAGCGAGGATACGATGCCCTGAATGAGTTCTTTGGAGACTTGAAACGCCGTCAGTTCGACCCTACCTCCTATGCGGCAGTTGGACAGCGTCTTTTGAACCTCCATGGCCTCCCGCTTCCCCTGACCCATGCCGGCGCAGTGCCGGAGTACCAACCAGTGCCCGCCATGGTCAGCGTCGGTGGCCATGGAGGATACCAGTCCGGCCCTATTCCGGCCCAGTCGTATCACTTGCCTCCCATGGGCAACTTGCGTACCAAAGCTGACCTGATGAACATTGACCAGTTCCTGGAACAGATGCAGTCCACCGTCTATGAGAGTGATGAGAACGTGGCCGCGGCCGGCGTCGCTCAGCCGGGTGCCCACTACGTCCAGGGTCCCCTCAGCTACCGCACCACCAACTCCCCCCCAACCCAGCACCAGCAGCATCATCACCAGCAGCAGCAACAGCACCCACATGCCACCGCTACCGCCACAAACGCTATGAACAGCACGGCCTCTAGGTCTCCTCATGCATCCACTCCGGCACTCACTCCCCCATCAAGTGCCCAGTCCTACACCTCTGGCCGCTCTCCCATCTCCCTTGCTTCCAGCCATGGCATGTCTCCCACCCACCACCCTTCGACGGCCGGCATGTACCCAACCTTGCCTGCCACGACGGGCCAGGACAGCCTCTCGTCAGGATATCCTACCACCGTCTCCAGTGCCGCCCCTCCTTCGACACTGAGCAGCGTCTTTGACGATGACAGACGTAGGTACACCGGCGGCATGCTCCAGCGCTCCCGTCCAGACATCGATCTCTCTGCTCCATCCATCAAACGGGATGAGGAGTCAAAGCTGTCGAACAGCGTGATCGACCCGGCTCTACGCCGTCCTTCGTCGGACATGCAGGCTGAGATGGAGGAAGATGGCGCCAACCGCCGAAGCTCCTCCGCCACGCCCACTCCCACTACTGCACCGGCCACTGCCGATGACCGCCAACCAGGCGGAGAGCAGCAGTGGGTCGAGAACGTCCGTCTCCTCCAGAGACTTCGTGACTACGTCCTTGAACGCCTAAACAACGGCGACTACCTTGACTCGGACAACGAAGAGGAGAAGAAGGACGCCGGCGAGGAGCCCAAGGAGGCCAGCACCGAGACGGGTGGCTATCCTAGTATTAAGATGCACGGCATGGAGGCCATTGCTGCCGCTGCCGTAGCACACGAGCAAGGGCATGAACTAGGCCAAGGACAGGAGAACCCTCGCACTCCTACTGCCATCGTCGATGCAGAGGAAGAGGCCAAGAGAGCCGGTGAGAACCTGTATCCAGTGCTCAAGATGGCCGTTGAAGATGACGGGGCAGATACAGATGGGGACGAGAAGATGGGTCAGTAGCCCCCCCTTTTTTTTTTGGCTGAAGCTCTGTTGTTGCTTTATCTCGTTTGAGTATCATGATGCCATGAGTTTCGTTTTCCTCTTTGTCTACCAGCCATTTGTGTATTTTACCTTTCGTCTCCTGTCTGTCTTCTGTTGCTGCTGACCGGGCGTATTTCTTTTTATCTGGTTCTTTTCCTTATAAAAACTGCTTCCTCTCTTCTCTGTCTCCCGTAGTCGTCGTATCGCTGTAATTATATCGTAAAATACGCGTAACTTACGTCTCCACCGCCTAGAAAGGGTGTAAGTCCGGTACCATCTCATCTTCTCCAGAAGGACGACGAAGAAACCAAGGGAGGAGGAAGAAGAACAAGAACTGAGCCGACCCATGGTTCGGCTCAGTTACAAGACAGTAGAAAAGATCCGTCGCCATCGTCTGTCCGTGACTACTCGGTATCTCCACGCATCAGCCTCTTTCTTCTGGTACTTTTCGCTATCCAGAGTCCCACAACCGGGAACTATTTAACGTCGAATCAACAAAAGACCCGAATCTGAGTCCGACAAGATTTGGCATATGAATCTGGGGTTCTTCGTTTTATCGCCATCGACTCCAGTTTCTTTTTTTTTTTTTTTTTTTTTTTCGCCGCCTCCAATCGTCATCGCCATCAAACTTATCGGCGGTTTTTTATCGTTATCGGACGTGGATAGACGCGACTTGATACAAACAAACAGACACACGGCGGAGGTTCATGAAGTACATCGACAGCTACTTTTATATACATCTACGAGAACGCTTCTACGAGACGAGACGACTGACGATACACCCTTTGTCAAGACGAGAAACCAGGGCTGCTGCTGCGCCAGTCGCGCGTCCAGGACAGACAAACAGCGAGAAGGAAGACGGAACATCTCGAAGGCTCAGAGACCTCGACTTGTCCGGAGTCAACCATCCTGAGAGATAAAACAAGAGAGAGAGTCTCGTACTCCGTCCGTACCAACGCCTCCTCCGAGAGAGAAACAAAGAGACAGCCAACGGGAGGACATAAAGAAGAAGCGCAACCACTCAGAGCGTCCCCGACGGACTCCAGAAGTTCAACTCCGGTCGAGCAGGAAAGGAAAAAGAGAGAGAAAAGGTGGTGGCGAGCAAGAAGAACCAGAGGAAGAAGAGAAGAGAAAAAAACTATAAGTTTTTGTTTACTTTGAAGGTTTTTTTTTTTTTTTTTTTACTTTTTTCTCTCTTTCTTTCTTTCGCTCTCTCGACCTTTCGACCCTCGATTTATTTATTTACGAAAGACTTACTGGGTGAATTTCTCCTATTTTATTATCGCACAGACTGGTGGGCTTGTCCTTTTTATCTCACGCCCGGCGATAGGACTTATAAAAGTGTGTGTGTGTTTTTTTTTTTTTTTTTTTTTTTTTTTGGTGGGAATATCTTGATCGGCGTCGAAAACACGATTTTGATCGCATCAACAACTCCAAAACACGAACGGTCTGTTGATATTTATCTTGGTTGGTAACGAAAGAAGAGATAAAAGAGGAGGAAGAAGGCACAAGAGTCAAAAGGCAGAGTGAAGACGGAGTGCTCGATAGACGGGAAGAGTCGAAGATGCCACCTTTGGCTGCAAAGCGCCGCAGCCGGCGGCGAGATGTTGACCTACACGATGACCCCGTCGATATGGACGCACTGGACTCGTCGCCTACTCGGCGGTCAGTGAAGAAGCGCAAGGTCGGTATATCTATCTTCAGCAGCAGTGTATCTGCGTCACTTGGCTGCGCGCGCGGCTTTTTGACCTTGATCTATATCTAACGTTTAAAACCAGGTCGAGCACACACCTCAGCCGGATTTCGACAGAGCCCTCGAGCCAGCCTCTGCAGACGAGAATGAAGACGAAAACGACATGGCGGCCAACCATGATCTGGTCGACTCGGTAATCGCCAACCTGGCCGTGGCTAGAGACCCCGTTTCCGTCATGGTTCATCACTCCAACGCCCGAACGCAGCAGGAAAACAAAGAAAGCGTCGAGGCGTACGCTAAGATTGCCGGCCGTGACTGGACATACTACGTCAAAACCCTTCATGTCAACATAGGACGGCCTCCAGATCGTGATCAGAGAGTCGACGCGCAGTCTTCGCCCATCACGGTTGCCGCACAGGCGCTGCCGGATGTACACATCGACCTGGGGCCCGGCAAGTTTGTCTCCAGACTGCATGCAGAGATATACTATGACCGAGACGACCCTCCGTGCTGGCGCGTGAGAGTAAACGGACGTAATGGCATTCGCGTGAACAATGTCTTTTTCAAGCGTGGCACGGCCACACAGCTCTCCTGCGGCGATATACTAGAGATCGCCAATACCCAGATGATGTTTGTCACGCCCGGCGACCAGGCCGTTATTGACCCGGCCTTTATCAACCAGGCGCAGAACGGCGTTCATGCTACTCGAGAAGACGACACAACCTGGGATAGTACCTACCATTCGCATCCTACTACCACCACCACCACCAATCCTGGCCCACGACGCATGTCCTTTGCTCCCAGCAGCAGCAGAGACCAAGCAGCTCCCGCCGCCACAACCGGCACCCGTCGAGCAGAGATTGCAAATGCGGCCACCGTTACTCCCAAACGGCAGACAACGCCCTCTCAACGGCCACAGTCGAGAGATACCATCGAGCTGCCGTCCAAAATGTCTCCCATGTACAATCGTGGAATGATGATGGAAAGCACCGAGGAGATTGACTACAGTGAGGACGCGGCTAAGGATATCAAGCCGCCGTTCAGCTATGCAAACATGATTGCCCAGGCCATCTTCTCTACCGAGGAAGAGAAGCTGTCTCTCAGCAACATCTACAAGTTTATCATGCAGAAATATGCTTTCTACAGGCATTCGCAGTCTGGTTGGCAGGTATGTCTATACCACAAAGCATTGAAGGATCACCTAATGAAAATACAACAACTAACCAATGTATAGAATTCAATTCGACATAATCTCTCCTTGAACAAGGCGTTCCAAAAGGTCCCTCGTCGCACCGACGAGCCGGGCAAAGGCATGAAGTGGCAGATCGTCCCAGAGCACCGAGAGGAGTACTGGAAGAAACAGGCCAAAAAGAGTGGACAGTCCTCAACACCAGCCTCTCCCATTGGCAAGGAGCGAACCGGTTACCAGCCCATCAACGGCCACCCAGCCATCAACGTGGAGAAGAATATAGATGCCTCTTCCCAGGCAAGCAAACCGTCACCTCAAGCACAGACAGCTTCACCAGGTTATCACTCCTTCTCCGTCGCACCGATCGAGGCATATACGCCAGACCGTGGTTCACGAAATGGCCTCGGCATCAACGGCGCTGGTACCCATGACTTTGACGAACAGTCTCCATTGCCCAACGGCCCACGTAACAACAATGCACCAGCTCGAACATACGGCCTGTCCGACAATGCCGTTGCTTCTCCTCCCGTTCTCTCCTCCTCGTATTACGACGACGCTGCCTCGTCAATGATCACACCTGCCCCTTTACGCCAGCAACCCCGTCTCGCACCTCCAAGCACAGCCCAAGTTCCTTCAAGGTATATGCAGCTTAGCTCGCCAGCCCAGTTCTGGAAATTAGCAGACATGGGCAACACGCCTGCCAAGCCGATGCCGGAGATGAGTCCGCTGAAACCATCCATCGGCACAGCGGAGTCTAATCGCTGGAAAACATTAAACACTATACCAAGCAGTAGTCCACCGCCAGCTAACCTGGGCAGTCCAACTAAGCCCGCATCATCCATCAGAGGACGCGGCAGAGAATCCAGCATCGGTAGAGAGAGAGCCAGCGAGCATGAAAATAAAACCATAAAGCGTCATCAGGATAACTGGGAAGAAGATGACGATAATAACGATAGTGATGATGGTGGCTTTGATCTTGCAAGGTTGGTTTAATTCTTTTCCTACACAAAGATAAGTATACTAATATATTAAAACAGGGGCTTTCAACCGATTGGTTCTTTCCACAGACAAATCAATAACGCTGCGCGAGCTGGTTAGATATCCTAACTATAGCAGCCAATATCTCTACCACCACATTATTATCCAATACTTTCTTATCCACACTCAACTACATGCATAAATGAGCTATGAATAATACGCATTAGGAAAGAAAACGCCAAATGGCCAATCCCTTGCTTGCTGGCCCCTTACAGAATTGGCTACCCTTCCACCCTCTATCATGCAGAGGAAAACATCTTTTAATGGCCTTTTTATTTATCTCTTATCTCATTTTATCTCTTCTTTTGTATTATCTATGTACCTACTTGCATTGTCTTGTCTCTTCCCCTTACTGGAAACGTTTCTGGCTCTGCTATGGCTTTTATACTGCGCGAATGCCATCGGTTGCTTATTGTACTTTACGACATGGTTACGGGCGGCCTTTTGCCTTGCCTGATGGGACGGTTGTCTTTATGCTGTTAAGATAGGATGAATTACCCGGTTGGTTGGCTGGGTGGGCTAAGAATGGGTGTTCCTAAGGTCAACACCATATTATGAAAAGCGGCGTTTTAATTTATTTCTTACTACATCCCATTGTTAAGTTGAATATTAAATAAAAATACGCATATCAATAGAGTGTTTATGATCATTGATGTAAGTGAATGTGTATTTAGTTTCTACCTATTGGTAAAACATCGGGGCATTGTTGAAACCCCACGTTATGTTTGCCATAACTATGTTCCGTATAACAAAATAAAAGAGAGACATACGGTTGATTAATTAAAATAAATAGCATCATCGCCTAGAGGTCAGCCAAGTTCAGGCCATGAGGAGATCCTCCATCACAGTATACGGAGTCTCCATTCCAACCCATGACTGCGTCCCACATTGCACATTCCTCACGAACTTTCATCTCAGCCTCCTGGCGCCCCACGGCGATGCGGCGCTCGACCTCCTGTCGCCAGTGTAGGCCTTCCTCACCGGGCTGTGGTGTTAGCCGAACAGCCGTTGCATCAACACTGGCGTTGCTCTCGTTTTGAATGGCATTAACAGCGGCACCCACCATTGCCTCGAGGGTGTAACGTGCGTCGTTCCCGGCGTTATGAAAATTCCAGCCAGCAATCCCTAGTTCAAGAAGGACTCTGGCCAAAGCAGCAGGTTGGGTTTCACGCTTCAGGATGCGGAAGAGGTTAGCAGTGTCTACCGTATCAAGGAAATACGGTTGGTGATTGATTTCTTCGCCCGTGGCTGAGAGAGTGACGTGGGGGTCAAAGGATGTACAACCAAGTTTTCGTAAGTGGGCGACGTCAGCGGAGAGGCCGTGGCCGACGAGAACTAGTTTTCGTTGTTGATTCTTGTACTTTTTTATTTCAGGGAGATGATCTGGTGTCTTCTCGTTATTGGGTGGTAGTTGGACACCGCCGTCATCCCACCAGTTTCGTTTCCCGTCTGCCTCCTTTGTGGCGAAACGTTTACTCTAAATAAGAAGATATATTAGTACCGTTAGAAGATGAATGTTGGGGAAGACTAAGGTTTGGAATTCTTACATTCTCTGTATATTGGATGTGGCCGGAGTAAGGGGGCTGGAAGCATGAGTCGACAGTATCGGCAGAATTAGCAATTGATACAAACTCGCTGTGGCCAAAATCGAACTGTTCTGGGCATCCGGCCACGAAAAGATGGTTGGTAACATTTGCGTATTCAGAAATGCGAAAATGACGGCATCGAATCTTGCCCATCCAGTCACGTCCTCCTTCTCCAGGTGGAACGCCAGCCAGGTCAAGGGTATCCAGAGTAGAAACTCCAATTTCGGTAATCTGCTCGTGATGCCTCTCGTTCAACTCAACGTCGATGCAGATGAAGATGGGCTCATCCGCAAACGTAAAGGGAGCAGGGTCTTCGACATCTAGCGGTTCCAGGATAGACCCATTTGCTAACGCAGTTTTCTTCTCAGCAAGCTGTTGCTCTGACCATGATGAGTCAGTGGGAATGGTGACATCGCTCTGGTCGGGATCACTTCGTGGGGCACGAGGTCGAAGGCCCAGGTAACATTGTGTACGCTTGAGTTCGCGATTCCAGGAGCGAATTTTCTGTATTTGAGTCTGTTGTCGTTTTCCCTTGGTCTTTTTGGACTTGCGGCGTGTGGCGGCATATGCTGTCTCCATTTTCTCCCTGAAAACATCAAAGGAATGTTTCAACTCGGGAGATGCATTCTCTCCTGGCTCATTATTACCACTTGGTGCACTGGGCACTGCTTGTTCCAGCTTCCCCTTCATTTGACGGTTGAAGGACGTACCTATGAACTGAGGCTGGGGGGTTCCGTCAGGAGTAAAAGGGATGATTACCCCAGCTTCTGGATCAGATGGGATATAGAGCTTGCAGCCGAAATCTTCGTTGATGGTATCAATCAGGCCTTGAGCCTGCTCTTTGGTTACTAGGAGGAGAGGTCTCAGGGAGACATAGGCAGGTGGGTGAATGTAGTACCTTTATGAATGCATATTAGTGAATAAACAGTACCGAGACAGTGACACAGTGACTCTAGGAAACCGTAACACCGGAAACTCCAGTGAATATAGTGAATGTAGAAAGGAGACTTACACGTCCCATGGTCGATCCCAGAATTTGCCTCCGTCAAAGTATGTATGTGCAATATGCACCATGTTGTCTCCTCTGATATACTTATACGGAAATCTAGAGATGGCCATCAGTGGGCAGAAATAGGTCGTCTCCCTAGATCCAGACGAACTAGCTACAGCTGTAGCTAACTCGTGGGTAGTTTGCTTCCCACGAGCCTTGCTCTTCTTCCTCTTCGAGGCTTTTGCTTTCTTCTTTGTGGTGCGAGAGGACGAAGCCAGGTGTTCATCCTTAAACGCACCGTTGTTTAAGCTATCTTCCTTTGACCAGTCGACCGAATATTCGTCCGGGCTGCCGTCCTCCAGCGTAATGATATACTTACTAGCAGCTGTCCAAGGCTCGTCGGAGCCATCTTCCTTTGGCGAGTCGACAAACTCACTGATAATTGTCCAAGGCTCGTCCTGGCCATCTTCCTTTGACCAGTCCGCATTCTCACTGGCAGCTGTCTGAGGTTCTCCTGAGCTATCTTTCCTTGACCAGTCGACGTAATGTGCTTCTAGGCCGCCATTATCTGTTCTGATGATATACTTAGTGCCGGCGGACCACTGTGCATCTGAGCCCTTTGGCACGGTACCAAAGGATGCTACAACCTGGCCCGGCTTAAATGTATCCTTATCCTCGTGTAGGTCAACGTTCGTAAAAAGAAGATTCTCGTCCTCTCCAGCAAAGAGCATCTTAAGACGCTCCTCGAAGTCCATGATGACAGTTGAAGTCTGGCTTATATCAAGACAGGATAAGAAGATATACACAGTCCGGAATATCCTGTAGAACAAGCGTGAGACCGAGGGCCCTCTTCCTTTCTACAGGTGAAAAATGAGAAGTTTGAGGAGTTGTTAACGGTGTGGGAGAGAAACAGAAGGGAAAAAAGAAGCTGGCAAATTAGATGTGTGAATAGGGAACTGGCGGTATAGGTGAATCACAGTCTCTTTTTTTGTTTTTTTTTTGTTTTTTTTTTTTTGGTTCTTTGATGCGGGGATCCTTAGGTTGTCAGAAGTTCCGTTGGTCAGATCGATAATTGGTCTTTGTCCTTCCTCCGCGACGATATTTATATTCGGGCTACCTAGATGGAAGCTGGCGGAACCAAAAAAAAACAGCATCAGTTCCATGATTTGGGTTGTGAGAATGACGTTTTCGACTGATATGACGTCTTGGACTTAATACGACTGCTTGAACCGTTGTTAGTTATGTGTACTAAGGACGATAGGCTCTAACCTTTGGGTAGCTACGAAGTTCGTGGTATTTCTAGATGCATCTACTTGGTGGCTATTCTATGAATATGCGCTGCTACCTCTAACACGACGAGAGTAGTTGTCGCGTATAGCAAGCTGCACCCCTCGCGCATGTGGTAAGCAGCGACGAATCGACTTCGGGTCAGTTGGATGCTTCACCAAGGCTTCTGCGGTGGTTATCGGATACCGTATAGGTTCTTGTAGCTATCCGTACCTCCTGCTTCTATAAGCCCGTCTGGTCTGGAGACAAAGGCCAGAAGTACATAACAAATCTTCCGGTTTAGAAGCCCCGGTTGTGTCGGTAGCAGAGAGATAGGGCTCAGCCTCAAGTTGATACGTAGGGGTGTTTCCTGTCCTTTTGTTCTGAGATCTAAATTACAACGATTAGCTACGTAGTTAACGATGTTGTGGGGAATATGAAGGGTCTGGGTCTTTACCTTTATCCCATAAATCATAAATCCTCGGCATTTTACCGTGTTATTTGGTCTCCGGGTCACAGTTAACGCAAGGCCGCTCCACCAGGTCCTCAGAGAAATGGGTGGTTGAGAGTAATAACAGAATAAGTCGCTGTGATCCATCAGGAGCAGTTAATACTAAAACTGTAGATGCGGTTGAAGAATGACCAGACGTCAATTTTAGCATGAGAGAAGCTTTAACTATCGGCCGCTGAAAAGTGGGCTTGGTGAGAGATAACTTAGTCATTTAACTACCAGTGCAGGGGTAACTACAAGTTAAACGTAACTGGCAATTACTTGAGAGAACTTGGCCAAGTTCATGCTTGCGATGGTGAAGATACTCCACGCTGACAGTAATGTGATAAGAAGTCGTCCCTAATCATATTTCCGTCTTAGTATTGAGGATAGGCTGCCTTTACGTGTACGAATCAAGAATCTGCAAGGTTATGGTAGAGGATATATCATATTGGTATAACATATAGACAGACACTCTTGTCTCTTGTATCAAAGGCTCAATTGAGCTCGTAGTCAAAGCATATAAACATGCGGTGGTTAAGAAGTATTTGCAGCTAAAACATATGTGCTTGCTCGCGTCATAATCAATTCAATCATCATTCGATTATCGTTAAACGTTCAATCATCTCCTCCTCTTCATCCGTCTTTTTGTTTGGGTCTGTTTTCTAAGGGCTCAGCAGCCATTCCTTCATTCACGTCATCCCCGAAGAATATTCAGAGACTCCACTTCCGCAGCTCCCGTTTACCCACAATACGTCTTGTTCAAAATGCGCTCAACTCGTTCCTCTCCCAATGGATGGGCAATTGAATACAAGAAGCATAGCCTGGCCACAATACTGCTACCGGGCATCTTGCTTCGTCAAACCGAGTTGCTCGGGGAACACAAAGAGACAAAGACAGCTTGGCACTTTCCCAATCTCCATCTAACCAATTGATGCTTCACCAACACCAGCTAGCCCTGACGAACTAGTGGGAGGTAAGGTCATCAACTGGAAAGGGAAAAGGGGGGTCGTGGCAGAGGTGAGCTAAAGCCCTTGCTCGATGGTTCCTGGTCCAAACAATTCGGTAGGACTCGATAAGATGGCGATGGGATTGGAAGATGCGGCTATGACATTGTTGTATCCATGGGACAAGTGGTCGCAATACATCGGACAGTAGGCCAGGGTCGGAGCACAACCTCACGATTGTGATTTCCCCTCGGCTTCCTGTGGTTTCCTTTCCTGTAAGGCGATCATATTGTCTTTTGCCCATTTGCGTCGACGCTGCTTTTGGCCAGGTCGATTGCGCTTTTTCTTGGGTTCCCGTAGAGGAGCTGCCAGGTCGAGTTTAGGTTCAGGCTTCGGTTCTTGCGAACCGAAATTCCCACTCTCTAGAGCAGATACGAGGAGTCTAACAATTTGAATCAAGACGAACGGCGAGATGTTGTCCAGGCGTCGAAGTACCAGAGCCTGGGTCTGAGGTCCAGTCCGGGTCTCAGTCTGCCGTTTGGTGGTGTAATCGGGTTGCGGTTTCAGTAAGTGGAGGGTCCCTGGCTCAGCAATCCAGTAGAACGGGATAGAGCTAATGTAGGGTTGGGAGTCCCACATTAGAGGTAAACCGTTCACAAGCTCCGTCCTCAACTCCAAGCGGAGGCCGGTTACCACACGGGGCGGAAGAGCCGGTGAAGCTCCGGCAGGGAGGAGGGTCAACTTGCCGTTATCCATAGCACTCGCGGGAACAAGGTAACGGGTTCCTAAACATCGGCCAAGGGCCAATGACGCGAGGATAAGCCCCAGGTAGCCGCAGACTAACAGAATCTCTGAAGAATTGTCGGGCGAGATTCTGTCAACGCGGTGGGTATGAGTAGCACCTGGGGAAGGATCAGCAGCACGACAAGGCGTCCCATAGTGTTGGCGTTTGAGTAAGTGCCATGGGAACGGTCGTCCATTGAGTGTCGGAGGCCTCTCTACTTCTTCATCGAGGTCGTCGTAGAGAAGCGCATAGTTGATCGGAGGGATTGCGAGCCATTCTTCGTATGTCGCCGGGAGGCGGTTAGAAATTTCCGGGAGACGCCTGGGGGCGTCTGGGAGGTTGTCAGAAATTCCTAGGCGACGGTAAGAGCAATAGGTGGAGGCGGCAGTTTTCGTTGCTCTTTTCGTGACTTCAAAGGCACCGATAGTCATGAGGCTAGCTTTAATGGAGCCAGCCAACCGTCTGCCAAAACCATCCTGAGGGGCGACGGCGGTAGAGGGCGCTGAAGCAATGGTGCTCCAGATTGTCAATGTTGCCACTAAACTGATGAAGGTGATCAACATTTTGGTGGTTCTAAGACTTTGTTAGCAAGAATAGAGAAAATAACGATGGTAACAAGGACAAAGGGAAGGTTAAAATTTGGTATCAGAAAAAAAAAAGCCTGAAAAGGGGAAGAAATAGAGAAAGAGCATGGGATATCAAAATGTTTGAGAGGGCACAAGGAGAACAGCAGGGTATTTATATAAAGGTTGCAATAGGTATATATAAAGGGATAAAATCAAACTAGGTGTGCTTACGTTCAAAAAAGGAGAGATAAGATGAGGCTTCTTTCTAGTCTGTTTCTTTTTCTGGCTGCCTATATACATGGTTAGCATGATGTATCGAGAAAGGAGTGGCAGTATGATAAAGTAGAAGACATACCCTTGAAAGGAGCGGCAGCTCTGTCAACAAGGAGAAGGTCGTTGCAGGAGGGTGGGAGGCCGAATATCTCACTGAAGAGATGGTAGAGGAGGTAGCCGTAGCAGTGTAGCAGTGGTTATAGCTTGCTCTTGCACTTGAGATCATCTGTAGCCAAGGGGGAAGAAAACGTCTGCGCTGACGAAGAGAAGAAGAAGAAAAGGAAGAGGGGAGAAAAGTGAGAAGAAGAAGAGCTTTTTATATTGTGTGGCGGGAAAGTAGTAAAACTTTCCTAATTGAGGAACACTGAAGCCCTGAGGACAAAAAGATCACGTTTTTTTGCATCAACTCGAGTTGATCCAGCGTAAGGACAGTTTGATCGAGTGTGTTAGGTATATAAGATGACAGGATCGGGTATATAGAGGACATGACAGGCGTTCCTATGACAACGGATATCATTCCCAGGTGGTATCAGTGGCCCTATAATGGGGGTATTGATGCACTTTAGATCAACCAACACAAGCAACATCTGGATCAACATTCTTCTTTTTGCCTCTCAGTCGTAGGTAATGAAGCTGCAGAGAAAACAAACAAGTAATAGAGAGAAAGACAGAAAGAACCAGGGGAGTATGTAGAATGATGAAATAAAAAAAAAGGAGTATCAGATTTCTTTTCCCTACCCATAAAACGCCAACGCAAAGGAGTACACGCCTAGTCTTTCATAACAGGGAATCCAACATAATTATATCCGTTTCCAGGAGTGTGAGCAGAGAGGAAAGAGGTAAAAAGGTATAGAGATGCAAGAAGGCAAAAGGATCTAGTCAAGATCCATCTCCTCCTGAGCACCACCATCGACCAGCAATTTGGTCTTCTTCTTCCCGCGCAGCTTCTCTTCTCCAACGGGCAAGCCAACTTTCCTGTTGAGTAGGTCCTCCGCCATCTTGGTACCCTCCGCCATCTCCTTCAGCTCCTTGCGGATCAGATGCTCGCCCTCTGCAACCACCCTTCTGTCTTCGGCTCTCTTTCTGTCCCTGGCGATCTTGCCTGCCAATCTCCTCTTCGTATATACCCTCTCTCGTCGCTGCCTGATCTCCTCTACCCTCTTCATAGCCTTGATGGTAGATTCCACAAGGTTTCTGTCGTATTTCACAGGTGCATTGCGCTTCTTGGCGAACTGTGATAGCACCAGGGACGAGTCGACTATCATCTCCTTGCCATGAAGAGCACGGTGTGTCTTGGTCCATTTTAGTTTACGTGGCTGACGCTTCATCTTGAAATTTTTGTGGCATTTTGAGCGGCAGAAGCGGAACTGTCGAGCATCGTTGCGCACGAATGTTATTCCCTTGGAGGGATACACCGGCTGTGAGCAGAAATGGCAAGTCTCGACCCTAGGCTTTTGTGTTAGTCTCGTCCATTTTGAGACTTAAGAAATACAGAAATACATACCTCATCGTTACCTCTGGTCAATAATTATTCTAGGGTAATATTTTATATTTGTAGTTGTTGCTTGACATATACCCTTCAATTAATTTTTTTTTTCTTTCTTCTTTGCGGGTTAACTAACATTCTGACGCTAGTCCTAATTGGGAAAGTCTATATATTATTTTTTTATTTTGGAAGTTTAAGAATGAAGAAAAAAAAGAAGAACTTCGCATTCCATCTGACAAGTGCAGTCGACAGGCCATCTGAGCATCGCATACCCGTTCATCCCATACGGATATACATTCATCTATCAAAATGACTTCAGTAGTCGCTATTGGTGTTGGTGTCGCCGCGGCCGCTTTCTTCGTAAGCACCAACTGCCCTTTCGCTGTTGAGCTGTAAACTAACCACCATATCTCTTCAAGGGGCGAGCCGGTCTAGTAGCACTCCGCAGATACAGAGGAGGCGTGAACGGTGCTGGGCGCGCATTCTACAAAGGCGGATTCGAGCCCAAGATGAACAGACGAGAGGCATCTCTCATCCTATCGCTCTCGTATGTCATTTCTCTAAGAATATCTCCTCCTTCCGTCCATAATCAAAAGTCTTCTTGACTAACTATTGATTGGCAGTGAACGAACCCTAACCAAAGATAAGGTCCGCGCAAACCACCGCAAGCTAATGCTTCTTAACCACCCTGATCGAGGGGGTAGCCCGTACCTTGCCACAAAAATCAATGAAGCGAAAGAATTACTTGAGAAGACCGTCTAGATATTTCCATCATATCTTGAGATAAGATAACTGGATATTGAACCGGATCCTACCCGAACATACTATTAATCAATGTTTCCTATAAGCCCATGGCTCGAGGACAAAACGAAACGGCAGAAGAAGGGAAAAAAGATGAGCCCTATATCAAGCGGAAGTGATATCAACTGCTGGTGTATTTTTATCAAATATTTCCTTTTTCTTTTCTCTCTTAGATTCATGAGGGCTGATGCATAGCGCTGGCGTTTTTGGTGGATAAAGCCTGATTATATTTCTGTTTCTCTATTTGGAAGCATGACTTTGCAATGTGTCAGGAAGACAAAAAAAAGACTCCTCTCTATTTATATACCTAAGTATACTTGTATTCCAGAGGTTGATATATCTCTCCCCTTACCTATCATGATATTCCGGATTTTATATGAAGACAGGGTAATATATTATATAAAATATTCCTTAGAGTACTAGCAGTGTTTTCCGGAATCAATATCTACATATAAAAGTATGTGCACGAAGCACGGTGTTTTTTCTATGCAAAATAAAAGAGTAAATTTTGTACCATATATGGACCCGCATTCATCTCACATCAATCAATATTCAGCCCCAGACCGCGTGAAGAAAAAAATGTAAATAAAACAAAATAAAAGAGCATAGGGATTGAACCATCGAAAGAATATCCAAATATCAAAAGGGGGGTAAAAGGCAAGGTAAGGTGCATTCCTCTCATAGCTTCTTGTTTTCCTCTCCTCCTACCCCTCTTACTGTGCGGTCTTAAATGACTAAATGTCTCTCCCTATTTATCTAATCATGTCCATCCCTCTATGTAATGATGCTTCAAGATCATGCTCGTTTGTTCCGTCGAACACGGCTTCCTGTGGGCGAGGATCTTCATGTCTCCACTGCGCTCCTTTATCCTCTGGGATAGGCACGTTGGTCTGCTGAGGCTGTAGCTGCTGGGCAAGCGCAGCCTGGATGTGAGAAGGTTGGCGCACATGGTCGCGGAAACGCTGTACTTCGTTGAGAATCATACGGCGCATCTCCTGCACGTCGTCGACAACTTCAAAGTGGAAGTCGAATGGGGTAGGGCAGTTGGGCTCGTCACTTGCATCATGCCAGATGTGCAGGTAGCGATGCTCAAGGGCCTCTTCCACGCTGATACGGGACGAAGGGTCGAAGGCGAGCATACGGTCGAGAAGGTCGAGTGCATCTGGGTTGGCGTTGGGGAATAGTCTGGCGAAGGGCTGTTTGTGCATGTGTGGGAGGTTGCGGACGTACTCTTGTGCGCGTGGGGAGCCGATACGGCAGAGTGTCTCTTCACTAGGGGTTCCAAGGTAGTGGAGGATCTGGTTTAGCTGGTCGACGTAGTCACGGCCCTTAAAGAAGGGTCGCCCGCCAAGCAGTTCGGCAAGAATACATCCGACAGACCACACGTCAACTGGCATGATAGTTAGCATAGATATAGATGCTGTCATTCACGGGATTTGACTTACTAGCTTTGGTGTAACTTGGGAAACTCAACATAATTTCCGGAGCACGATACCATCTCGTAGCAACGTACTCGGTCATATATCCGGCGTTCTCATCAGGGTCGATCGAGAAGCCACGGGCCAGCCCAAAATCACATATCTTCAGCTCACAGTCGGCGTTAACTAATAGGTTACCTGGTTTCAAGTCACGATGCAACACGTTTGCAGAGTGGATGTATTTTAGCCCACATAGAATCTGGTAGATGAAAGACTGGAAGTGGGCGTCTGTCAGAGGCTGTCCCGATCGAATGATGGCGGCAAGATCACACTCCATAAGTTCTACCATTTGTCAGCGCTTCATCCAAGTTATGCTATCCCAGGCATACACCTTACCCTCGTAGAGGTACACCTCATTAAAATTATCTGGCCGTGGAATATCCATATCGTAAAGACAGGTGATCTGAAGCTCGTCAGTCTGGTGAATACATGATTGTACTCGACAAAGCTTACGTTACGATGGCCACGGAAGTGCTGTAGTAACTTGATCTCTCTCAGGGCACGTTTGGCCAGAATCCGCTTGCTAAAGACATTTGTAACCTTCTTGATGGCCACACCTTCATTGCTCTGGACGTTTGAGGCAGCACTAAATGGGTTTCGTGAGTCGTGTTAGCCTGTCATTCTTTTCTTGTTCTTTGACGGAGAAGTGGGATGTTCACGACTAGAATGCGGGGCAGCAAGCAGCCTCACGCCATGGGAAGAGGGAGAATATAATGAAGAGTAAGAAGAAGCATACCAGACGATACCATAAGCTCCCTGGCCCAACTCCTTGGTAACGTTATACCGTTCATCGACAATAAAATCCTGGTTGAACACCTTGAAGACCTTGCGTCCTTGGAGATCTGCCATCTTGTACGTAAATTCGCGATCGCATGTATATTCTGTTTCAAACGTCAAACGAGGCTTTGGCGAAGGAGTTCAGGGTCCCAAGAAGAAGGCCAAGGCAAGGCGTCTCCCCAGCGGTCTCTCCTTTGCCTGCGGGTACGAGGACAGTCAGAGAAGAGCAAGACGTCGCAGGGCGTTTAATTGAGTTTTTTTGGGTCGGTTCTTGAAGGTGGGAATAATTAAGGGGGGTAAGAATGGGTTGGGAGACTACGGGAGTCAAATAGTTAGTGGGTCCTTTTTGCTATCCTGTTCGAAATATTGACACAGAGGAAGCCGTATGAATAAGGTGAATATCAGAGAGAAAAGTAGAAGGATAGCTTGAGCTCGATGTTTGTGTTTGTGTGCTGCATCAACCGGTTGGTTTTGGAATAGGGAGGGGAGTTTGTAGTTGGGTGGGGGGGAAAGGGGGAGGGAAGAGACAACGATGAGTTAGACAAACGACAACGAAGTCACAAGGAAGAAGGAGGAGGAGAAGTCTCTGATGTCTCGGCCAACGAGAGGAGGGATGGAGGAGTTACGAAGGTAGTTGGTGGAGGGTCAGTTATTTACCTGTGATATCGTTGAATATAAGGACTACTCTCTGCCCATCTCGTGGCGAAGTCTTCGTCTTCGTCTTCCTAGAGCAGGGAAATAAAACAGGGAAAAAAGGAGCAAGACGTCTGTATCTTCTCCCTCTCTCTCGCTGTGACTTGTGATGAACTTCGTGGGGCAAAGCTGACTCCGGCGGCTACTGGTGGTGATGATCCCTAACAGTTAGTTAAGCAGCTTTTAAATAGTGAACTGCCAACAGCTTCCAACACTTTAATATATAACAACGTGAATGCGGCCTTGTTGCCTGGAGGATGCCTTCAGCTGCGGGTGGACGGAATACCAGATGGTAGATACTTCGAGCTGTACTATGAAAGTTGCCAATAGGGGGTTTCCGTTTGATTGATGTCTTATGCAAGGGTTGGTCTCTGCGCCTCAGAACTCTTCTCTCCTTTTGGCTGTTCTTTTCTGTGTCCTGCCTGGCTGGCCCTTGATTGGCGATGGGCCTTGTCTGGCTTGCTTTCCCTCTTCCCTGTCGACGATCCATCCGCTGTGTCATCCACCGGATATTTTTGAGGCTCTTGCCGGTTCAGACAAACTCTTCGTCCTCTCCTGTTCATTCGAAACTGGAGCCTTGGGCTAGGGCCGACAGAGGCGACGGCCATCTCATGAAACCGATAATATAGTATTATGGAACATTCCCATCTCCGTCCTGGATGGGCTCCAGTCATCCAATATAACAAATAATAAAAAAAATACCCTTGTTAGAGTTGTGCTGTGAGAGCAACAGATCGACGGAGGCCGAGCATCATCAACTGGCCCGGAACTCAGCTCCGAGAGAAACTTACCAAGAGGAAACATCGGATACCCAAAGCTTTAGAATATATATACCAAATAGGTCGAAAGGGTTTATGGATATGTATCAATGGCCAAAGAATGTCAAAAATCAGCCAAAATACCTTGGGAGACAAGAGTTAAACAAAATATGTCATCTAAATTAAATATATTCCAAGGTTCGTTTCGAATCATGCCGGGACAGCCGCACCATCGCCTCTCATGTCACTTCCGGCACTATAAACAGTCTTACCCTGATCGGTATGACATCTAATAATCTGTCCGCGCCCAAACTTGCTTCGTTCGAATGAACTAAGCAATTTCACCGGATGGCCCATTCGTCCGAGCTCTTCCACCACGGACTCGCTGATCCCTTCTTCAAGGTATATAGTCTGGCCATAGCCCTTTTCCTTGCTTCCCGCCTCGATGCAGAATCGCGGAGCGTCCAGCGCAGCCTGGGGAGATAGATCGAACGCTAGGGTGTTGAAGAGAACCTGTACATGGCCCTGTGGCTGCATGAAGCCACCCATGACCCCGTAGACGGTGTGCAGGGAGCTGTCTGAGGGGTTAGTGACCATTGCAGGGATGATGGTATGATATGGCCGTTTCCCGGCCTGCAGGACGTTCGGATGGCCGACTTGGAGCGAGAAGTTGGCGCCACGGTTCTGAAGGGTGAATCCGCAGCCAGCGGGGATGATGCAGGTACCGAAATCCTCGTATACGCTGTTGATGAAGGAGATGCCGTTTCCTTCCTTATCGGTGACGGCGAGGTAGACGGTGTCACTGTGGTTGTGCGCGGGGCTGCCATGGTCCAGGGTGCCGGGTGATGCCTTGCTGGGATCGAAGAGTTTTGCTCGTTCGGCCAGGTAGTCGGGTGAGATGAGCTCCTGGGCTGGCACCTTCTCCACATCTGGATCGGTCACCCACCATGCAGCATCGGCAAAGGCAATGCGGAGACTCTCGATCAGGACGTGCAGGTAAGGCGCAGTGTTGTGTTGGTCGGGGGAGAAACGAGGAATCTTTCCAGATCGGGAAAGTTCCTTGAGTATGCCCAGGGCCATCAAGGCGACGATTCCCTGACCGTTTGGTGGGTGCTCCCATAACTCGACTTCCTTCCCATCCTCCTTCTTCTTGGAAGAGACAAAGTCGCTGGGGTCGAATTTGAGGGAAATAGGGTCTACCTCCTGGCTTCCCATCTCCGCATGATTCTTGAGATCGTCGAGGGTCATAAAGCCACCCAGATCTTCAACAATCTGGACGATAGCCTTAGCTACGTCTCCTTTGTAGAATCCGTCCTTTCCATCCTTTGCCAGAGCCCGAAACGTCTTGGCTAGAGTTGGGTTTTTAAACACCTCCCCCGGAGCAGGGGCCCTCGCACCGCCTTCCGCCTCGCTGTCTACTCTGAGAAGTTCCTTGAAGTTTGGGCTGCCTTTTCGAATCTTATCCTCTGAACCTCTCCACTATATGTATTGTTAATTCGGCAGTTGCAGAGTTACACCAGACAGGATAGGCACATACGAACGAAGATGCCAGCTCGGCCACGGGGAACCCTTCTTCCCCAAGCTCAATAGCTGGCGTGAGTATTTGCTCGAGGGACACCCTCCCGCTTCCAAACTTTTCCACTGTGTCTACCCATCCTGCAGCCGTACCAGGCACAGTAACAGCATGAACGCTCAGTTTTGGCAGTTGTGTTATGGTGTCATCTCCTAACGCTTTACGGACACGATCCAACGATGCACCAGCAGGCATACGTCCAGAGCCGTTCAATGCATGCACTTTCTTAGTTTTGGCATTGTAGAACAGACAGAACATGTCACCTCCGATCCCGGTAGAGTGCGGTTCAGTCACATTCAGTGCAGCAGCTGTTGTACGACTCAGTTAGCCTTGTATTATGCATGTCGTGAATAGATCATGATTTCCCACTTACCAACAGCAACCGCAGCATCCTACACATCATTATGAACCTGTCAGCGAGGCAATTTTTGAGATTTGACAGCCAGACTTTCGACTTACAGCAGCATTACCACCCAGCCTTAGAATTCTCTGACCGGCTTCCGCAGCCAGAGGCTGAGTACATGCCACTATCCCGTTTGTACTATGAACAACACTCCGGCGGCAAGGGAACGCAGTAAACGGCGATGACGCCGAATGGACATCGCTTGCAGCCACAACCATCTCGACTTCAACTTGGGGTCAATTATGAGTAAATCAACAGTATCGACAGACTGATATGAGCTCCGTGATCTTGTTTAAATAGTTCCACCACAAAAGAGATATTCATCAGTTCAAGAAACGATGCCGAGATAATCGCCCGAGAGCGAAAAAGTGCTCCCCTCCGCACCGGCTTTGTCCCCGTCCCTTGCGCCCCCCCTTCAACCTGGCCCGCGGCACGCCAACAGCAAGTCACAAGTCAGGAGTTGAGAGGCGAACAAGTGTCTTCTCTTCTTCCCCACGTCGCCTTTTCGTCTTTTTCTCCCCTCACTTCCGATGCGGAGACTTCGTAGCTACTCACGTGAAAGATATAGGGAACATCCATTAGGAGGGGGCGTAAGCCTACGTGTTGCTAATTAAGAGATAGAAAATAAGTATGTCTGTGTGCAAATGTATCCTCGTAGTCGAATTCCCAGTATAATTTCAAGCACTGGCCTTGGCTGTAGTTAAAATAAAATTTGGGATAGATAGATTAGGGCGGAATAAAGAGAGGCATTAATCTAGCTATACAATTCAACTATACCAACCAGCAGCACGGAGGGCCAGTCTTCTAAGAACAACATAGAACCTTATCATGGCAATTGGTGTTTATCTGTTCTTGTAACGTGGTTAGGTAGGTTTCGACTATCGTCTCCGAGCTTCTGCAATCACATTCATCTCAGGGAATATCCACGTATTCTCATAGATGATCATCGGAGGAAATTTTTGCTCCTTGGATGTAAACCGTACGTCATAGTCCAGGATGAACTTTGAAAAAGCAATCTGGGCTGCCTTTACACCGATGAACCGCCCAGGACAAACTGAGGCCCCATAGCCAAACGAAAGAAATGTCTCGGAGGCGGTTGTTGCCCGTGCAGTGCTCGTTTTCGACGTTGGGTTATAAAACCGATACCCGTCAAAGGTCATTGGGTCAGGATAGACTTCAGGATCAGTATGAATATACCTCATAGGTATTCCAATATATGATCCTTTTGGAATATCCATGTCCATAGACTTAATCTTGAGCGGCGCGTGCAGGAGCCGGGATACACTTACTATAGAGACAGAAGAGTTAGCTACACATCAAGCAGCAAGAGCAGGGCCCCGTAGAAAAGTTCATCTACCTTGAATTGCTACGTTCAAACGTAACGTTTCACGCACAAAACTTTCGAACTTCGGTGTATGTGCTAGGAAATCAGATTCCCATCCACCCGCAGAAGCCAAGGCTCCTGAAATCTCCTCCCTTAGGTCGTCCACATATTCAGGGGCTGCCATGATTCGTGATAGCATGGCAAGTAGAAGCGGCGTAATAGGCCCCCAAACTTCATAGATATGGAACAACATCTTCATGAAGAGGCTACCAATTTGCTTCTCATCATCCACAGACTCTTTCTCGGAAAGAAGGCCATCCTTTAATGCAAACTTCAAAAACACAGTCAACATAGTTAGATCGTCACTAGCCGATTCGCCCGATCGTAGCATTTTTATACGCCGCCGCATTTCGGGAATCAACTTTTCCCTTAACACCAAATCATTGGAGCGAAATGCACGGTTAGTTGGAGAGAATCTCCATACTAAGGGCCAGAGAATTCGTGGGTATCGATCAAATTCCATTAACACACCTTCAATACCTAGAACATGTGAAGTTATTTGCCCCATGAGCTCTTCGTCCCTGGAGAACTTCGGCCCAAGGACCAACGAGGTAGAAAATATCATCAATAGAGGGGATAGTATTTCCTCAATATTGAATTTGGTCCACTCTATCGAAGTGTTAGACATTTATTCGTGCATTGTAGGATTTAAGGAGAAACAATACCCTTGTCGTTTGGATCACCCAGTAGCGAAGGTAGGAATTCTGCTGCATCGTTTGCCATATACTCTTGAATTCTTTCTAAAAAATAGAAGGTTCGCCGTTAATATGTGTTCGAGTAGATGTTTACAGGACTGTGTGAGAGGAATGCTAACCGAAGTGCCTCTTTTGGTTGTATGCCAGAACAGCGCGAAGGTGAGTTTGACAATTTACTTGAGTATGGTATCCCATGGCGGCCATCTGTAGTATATGGGTGGTAAGTAAATTGATGACCAGGCACAGACATTCAGATGACATACGTTCTCGAGATAACTTGTAAAGTTCAAATGATTAGACGGCAAATTGCACCATTCTTTCATTGATGTCGATGGGAGAAGGATTATCCAGTTGTCGAGATCCGCTTTGGTTGCAAACGGTTTTCCCTTCTTGGTGAACTAGGTCAAATATAGTCAGTATAAGACCCGTCAATCCGAATGAAGACGCCATACTGTGTTATATGCATTTCTGAGACCATCATCTAACTCGGAGGTACTCATTTTCTGCCTGAATCTCGCTTTTAGAAGTGTCTGGCTGGATACGCAATGAAGACCTCTGACGGGCCAGGCGCGCAGAAGAAGATCAGCATGATCAATCAACAGTATAAGAAGTGCCAGAACGCCAATAAACAGAGCAGCAGTCTGATAAGGGATGGTGTAATCGATTATATGAGAGACGCTAAAATTCCCTGGGGCGGCCATTGTAGCGCAATTGGAAACCCCTTCAAAGTGAGCGGGAAGAGCCTCACGCAACAGTAGTAGAAATCTGCGGAATGCTTCCTAATAATCGTCGAAGTGAAACCAAACAATAGATAAAAATGGTTGTGCCATATTAATTACTTACTATAGTGACGGGAACTTTGTTGCATATATATAGGTAGTAAACACGACTGATAGTCTTCGTGGTGGGACAGGTGCGCACTCCATACCGCGTAATACTCCGTACATAGAATATAACCTGCACACTTTCCTTTTTCTTTTGGTCCAGGATCTTGTTCCCTCTGTCACCCACCTTTATTTTGACTGAATTATTGGACTTGGGGCCAAAAAAGCAACTACTATGTAAGGTCAGTTTCAGCTCAAGGTCCTTGCCCTTCTCGATACTGTGGTAACGTAGCCCATGTGTCAGTGTGTGAGGTATTAGCCTTGTTGTAGTTACAACTGATAGATCGGCCCGTCTGTGGATAACATGTCTACATAGATTGTAAGGCACGGCGGAATGCTCGTGATAATCCCGAGTCTATTCCATGCGCTCCATGCGCTATCACAGATAAAGAGGGCACACATTATTTTATGTGGGTTCCATCACCTTCGCAAGGCTCGAATATGTATTCCGTAGATAGTTTCCGATCCGTGTCCTGTCAGGTCGTGCTACCAATTTCAAACACCGCCAGTCTGGTTGGGAAGTGACAAGTAGATTCTTGCCTCATCTGGTGGAGAACTTTTAACGTATCACAGGCATGATGACTAATGAAAACCGAGCTGAGACCTCTCCCTTTTGACCAATTATCTGTAGGAAGAATGGTAAATACTACGTAACCACCCCATTTGCCGCTAAAACAACTTGTTCATTGGACGGAGCTTAAAATAAAACATCACCAGAAAACAAGTGATTACTATAGCAACATCGTTACTATTACTAGGTAATACAGTGCTTGTTTGACCTCCTGAGTAAAATATCAGCTTCTTATGTCTGTGCTTACTTTAATCGTAAAGCTGAATTTACATAGTACACCCTGTTATCACAAATATTTCGTGGGTGCATGCATAGTACATATACGGAATACGTCTGTCATGCATGCTATGGCTTTTCTTCTCCAATCTAAATCCAGGATGAGAATCCCTTCAGAAACGGAAGGAAGAGGTTTTGTTGCTCCGGTACGAAGTAGTGACCTACTATGTATGCTTTCTTGGAGCTCTCAGCAATAGATCTTTCCCCTCGTTAGTTATGTCCAGGATATTTGGAGCCTACATTTAATACTCCGTACAGAGTACTTCCTTACCCAACCTTCATGCCCAACATACGTGTCAGCTTCTCTGTACTGAATGGAGCCGTATGGCTAAGCGGTTGATATATGGTTGTCCTGAGTTAATGTATAGGTATATTCTGTGTGTAATCTGTCTTTTGAAGGGTTACAAATGTTTTGTTTGATCATATATAAGTGGCACCGTGTAACACCATCCAGCTTTGGATAAATTTTATCGTCATATTTCAAATATGAGAATATTTTATGTATACATAGTATAGGGGTGCACTTCGTAGTTGTGCCATGGGCCTGGTTAAAAGGTTATAAACGGCATGTTCCGCTCAGGGAAAAGTTTCGCACTTACCTCCCAGTCTAGCCTAGCGGTCACCAAGGAACTTCACTGATGATCCTCAACTTTGATTATATGGAGATTTGTTTCCACTGATACGGTCCAGCAAGCAGGCCCTGCTCTGGTGGATGGGCTTCCCATAACCCTGGCAAACGACACAGCGGTGGCTTCGCTTTAAAGAGAAGGGAAAATTGGGTCTACGCAAGCGACAATTTCTTCTGCCTGATGGTGCGGCGTTAAATCTTGCATCCTGTGCCGGGTGCACTCTGGCTCGAATTTGAAGCTGGCCGCTGGTGCTTCATTGTTTGGATGCCTAGGTCACCCCAATAGTCTGGATATCCTCAAAATTACCGCAAATCTTAACTGTACTATGTATCGTGTTAATGATGCCTAGCGACATATTTGTGATCTCAAGACATTCAGCTGCCTCGTGTCAGAGGCCCCTTTTCTCTAGCAACAATATTACAGAGTGGCTGGTTCATCCCTCCACACGATATTCTCGCCCAATCAGTTAAATCAATGATATAACCCTTTTTGTCCCCATCCTGTGCTTAATAGATCCCTCATCTCCGCTTGTGGGAAAAAGCTAGGTTGCTCTTGGTTCATCTATGTACATGGTACGCAGGAATGGCCTACAAGCTGTGAACCCGGTAATGGAAAGTCTGGTCTCTCCAAATAGACCGTACACGGAGCCAGGACAGGATGCTGCATCTTAGAAGCTCACATTTGGAACATTTCTGGCGGCTTAGAGCTGCATAATGTGAGAAAACCGATGATCAACGATGATAGTATCTCGATTACCCCCTTTGAATCGTCTTGGTGCGCAATGTTATGGTATGCTCCGAATTTATATTTAGATCATGTATCACCTTTCATTAGTTAGGTCCAATACTTTACCCAAAATGTTATCAGTTTCCTGATTCTCAGGGTTTTGGATGAATTCTGTCACGGGCTGGCATTGGAGCGGACATGACTCCGAATTAATGATGATTCAAGGTACCAAGACTAGATGCATACCAGATTACATCAGGACTGCGCTTTGTGTATCCTGCGGCAATGCGCTGCTGTCATTCCTGAAGTTGACTTGTCCATACTCACGCTTCAACCATGTTCTGATGAAGCGGTAGATGTAATATTATAACAAGTTATGTGATGCTTCCTTATTATGAGGTCACGATTCCAAATTGTGAAGCAAAGATACCATTTATATACTATACCGTAGATGATCTGAAGGGAAAGTGATAAAGAAAGAAAATGGAAGGTGAAATAGGATAGAAGCCTATTCTCCTTATGTATCCCTTCGAGGCAAATACCATTTTTATTGTATGTTCAGGAGATACCGATATGTTCCTTACACAGAGAGTGAATCGCATTGGCAAGTCCTACCCGGGAGTCTTTAGAGAACTGTTATTGCCATGAGGTAGGTGTTGGAATATTATAACAACACTGGAAACACGGAGAGTATGTGGATTCTATACCGTATTATCCACCAACTCATGAACGCGAATCATTAACGTGCGTGCCGCAAAGGAGGATTATTGATGCAGCAATTGTTTCGAAGCCTACAAACTCCTCCATGACCTGTTATCTATCCTGCTCCGTGATAGCTCATCCAAATCTAAATCTTTGCATGTAGGAAGTAAGTAGAAGAAGGCAAACTACCCCAGGAAGCCTGCCAAGGTAAAGCCCTTATCACTTTTTCGGAGCTAATAGCTAGATGCGTATAGTGTGTATCAAGCCTACTCTACATTATATGCTTCCAGGTACCTATTAACTCAGCCACGGCTACCTGGCAATTAGAAGCGCATCAAAGGTCCTTCTACCCAGACAACTAACTACATTTGTCGATACAACACTCGCTCATAAACAGGAAGTAGTTAAGCTTCAACCTTTTGACTGCCCGACCGAAGGAAGGAGGTTGGATTAGGAAGAATTGGAGGGTTGGTTGGGACCTCAAGGTTTAGATGAGCCGGAGCGGAATAACTTAATATCAATTTAGGTAAGCAGATTTACTTTTTCGCGGAGCCCCAATAACCTTCCAAGGTTGAACATCAACCACGTGATTATATCTTCGTCTTGGTTGAGGACGATGAAACAACAACGGGAAATAAATGCCACCCTCGAACCCGAACCGGCTTGGGCTGCCCCGTCTTCTTCTTGCTTGCGAGTTGGAAAGCAGCCTGGCAGCATGTTTTTCCAGTGACTGTTTCCCTTGTTCTTTTTATTTTCTCCTACTTATCATTTTTCGCTTTAGATTTTTGTTCGTTTCTGTCCACTGTTAACCTCGTCTATCATCTATTGGGACTACGGGATAAAGCCCTTTGCGCGCCTGGTCTGCTCCCGTGAGAGGGAGTGACCGCATGGCACCATCATGGTGGTGTTTATAGACCATTCACTGGATGACGTTTCTTTTTGTGAACCAGCGAGTGGCTTCCGCCCAGGGAATGCCCCGCCGTCGTCGCTCGCGAAGGACAGCCGTTTTGTGCTCGCCGCCCCCCAGCCTCAACTGGGAGCTGGAAACCCTACCAGGAATAATATAGCCGATGGAAATGGATCGGAGAAAGATGGGGATTCTTCAAGCCTAAATGGCATTATATCGATGGCATTACGCTGCTACCCGTACGCAAAAACATCACACCTTTTGTTGTTGTTTTTGAAATATATATCTCCATATATTTCTTCTGTGCATTGCTATAGCATTAGGCAATTTTTGTCCGAAGTTATTGACCATAATGATTTGTTTTTTTTTCAATATTCTTCTTCACAGGATAGTAATTATGCTCACCCGATCTGTAGACCTAAACACTCTACATTCGTTGTCGATGACATGTCGCCAAGTCCATTCTTCCCTCCTTACTTTTCGAAAGCAACTTGTCAAGGAAACTTTACGCTGCAGGAACGAGGTTATCGACAGTATAATAAGCAACTCTTCCTCGCAGCTGTCTAATAATAACTGGGGCGGACTTCTCCCAAACCGAAATGGCAGTCTTAATTGGGGCAAAGTCGGATGTTGCGCTAGAGATTTGGTTGATAAATGTCAACGATGCGATGAATATGTTTGTAGGGTATGACTTTCCATTTATTACTCTAAAATGTCTTTATTAACTCTCAGTTTAGAATTGTACAATCAAACCTCCTTCATTGGCCAACTTGAAAAGTCGTTTACGACGAATTTGCCCAGCCTGTATCGATGCGCCCCTAATTGACCATGGAAATGGATTTAACGCCAATGGATCAACGTCAGGCCTGCACCTATGCAATTGTGATACCAACTCCTGGTACTGTCGACCATGTGGTCAACATTTAAGATGTGAGGACGTTACCTACCAACGTGTCTGGTCATGGCGCAATAGATATAATGAATTTCTTGGCGGCGGTGGCCATTGGGTTGGCTTTGGTGACTGTGGCCAAGGTGTCCAATGTGGCCTCGAACAGAGATGCCTTGCTGCTGAATACATTGAGGTAGAGGTGGACTGTGAAGCTGGAGACTGGGCGGCAGAATTTTCCCATTCTGATAATTCGAGTAACTCCGCCATCGACAATTTTCGCCACCCGAACTCGCTCTCGCATTCGGAGGGTCGGGATGACGAGGAACCAGGCTACCTTAGACAGGAAATTGAGGGAATCGGAGGCATCGTAAAGCAAAAAGTTAAGAAGAGGGTCCGTGTTGGAGCTAGTGTTGAGGAATGTGACGATGACCGCGAAACAACAACATATTTGAAACAAGAAACCTCTGGGGCCGTGCGAAGTCTGTGCGGATGGTGTTTAGGGATTGTTTTAAGTAACGCAGAAAGGGACCTTAACTGATCATTATCACGGGCAAAGGTATATACGGTCTCTACACCCAGCGGTTTATATGAGCTAGCCTTACTATACTAATACACATATATAGTCACATCGGGGTACGATGTGACTCCTGGCTTCCAGCCTTGTGACTTCTGTAGGCTATGCTGAATCCTTACCAACTGTAGACGCCATTTCCTCTACCTTGCCTTATCCCTTAACTCATTATTTTTTCGCATTTAACTCTTTAGAATCGTTGTTCATGATGGCTAGGATTAGACTGGACTTATCTCCCCCCCCCCCCCTACCCCCCACACTTCAACGATAGGATCTCTCTAAAGTCGTGGATCTGCTGATTGTATGATCTTATCAAAAAAGCTGCTGAGTTTAAAGTTTTTATGAAACCAGACCGTCAACGCTTTGATACTTATGACGCCAAAGCAGAGCTTACACGAACGACATGTCCTTTTGATTAACGCAATATCTGATACTTAGTTATCACTATTTCTAGGTATGGAGGCTCATATCTTAGTTAATATCTTATTTGCTTTCTACCATTTTTTATCAAAACAAGCTTGTTGGTACGTAGCTATGAGAAGAGCCTTGAGCGTATGTAATGGTAGACTAGGTAGGTAGAAATCAAAGCTCACTAGGGCTGATATTACTAGTTTGATGCACAATTATCCAATATATTGAACATGACAAATATATATAGGTCGAGTCCGCATGCAACTAGAATCGAGCCCTGAATATTTTTTTTTTTTTTTTTTTTTTTCGTTCTGTATATTACTGATAGGTTCATAACTCGTTCCGAATACTCGAATACCACTATCCATCACGATTAAGACTCGTCAGCAGAAGTGTAAGTTGAAGAGTGCCATACCGATAATTATCTAAGGAGATCTAACGGCGGCTTGGGCTCTACCACGCACGCTGACTATCACTCATGGTTAAGGTGAAATAAGATTATCCTCGGTTATTCATTGGTTAATCGAAGCATTTACCTGGTTCATTGAGGTTTTCTAAGCCGTATACATAGTACAGCAGAGAATACATAGTAGTTACAAGATCTACCAGGTATAGCGCAATAATAGAAAACACAGCCTTTTCTACCCCTGCAGCTCAGTGATGTGAAACAAGAGGCTGATTATGTAGTTGTATGCTCCATGGAAGGGAGCAGAGTTTTCACAGCAAGGCGGGAGATAATAGAAGGTCAATTTTCATGGAGGATTTCACTGTATTTAACGGGGGTGATACTAATACGGTCAACCATGTTACTAGCCGACATCGCCTTCGGTATGGTTTAATAGCTAAGAGGGGAGAGGAAGCCAGAGAGCCGCTTTTAAACTGGTAAATGTCAACACTGGAGGATGTAGACTGCTCCGGGGAAGTCGTTAAGTCCAGCAGCCATGAGGAGTAATCTGGCCACCTAGGGCTTCACAAAAACGTGTTGTTGAAGGAATGAGACAGGGTGGTAGCCTACGTAGAAGGGATGAGTGCTCTAACCAGGTTGTATAACTAAATCGCCAGCTTTGGCTCCTGATTCGCTGTTGTCTTCTAATGAATAAAAGAAGACAGGCAGGAGAATGGCAGAAGGAGGAAGAGGGAGGCCAGAGGGTCCTAAATTAAATGACAAGTAACAATCCATACATTTCCTTGAGAAAGATGACAGGGAGAGAGGCCATTGGAGGAGGGGAGCAAAACCAACAGTTAAGACTCCGCATCTCGCGGCTGTGATTGGATGGGGATTTTTATAGCCCATGCTGCGTCAGCCGCTGGTGCAGCCCTGGCCGGCGCAGGGTCGGCCCACCAAGCTCAGCGAGTGCAAGGTTGGACAAGGGCGATCCTACTCGAAAGCCTTTTTGTTTTGGTTTAATTTTGCAAAAAGGGGAAGGATGCATTAGTAAAGTAGGCTAATTAGTCTAATTTATTAATAGTGCTAATTATGTCGTATTTACCCTGCTTGGCATGCACAGTGGCTAAGTTACTATTTTTATCAAACTTATGACACTTATCTAAGCAGGGAAGTTTATTTGCTTTTAGCTTAGCGTAGTTTATTATTAGCATGTCCAGCGGATTATTTTGGGTTAATTTACCCACATTGATAGCCAGCGTCGAGGATCGATGGAAGAGAGAGGCTATGTTGACCGATCGACCAAGCCTTCCCGTCATGTTTTGGATAACTATTTCTTTGACCTGATATAGTTATACTATATGCATATGTTTCGCGCAGCATCCATACTCAGGGCTCCAAGGATATATACATAGAACATGGCCTCTCTTCACGTTCTTGTTGGCCCCGGGGAGAAGATGAAAACCAGAGAGAAGCTCTAAAACATACATGAATGATACGATGATATTGAAGTCGTGAGGTGGGGTGGAGTACAACTTATGCAGAGCTAGGTCAAATTGCATGTGTCTGTTCTTCGTCCCTCTATAAACATGAAACGATTTTAACCCCGGAAGCTCGAGGCACATGGCGTAGTAAGCGATGCTGGAGACTGATTAATCGAGGGGGAAACTGAACCTAGCGAAGACACCGCGCTACGAGATAATAACTACATAGGCCAGCGTTTTATTTTTTATTTCATCCAATAGCCAAATTGAGGTATACGTGACAGTCGCAAGTTGCGCCGTACTCTAACGTCGTAGAGGTACTTCTAATATTCATTCTCACTTCGCTCTTTCATCTCCAAGAGAGATTTATTATCCGAGATAGAAAAGATTGTGAATGTTGGCTCGCCTAGGGAGAGGGTTAGGCGGAGGAAGTAGAAAGTTGACAGACATGCGGCAACCACGCCAGACCCATGCTGAAACAAGTATGGAGGAAAATCTTGGGCTCCACACATCTACTATGTACGTACAATGGTGGAGGATTCGCTGGCTACAGCCCAAGGTAAAATATATGTAAGTAAGCAACTCCGTTGAGTGACGGCATTGCCAAGCTTTCGCAACACGTAGCCGAAATGTGACTATTCAGCAACACAGACTATGTTACTGGACGAAGTATGTATGTCTTACATTGGTGAAATTTCTAAGAGATGAGAAATACGAGTGAGTATATTCTTTGGGGTTGGTAGTCGGCGGTCAGTCGGTCGACAGAAGTTGTACCTACCTATGTTGAAGAACAGTCTGGTTCGCTTGGGCCCATAGTAGGCCAACAACGAAGATAATAGGAGTATAGGTGAGAAGAGAGAGAGAAAAAGATACATACCGTGGCCTCCCAGAGGCTCGGTGAAACGGATCAACCATTGTCTGATTGATGGGCGGTTAGTGACACCAACTTTGCTTATCTGAGAATGAATGAAACACGGTGGCCTGGCGGTTGGGTAGAGTTGGGATGTTTCGTGCGTGCGTGAGCGAATCTGTTGCAGATTGTCGGCGGCAATCTGTGGAATTTCTATCCTCTGCTTAGCATCCTGCAAGTGCTGCAAGCTGCATGTTGTTATTCTTAGTTTCAGAATTCCAACAACGCGCACAGGCCAGGAATTAGGTTTATTTAGGGTCCGGCGGACAGGTTAATTAGTCGCCTTTTTTTTTTTATTGTGTTTTTTATTTGGGATATTTTTGTACTTGACTTAGGATTCAAGAATGATTCTTATTGGAAGACGGGAGAGGGCGGATGTTGTGAAGAACTGGACGGCGTACCGACCACTCGGATCGCTGGGTTAAATGTTGGTTGATCAAGTTGTCGTGACAGGACTGAACAAGGACCTGAAGATGAAACTTGTCAGCGGGTAGGCCTTTGTTTGCTTGAAAGCCGGGCGTTTAGACATGATACAGAGAAGATGGGCGCTTCGCCTTCTTGACATCTGATGGTAGATACAAATAAATCCATCTATATGATCAAGTAATAGAATTTCGTTGAAGTCCTGAGCGGCGGGGCAGGTGCTTAGTCAGACTCGATGAGTAAGCAGCAAAGGGTTCAACCTTCACTCGACTTCAGCTACAACTTCAAAACGTTCGACAGCATTTGATCAGGATGATACTCGACTTGTTCTTAGAATAGGACGACTGTGCAGTTAACCGCCGACTCTGGTGGAAGCGCTGTGATGTGTCCTTACTTCGTACTGAGCACTCCGCCCTCAAAGGCCGCCAGATGGTCAGGGAACAGAGCATTGGGGCGCTGCCCTGCATAGCTCCCCGCCAGTGATGAGGCCAGGAAAGCTGTCCCAACCGCCAGCGCCTGTGATGAGTGTTTCAAGATCGTTCTAGTTCAGCATGTACACGCTCACACGGCTGCGACAGGACTGGAAAAGAAGGAAAAAGAAGGAAAAAAGGTCAGCTTCAGGATGCATCAACCCCTGACCCCGGCGCCTGCATATTCCCCTGGACTGTCACATTGCCAAAAGCCACACTGCCCATCCCGGGTTAATTGAGTATACTTAGCTTCTATTTTTGATCCACCTTGGCTCATTTGCTCACATTTCTTTCCTTTTTCTGTCTCTCTTAACCCTCATTTTGCTTTTTCTTTACGCTAAGTTTTAGGTCCGACTGGGGCATTATTTGCAACTTTACCTTGCGTCCCGAGATTCGACATCTAACGCAGCGCAGACGCGAAACCACAGCAAGACATACCATACCCGTTCGTGCGCACTCCGGCTGCATCTGGATATATATATAATAGGGACCCTCAGGTCTCTTTATTTAGTTCGTCATGGCTCCTCCAAACTTCAACGGATTTCCTGTTCTTCTACAACCATCCCACCTTGGGTCTCGATCACAATCGCTGTCGCCCTCAAGCTCCTTACTTCGTACATGCTTGACACCATCACTTCGTCGACCTTCTATCAATATATTTCCTACTTCTGAACGATGGACTCTCCAGCAGCCGCTATGGATTCTACCTTGTCGTGGTCCAGTCCTTATACCGGAGCAGTCCCTGGATCAGTTCCCGCCTTAACGCCGCTCTCGATGCCGCATACTCCGCATACTCCGCATACTCCTCTACTGACCTCTGCCATGACATCTCCTGTTGACAGCACTCCTATGCTTGGATTCTGCTTTCCAGAGTTCAACTTGGAACGTCCTACCTCCATGAAGCTTTATCGAAGCCACTCCGAAGGAACCGTGGGTGTTTCCTCAACTATGGCCACTCGCAAATGCGCCCCCAAATCTCAGCGCCGAGAATCCATTAATGTCAGCATGCCTGTTACATACACCCCAGCTACGCACCGTATCAGCAAAGCGAAGAAGGGGAAACGTGTCCATGCGTGCCAATTCCCTGGATGTACAAAGGTAAGGCGCAATAAAGAGCTTTTCTTCCTCCCTTTTTCTAGGTCTTTTCTTATTAATTCTTTTTCTTTTTCTTTCCTTTCAGGTGTTTACAAGAGCCGAACATAGACGGTATACCTCTCTAGCTCCCTTCAGAATAAAAGACGGCGTACGAAATAGTGAAGAGCTTAATGCTAAGATTTCGTCTTTATAGCCGGCATGAGTTGAACCACAATCCACAGGCAACATTTATCTGTACTATCAACGGATGCAGAAAGGGATTCCACCGCTCCGATCTTCTCTCTCGCCATATAGAGAAACAGTAAGGTTCCGCTCTTTCCTTGGAACGTGAAAGAAGGGTAGCTAATGTCATCCTGAATAGCGAACAAGAATCTCGCGCTACTAAATCAACAACCGGCCACAAGAGACGAATCAGCCAAATCTCCGATACCTCCGATATTGCCCCAATGTCTTCTCCCTCTCTTACAATGCCTCACTCGGTCCCAACCTCCGCTCAAATTCCTCCAATCACTCCTGAGTTGCACTCTCTTCAAGCTGCACACTCTCCATATCTGAACACCCAGCTTCTTTCCCCACCGTACTGGACCAGCTTCCGAAGAGCTTCCGATCCTGCTATTGCGTACTCTGGCATACCATATTCTAGGGGTGATGACTCGAGTCTCTTCTCTTCTCCGGAATGTTCCCGATCTCCTTCTTCGGATAGTAGCCACGGCAGCCATTTCCCATTCAGCACCCCACACATTACAGGAATCGGTATCTTCCATGAGCCCATGGTCGACCAAACTCTCATGGGTTCTTCATTGACATATGACTCGAATTTCGGCAGCTTTCAGGCGCTTGATTCTACAGCCATTCAATCTTCACCACTGGTTACACTCCCAGCTGACGGTGATAGCACGCGGATAGTAAGTGACTATACACTTTTGTCGCAACTAACGAGGAAACGTCAATAATACCCTTTACTAACAATATATCCAGTGTAACCTCCCTTTGAACTGGGCTCAAACGAATGGATTTCCTTGCGATGCGAACTTGCTTCCTCCATCTGAATCGCTTCAACCAATAGTTGAATGGGCATAGATGATTCGGCTAGGTCTAGATCAAGTCTAGCTACCCCTTCACACTAATCCCGCATTACCTATCGGCTCGCTTTACCAGTCAGTCGAATTTTATATCATAACGATCGGATTTCAGGACGCTACACATTTGGGTCCCTTATTATATTATTCTTTAGTTCTACTCGAAGCTTACCAGACCATGGATTGATTATTCCTCGACCTTTCTTTATCTGGCCCCTCCATGGTCAGATTTTTTTACCTTCAGAAATATCCGGCATTTATACCTCTAGGCATTACATGGCTACTGCAACTTATTTATCAGCCCATCACACATGGGACGAGTGGTCTTCTGGATGAAGGTGAACTGCAATTTTCTCACTTTATTTCATTCCGTATAGTCAAAGGGTGCTGGAGTTTTGAAGTCTTCTGCATTTATTTTTCATGTGGCCGGTGCCCCTTCTTCTGTTGGCGTACCTTTTTCGACTTTTATCTTCTTTGGGTTGGCTTTTCTGCGTTTCTGCTTTTTTGTTCTTCTTGTCCTCTTCATTTCTTCTTCCTCTTCTTCTCACACCCCTTTTTTCTTCATTTCTTCTTTTACGCCTTTAACGACTTCTCTTCATGAACATATATTGAATACCGGTTTTTGGAAAAATTTTTTGGCTACTTCTGGTTGGCATCTTCGGGCCTTGTATACATTTTATATTCCGTTTCTATTCTATGCATATATAGAGGAGCACTTCACTTCTTCTACTTTTTATCTCTATTTTTTCTCTTTCACTCTCTTGCCTCTAGAGCGAGACATATTTGGCGTTACATACGGGCATACGACATACGGCGGAGTTCTTGCATAAAATATTATTACTTGACTTACAAACATCTCGAATCTTTACCTGCTGTTTGACCCTTTATTGATTGGTACCAATTATATCGCCTTTTGACTACATACCTAAGGCTAAGTAAGGCCTGTTCGTGACAAAATAACCTTGGCCCTTTGTTCCATAATAATCGCTACGCCAACCCTTGTTTGATGCAAGGCTCAGCAATCCTTCCTTACTCAGCCCACAGCCTACATCACGAATAGGACATACCTCCATCATCGCTCCATCGTCATGCATGGAACAGACAGGGTGGGCCCAACTACGCTGGCTTTACCGTGACTCAGGTGGAAACGTGAAACATGAGGCATCGGCTAATAGAAGGACCTTATTTTACTTAACTCTTAGCTGCGCTATTGAAAGACCTCTATAACTAATTGGCTAACAACTAGTGCTCAAAATACCAAAAATTGTGCAGGGTAGTCACACAGGGAACCGTACGCAGCCACAGGGATATCATCCAAGGCATTCTAAATGGAAGCAAGAGTATATATGTTGGACCAAAGCCCTTGCTCTCTGGACGTGCTTCCATAAGAAATGATTGGGCGTATTGGAACCAAAATTTGGTACATGAGTTGATTACGAGAATTAACCCATATACCAAGCCTGCTATTAACCCTGTCCGGATGTCAGGAGGTTGGGCAGACCCCATGCAATGACATGGGCGGAGTATTTTCAAGATCTGGTGGCTACTACCATAGCAAGAACCTGAAACATTATAGAAGGAAACGCTTCGTTGAGCTACAACAACACGTTATTAAAAGGCTTAAGGATACTGAGCATTTCCCACAACGCTGAGCTGCCTGGTAGGAGAGACAGGGTTGTATATACCCCTCGCCGGCTAGGACTGGGTTCTGTACCCCTTCCTGCACGATATTACTTGTCCTTCCTCCGCATCTACTACACCCGCAGTGGGGAGTTAAGAGGTTCGTTTATCGTTTATCCCCTACCATTATATGGAGTTAGCCCACTCCTTGTCCCTACTATATTCCGCTCAGGAGAGTGAAAGTGCAATGTCATCATTCCGCAGGGCCTAACGATAGAGAGTGTGCGTTCTACACCCTGTTCTTAATGTTAACGGCCTGCATCACATATGTTTACTCATGAGCAGACCCGGTATTTAAAGGAACAAGTATTTAGCTAAGTCAACCAACCAGGGATGCAGGGAGCATTGCTTCTTTGCCTGCCGAATATTTAAGGAAACCATTTGCCAGCAAGGAATAAGATGCAAGATAAGGATTAACTTCAACAGTTTATTTGTCCACAAAAGCCGTGCATAATTATCCCGAGTTGAAAAAATTGTATGTTATCGCTAGAACGACCAGGCTGAACGAGATATGACTTGAGTCTTAAGACATCTGGCCTCGCATGTTCTTACTATGTAAACCCTTGCAAACTTACTCGGGCCGTTTCTCACCTCATAACCTTGTGGCACACTTGCATGTCTAGCCTTGCGTCGCCTCTTTTGAAAATACTCTGGCCAATAGGTATAAGAAGGGGAGAAACAAAATTAAAAAGTTGTTCATTATACAAGTGTCCCTAAGTATCTATAACAAGCCCATCAAAGATTTACTCCGTTAAGGCGAGGCCTACTTGAACTGGTCCTCAGTTACCCCTTTGCCCATTGCACTTGTGCTGCTAATACCACCGGTAACCATCTTTAACAATTCATCCACATAGTTTGCACCACTCCATTTCTGGTGGGTAACGACGTCGACCTTGTTATCCATCTCCGGCTCTTGGACCATCTCTCCGTATGCACGCATCCCTTGCTTAGCGTATGCCTTGGCGAATTGATCTGATATTAGGGCGGTAGTGTGCAGACCTGCAAGGGTGATAAATTGCCAGCTGTAGCCAAGCTCACCGAGGCGACGAATGTAGGTCTCTTGCTCGTCGCGGGGCATAGCTGTCTTCCAGTTGAAAGAGGGTGAGAGGTTGTACGCCAATTTTTGTTCGGGCCAGACGGCATGTACTCCATCAGCGAACTCCTTGGCTTGCGCATAATCAGGAAGCTTGCTCTCCATCCAAATCAGATCTGCGAATGGGCCATATGCAATGGCGCGGTTGACGGCACACTCGCATCCGCCTTGGTATCTGTAGAATCCTTCTCTGGTTCGTGGCGAATCCCAGTTCCAGTAGATATCGCTACCAGTTAATTCCTTGGCAATAGCACGAGCTTCAGTATTGCTCTTTCCCTTTATGTCGGTAAGGAACTTGTCAATAACGGCCTTCTTATTAGAGATGGATGGCGTGGCATTTATTTGGTCAATGGCTGCATCTTGGAAGCGTTTGAGTCCGGCCTGGCTGACCCAATCGTCTTCAATCTTTTGAAGTTCGACGCCGTTCTTGCCTGCCTGTTCCGCGGCGACCATTAGATCGTTGAGAGGCTCTATGTTAGAGTTAGTAGATCCAACGATGAAGGCGTGGTCACGGGGGTCGATAGTGCTGGTGATAAGGGTTGCGGCTTCCGAGTCTGTTCTTGCAATAGCCAAAAGGTCGGTTCCTACATTTCACCCGTGTTAGTAAGTATGAAAATAATGTATCTTTGATTCCCACTTCTTCTGTGGATAACTTACCCATGATATCAGCTTGCGCTCGGATGGCAACAAGGCGGTTGATATGTTCACTGATTGGAACAAGGACCTTTCCAGCCATGTGTCCACACTTTTTTGTTCCAGGGGCTTGATCCTCGATATGAATCCCAGCAGCTCCACGCTCGATGAACAGTTTTGTAAGTTTCATGACAGCGGTCAGGCCACCATGACCAGTATCTGCATCAGCAATAATGGGTCGAAGGTAATCAATGTTTGGTAGGCTATTGCGCTGTTCCTTTGGAGCACGCAGCCGTTCCTCTCTCTGTTTTCGGTCATGGAATAATTGAGCTAGGAAGAGCTGGTTGACCTTGTTCGGAACAGTGTTCTGGTTGCATATGAGTATAAGCCCTTATCCCTGTTTTGATGTATAATAGCATTGTGCTCACCATTGGGTAATCCGCGAGGTCGGGGGAAGGCTCGTCTGTCGACGAAGCAGTCGAGGAACTCTGCCATCCAGACACATACACAGTGTCCAGATATTTCACCATCTGTGTGAGCATGGTTGGCTCAAGACAACCATAAGTGAAGCTAGCATCTTTATTCTGCATAGGACGTTAGTATGGATAATCAGACGCCATATTACATGGTTTTCATACCGCGAATCTATCCTCCAAGATCTTCCACAGTTTCCTGCTCTGTGCATTTGATGGGTAGTCGATTGTTAGGGTGCCTCGTTTGGCGACGATTTGCTCCGCTGTAAAGGGGCGCTTGGTATAACGCCACCTTGAATCTTTCCACCAGTTCTTGACTTGCTCGACATCTCGCAAGAACTTTTGCTCCTCTTGCTCAACGTATGCCATGTTGAAGGGTCTAAGGAGGCTATTTTGAATCCTGCACGGTAAAAATGATGGGTTGGTCTAATAACAAGACTCAATTCGGCTGAACGACTAAATGAATATTATACACAAGGTTACGGGAAAACGATTGAAGTCAGGAAATGGAAATGAAACAAGAAAGTTGATCCAGGCGGGTGCTATCCTTTTATCTTATCTTTCTTTTGCCCGTGAGTCAACCAAAAAATAGCTTAAGAGAACTAAAGAGTTCTCTATAGTAGTCAGTTTCCACCGAGGCAACGTCAATGGGGCTTCTTGCGCACGATCAACGGCCAGGGTCCGAAGAGCATGGCCAGCTTAGAGCTAAGGGAGATAGTATAGAGCTGTTCCGCTCGGCAAAATGGGTAACGGGAAGTCCAGACTTCTTGTAGAATATCCATATTTCTTGTGCGCATAGGCCACCGAATTGTGAATATCGGGGAAAACCTCTGCCTGTTGAAACAGTCTCCTGTCTCTGATGATGGCAGGCATATGTCCTCCTCCATAGCATCTCATAGCGCTAAACTGGCCTTCCGGCTCACCATAAGCAATGCGTATGTGTGAAGCACAAGGCAAGTTTGGCTTGGGAAAAAAATATGATGAAAGCATGACGTTTGAGGTGTTCGCATGTGAGTTCGGCCAGCATCCGAACAGCCAATCAGCACGAGCCACTCACATGAAAGGCGCGTCACCTGACCTGTTCTTCCACCGGGGATTTTCCATGGCGGAAGCTGACCGAATATTGAACTTCTGGATAGGGAGAAGGCATGAGACGAAAAGGGATCTGATAAGCTGGAGTATGGAGGATATGGCGATGCCTCGGCTGAGGAAACTGGTAACTATGGAGCTGACACGGTGATGGGTGACTTGTTGGTCGCGGGTGCCTTCCGGTCCGTGTCATGAGCTCTAAGATCCAGGCTGGTAGTTACATATCCAGGAGACATCTAGTCAATGCCTTGGTAAAACTGTGGAGTTGTTGATTAACAGGTCACTTGGTCCTCAAGAAACTTCAACACTTCGGAGTACATATAGACAGAATTGAATATATGGTATAGTGTATATATATCCGCCGTACATATTTCTCGACCTCGCCAACGTCCCCAACCACTATAGCGTTCCTGATCCAAGTCAGGGCTTTGATGACTAATAGTTATGGCCTTCAGTCTGGAACTTGCTAGATCACGTGGAGCTCTGGCCCTTTTGTTCTGTATACTATGTAGTTTCACTATCCTGGAGTTCTCCGTATTCCGTCGAGAGCCTATTTTCCAGCATAATATCCCAGTTCAAACTGTTGATGTGCTACTATGGTAGGTTCTCCCTCTGGAGAACTATTTTCTTGCTCCGAGCCGTCGGGGGGAGGGATATCTAATATCACCGGGGTCGTACACCTGGTGAAATGTAGGGCCTCCGTGATGCTACTATGGCTGGAACCTACTCCTTTCATCGCCACACCTGTATCGAATCGAATTGAAGATTTCTTAGGCTACGCTACGCTCATCTTTAACGACTCTAGGGCTTGGTCTTTGGAGAACCTAGAGAACCTAGTGGGGTCGAGATTAATACAAACAATGGGCACATGCGTTTCTGACTATTTATGGAAAACCAATTGAAGAATTGGTAGAAGAAAAAGAGGCTAGTGACCAGTCTTCGAACTTGGCTTTAGTTATTGTGGTGATGGATCACCGCCATCAAGGCAAACTTTTTTGGTTTAACAACTCCAAGTTAGACTAGATAGGGCACAAGCCGGAGGGGAGTATTTACAAGAGAGGGTGGGACTTTAATGTGTACGTACACAATGAGTCTTTGTCCAAGATACCAAGAAAGGGGTATATATCCTAAGATTGCAATTTTGCAGCTCTTATTTTCAGCATACAGCAGCAAGAGTGGCCGAAAGAGCAAAGAAGTAAAAAGGCAAAAAAAGGCTCAAGTTTAATCAGTCGTCCTATTCAAACACCTGGAAGGATTTTTTGCTTCCCCTAGAATTCTACTGCAGTGGTTGCTTCCTTGAATGTTTCGTAAGGAGTGCACGCACCCAGGGCTCGCCTCATATGTGCGTTCAAGAATTGAAGCCCATACACATAACTTGCATTCACCCACCCAAACCTATAATAGAAATACTCGTCAGATCAATTATTTGAGAGTTATTATATTTCTTCAAATGTTGTTGTCACTTACCCTTCTCGAGATACCCCCTTAAAGTCAATGCCCTGGTTCCCGTACTCGGCATCAACTTTGTGCGGGTCAATAGGGCGAGTAACGTCGTACTTTTCAACAACGGTGCCGTTGAAGTCAACAAAGGCCTTGGTAACCATATACAACCATTTATATGCCAACTCTTCTGCTTCTTCCTGGTAGCCATACCGCATGAGCCCAGTCCATGCGAGTATCTGCTGCGGCGCCCAACCATAAGGGTAATCCCATTGACGGTTAGGCCGGTCGATTCCAATTTTACCTCTGGATTCTTCTGTTCCAGAAACCAGGCCGCCGTACGCTTGGAATTTTGGTAGTGCCTTGCTGACAAGGAGAGCCGCTTGTCGTGGATTTGCGACACCTGCCCACATTGACCAGAAGGTCGTTGCACTTTCATAGCTGGTGATTTGTTCCTTAGCGGTATCATAGTCAAAGTACATTCCCTTTTCTTCATTCCACATATATTTATCAATTGCCGCCCTTCTCCTTCTCGCACGACGGTCCCACAACGATGAACTTTCAAACTCCCTAGATTCAGTTTCAGGAGTCCGGAATTCATGAGGAATGAACAATTTGTCCTTGAAATGCTCACGTAAGACACGTGCAATGTCTACTTCATACTTGTAAAGTAGGCAATTCAGATCAATCGTCGCAAGATTTGCGCATACTTTTTCAAGACGGTAGGAAGTGTCATGGCCTGATTCCCGTACTGCTCGGTCATGTAAGAAGTATTCATCAAGCTCCGGGCATTTGATTTCACCGCTATTATATCCCTCAACAAATTCATCAAATGTCATTCCGTATTTCTTTGCATATGGTGTTAGGATGTGATAAAAGTGGGTTGGTTCTGTCTCGGGCGGGACACCAATACCGGATGGCCTGTATCTAGATAGCCCAGTAGTCGGGTCAAACCGTGGTTTGGACACCCAAACGCTATGATATTCCTTGATAGCTGCCAGTATAGCCTCTCTGAGGAAGTCCACTGCTCCCGGCTGAGATTTAATTCGATCATATACCCTCAGTGCCATATCAGTAAGGAATGGGGGTTGAGAGCGGCATAAGTAATATGATCGGTTGGCGTTGAGGATTTTCCCATAATGTTTGATACAAAAGCAAAAATTCACGACCATATCTCTCGCAAGTTCGACATGTTCCGTCACCAGTAAACCAAGGGATTCCATATAGCTATCCCAACCGTAGAGCTCATTGAAGCGCCCCCCAGGAACTACGTATGGAACTCCTCGAAGGTCCTTCTTCCCCGTATCTGGATTCTCAAATTCTTCCATAGCTAGTGACAGCAATCCAGGCTTACTGTTCAGGTCTCTCACATATTCTGGTGTGATTTCCCCGGCCGGAAGAAGTTGGACATCTAACCGTAGCTCAGGTCGAGATTCAGCAATTTGCTTATAATATTCATACTGCTCTGGGGCTCCTGGCGGCACATATATCCGTGGCCTCGGATCATCAGTCCAGTCCTTGGGGTCTCTACCCACGATTTCGATATTAGAGCCGTCGATTCGCCGTGTCAAGGCTTTCCAGAACGAGTTTTGGATCAGACGTGAGAGCCGATTGACGGGGTTCTCATTTAGACGCTGTTCATCAAGGACTATCTGCTTTCTTCCGTAATCCTTCGCTATGGTGAGCTCTTGAAGTAGGTTGGAGAGCATATAAGTCCCTCTTAGATCAGACTTCTTGAAACCTGAGGATGCCGCAGTGCCAACGTGAAGAACCTTGGGACCAGCATCCTCTATGGTAATTTGCATATTATTGTCCGTGTCTTCCCTCTCGAGGAGGGCCTGCAGCGTTGGTTCCACATCGATAAGGAATTTTCGCGAATATGAGTGTTCATCTAGTAATGAATAGGAAGCATCAGTAGTTGATGACAAACAGTCACAGAACACCTGACCAGCACAACTTACCATGGCTACCTCTGCGAGCAACCAAGTGCTCTAGGTCTGCAGCATTGAATCTCTTCAAAGTCTGGGAACAAATACTTATTACTGAACGCTCTTCTCAGTGGGGGACAACAAACGAGCATAACTGACTGAGGACAAAGCTCTTCTGTGGTTGTTTTGCTTCTTAACTCCTCGTTGTTCGCCGTAGTAGATATCGGGATGGGAGAAAGGGTCGACGCCATCGGATGAATGTCGTTTATGTTGCCCGCCTGACGTGCTCATTATCTAGTACAGATGCAGCGGTTGTTTTTGGACGGAAAGGTTGAAACCTCAAGCACTTTATATTTGTCCGTTTAATTAGTAATGCCAAGACATCTATGACGATGGGATGCAGCGCAAACGGCCTGACTTGCCTTCTGATCTCTATCAACCCTTCAGCGTCGAGTGATGTATCCAGCAGGAGGATGAAGACGCACAAAAGCCCCAGTAATCAACACAATCATTTCTCCATCTCCGCCTGTGGATCTTCGTTCCTATCAAGTTATGACGCACGCTAGTGGCAAAGAACCATGCTTATGTCAGAGCACGTGTACATTTACCCTTAGAGGGTCAAACAAGGCAAGAAGAATGTTTTTACAGAGTTACAAGGCTGCTTCATAGCCGGTAAATTATAGCTGGTAGAAATGTACTATCTAGTGTGTCGGTATATAGTATGTTCCCCGTTTAGAGCCTCGCTCCAATCACGCTTCCGCCATCTACTGTGATGGTAGAGCCGTTGATATATGCTCCAGCACGGCTGCTCAAAAACAGACAGGCCCCAGCAACATCCTGAGGCGTACCAATACGGCCAAGTGGAATTCCGGCTTCAATCGTCTCTTGGAATTTCTCTAGGGTTGCCCTCATCATCTTGCTCTGGAAGGGACCGCATGCAAGAGTGTTTGATCTGCGTTTGAGGCATTAGCGAAGAATATTTCACCCCAACAAACTGGGAACATACGTGATATTTCTCCTTCCCAAATGATTTGCTAAAACTCTGCTAAGGTGGTGGAGGCCAGCTTTACTCGCGCTGTATGCATATGTTTCCAATGCGGGAACTCGCAATCCCTCGATACTTCCAATGTTTATTATTCTTGCCGGGTCCAATTCACCCCCACCTTTTTCAAGGAAAGGAGTGAAAAGTTGTGTGACATTGAAAACACGGTGAAGGTTTAATGTAAGGACCCGAGTCCATGCAGAGGATGGGTATTCATCGTATGGAGCACCCCAGTTGGAGCCAGCGTTGTTGACAAGGATGTTGAGCTCTGATAAGTAGTTAGAGTTGTAGGAGGAGAATGAGATATAGATCAGGCGTACTGGATTCCCGTTTTCCAAATTCCTCCGCAAGTTTCTTGCAATCTTCTTCCTTGTATAGGTCGGCCTTGATTGCGTATGCTTTGCCTTTCCCAAGTGCGTTCAACTCCTGGCACACGTCTTCGCAAGTCTTGATATCTCGAGCTGTGATATATACTGTTGCACCATTAACAACATATCCTTCAGATATCATGCGGCCAATCCCTTTGGCACCGCCCGTCACTAACACAATCTTGCCCTACAATTTATTTGCCTATTAGTATTTGAGTAATTCTTGCTGAGAATACGAGGGATAGCTTGGGGACAAACTTTGACGTCGAAGAGAGATGCAGCGTCCATTTTTGAGAGAATCTTTGAGTCCTATAGGGGATGTGGTGAGAAAAGAAGTGTAGTTAGTATGTCTGATTTGAATAGAAAAGGGCCTTCAATGCCGAAGTTGATTAAATACTACTGAGATGCCGAGGCATCTATCTACTTAGTTAAACTTAGTTTGCAATGTTTGCATTGAATTTTCAGCTTATTAACAATACTCTTGGGCTATATTAAACACGTGATATGATATGGCGTGCAGATTTCCTCTTTAAGATTAGTGTGTTTTGAGTTAGTCAGCAGGATGTGCAAACAATCCAAGTTCTTTCTCTTTTTGAGCAAAACGCTGACACGCTTTATTATCTCAATAACTACAGAATGCTGCCATGCAAATCCCATGCTTTGTCAAGCAACAGATCTAACTTCAAAAGGCGGATGTATTAGCAGTAATAACCCTTTAATTAAACTGTGTCATTTCGGAATCTCTCTAATGAGTTTTCCGCATCTACTTCTCCAGTTTGACTGCACATTTTGTGCATATCGTTGTTGAGTCATTATACTGCTGACAATTACTAAAAATCTACTTGAGATTGCTGACAAGATCTTTTGGAGTAACGTGGTGATCAGCGTCCAGTCTTTCTTCTATAGTTGACAGATGCAATGATATTGTAATAATCAGGGACTTTGTCTTTGCTGACAGGGCTAACAAAGTGCCATGCGTGCTTGTAGTTTTGTATTTGGTTCAAAGTACGCCGAAGTTCGTTATAATAAGGCCCATGGCGTGGTTCCCGTGATAGTACGTCCATCCCGGGAGACAAACCGGTTGCTTGGATTGCAGGGGTAGAGAGTGGATCGATTGGGGTAATGGCACAGCTTGCCCATTGCCGAGGCGGCGGATGGATTATATAATTTTTTTGCCGTAAACACATATTTTGGCCAGAACGCATTACTTCTGCCTGAGAAGCATACGGCCTGTTTCGAGATACCTTATTTGGGGAAGTATATAGTCTTTGATGTATCCCATCCAGATCGACTTGTCGAGAGTGATATCTTTAGTAAAGCCTTGTTTTTGGAAGTACCCAGTGGCATAATTATCGCGTAAGTTAGAAAAAACGCATCACAGGGGAAGTAGCTCTAACATAATCCTTCAAATGGGCCATGAGATGCGCTCCATATCCTTTCACTTGCTGGTTAGCGGAAATCGTGCAAAGGACTATTTCAGCGAACCTGCGACCCCGGAATTCCCGATATGCTACTCCTCCGATAACCTGAGGAGGCATTTTGACGATGGCCATAGACACATGAGCGCGATCGTAGACGGGACGTGCAATGTAATCTTTGGGTATTTTGGAAGTTGCTTTTGAAATAGGCATTTAAGACCTTTAAGGATAACAGTGCTCTCTCTAGAACCATCATTTTTGACAGCTTAATACTCGATATCACCTTTTCGTTCTTCTAAAACTGCATGCTATGGAATAGTTAGAACATCTTCTATTTAGAGGCCCTCACGACTCTTTTGTTCATCGGTGTTGAACGTTGACGAACCTAAACTGGCATACTTAATATTTATGCAATACGAGGTCTATAACTGGCCACTCAGTACATAGTAGAGGTATAATTGCCCTATATACTAGGTACAAGGGGTATATAAGAGGTATACAAGCCAAAGCCATAGGATGCAACCTTCTCTCGCGGAGGCTTTAAACCCAGCGTGTGTTAGTGTTAGATTACATAATCGGTCCTTGAGTACAGTTCCAACCTTGGCAACCCGAGCAGCTCTACAACAAGCAAAGAGACGAACGAAATAGGTTACCAAACGCTTGCAATTTCATTATCTAGCTATTTGGAAGATTAAGATAGCTACATCAATTTATATGGCCGTTCCTTTATAAACTGAAGTTCCTATCCGTGAAAATTCTACGTAGCTACTTCGTATGTAGTTGGGCTAACTGTCGGGGCCTTGGGCCATGAGACCACGGGACAAAACAGGCCTATCTGCCCATGAAAACATGAGTGATAAGGTGCGAGTCGTAGAGTCGAATGGATGACTAATCCAACATAAAATGTTGTGCTTAGTCAGCTCACATACTCGAGCATACTCGATATTGAAATGCCCACTAATTATCGTCCTTTTTCCCAAGGTAACTGTTGGCGTGAGGTCAAGGTCAGTATTGGACTCTGTATTGTTGCTCTGAATGGAACTGCGACTAAGTGATCGTATTACCTAGATAAAACTCAGTCTTTCCCTCACGTTTCTCTCATATCCTCACTCTCAATCAAACCGTTATCCAGTTAGAATGGAGGAACTACAAGCCCGTCATAGAAAGGAGCAACGAGACCTTCAAGCACGGATTACACAGAAGAAAAAGTCAGCGACGAAGAAAACGCGCAAAGGCGTAAATGACGAATGTGAAAGCTTGCAGAGACAACTCCTAGATAAGCAGCAGGCGGAGATATCTCGACTGAATGGCCAGATAGATGCTGGAGATGGTGATACAATCAATCAAATAAATGGCCTAAATATCGAGGATAATGGTCAAGATGAAGAGAAAGGGGAAATATATGTTAACGAGAAACCAATTTGCCCTGTCCCTCACAATAACACTAGCACCCCCGTTGCTAGCGTAGCAGAAAGAGGACCCGGCCCGAAGCGTGGCAACCGCCAGAAAGCACGCTTGGCTAGGCGTGCTGCTGAGCGTGAGGCAGAGATTAATAACGCTGCGAACGAAGCCGCTAACCAGACTGACTACCGTGCTAACGAGCGCATGGCTATGGATGACGCTTTTGCTCGTCTCAAACTAAAAGAAAAGGACATTGCGCCAGATGGGCATTGTTTATATTCTGCTGTGGCGTGGCAATTGACAGAAAATGATATATCCCTGAGGCCAGAGCAACCAGAAGCTATGTCGATTGATTCGGTACCACCTAGTGGACACAAAATTGTTCGAGCTACAACGGCCGATTTTATACTCTCTAATGTGGATGACTTTGCCCCATTCTTGGAAGAGCCGATAGAGGAGTATGCTCAAAAAATAAAATCAACAGCGGAGTGGGGAGGTCAGCTAGAATTACAGGCTATTGCACGTGCATACAAAGTGCGGATAAACGTCGTTCAAGGAGATGGGCGTATTGAAAAATTTCAACCAGACGGTGAAGGGGATGAAAGTCGATACAAAGACATATGGCTAGCTTACTATCGACATACGTATGGGCTTGGAGAACATTACAATGCCCTGTACCATGTCTCTTGAACGTGTTTGAGATAGTAACCAAGTATACATACTATCAGATGCCCCCCAAGCCAGAATGGGTACGGAGGTTGAACGACTGACTACACTACTTAGGTCACTGGTTTACTGGTGGCGCCAGATAGATATCCAATCCCGCACGGTGCCATCAGCATCTTTGCCGACCTCGTGGGTATGCTCTGGGTGCCAATGTGCAATACGTATAAAACCCTTATCACTCACTTTTTCGTACAGGCCGGTCTGTACATTGCCCTTGTCGTCGTATGGGATGTGTTCCCCAGGGTGGTTAAGATGCTCTAGATACGCTTCAGGTGTGGAGGCAAACGGTGGACCTCCCAGAGCTGGATCTTTCATGGTTGGAAACTCAATGCATATGAGATGACCCCGTGGGGATGGTGCGAGGAGTTGAGAATGCCTCAGAGCCCATCCTGGACGTAACGAAGGATTGAGAGCACAGAAAAACTGTTAAAATATACCGGTGACCAAAGGATGTCGCTCAAACCGTCAGTTATAAACCAGAAATGACCATCATATAGTACGTAACCAATGCTTACAGTATAATCATAGATTAGATCAAAACACCCTTCTTCCAACCCAGCTCCCTTAAGCCACTCGTCCTCGAAAAAATCTCCCTGCAAAAAAATCACCTTTCCACCACCAATCTCTAGGTCTCTTGGTTTCACCGTGTCCCCGTATTTTGCTGTTTCTTTCCGGCACGCTTCCAAGGCTGTAGTGCTGTATTCCAGGCCGTAGGTGTCATACCCAAAAGAGGCAAGCAGAAAACAATCCACGCCCCTACCACATCCAGGCACAAGTGCCTTCTTACGCAGTTTCTCTTGTCCCTCCGACTTTACAACCGCACTCTCCAGAATGTCAGACTTCTGCACAAGAACATCCTCCAACGCTGGATTATGTACCCCTCTATCCCAGGGAGTCTTTTCTTCTTGCCATAGATCCTCCCATACCTCGATTGGACGCTTGTCTTTCAGGTTGATGAAACGTTCGCTTAGCCCAGGGGCCAGGTTCGACATGATGAGAAATTTACCCCGTAGGAAAACTTTGGTCCTATTGTAATATTGGCCTCAACTTGATGTCTTTTGGATGAAGTTGTTTACCTCCGCTAGCTTAATAACTTAATGCTTACTCATCAATGATATTCACGTGATATTAGTTGTCGCCCTTCTCGGCAAAAACGGCACGCTTAACACCGAAAAGCTACTCTTTTTTTGCCGAAACTTTCCCCAACAGCGAATTTTTTCTTGTATGATAAAGGATTGAACACGCAGAAACGGCAGCATTCATACGAGAAATGCAATGTATTATTATCTGACTGGGGTTAATATACAGTCATGCTCGCCGTTTTATCCGATTCTGACTTGAGGAGTTCTCAGGGTGCGTACTATGTACGTCCAAAGGACCGAGGTTAAATCCAGAGAGGCCAACAGCTCTCAGACGCTCTAACTCTGGAGCAGAAATGCCAGGAGAGCCAATTGTAACAGCATCAAGAAAGCGGATATTTTCCCCTCGAGCCAGGGTCCTGGATCCATATTTAGCCCATGGCCAAGTTTCCTTTTCATTTCAGTTGGTCTCGTCGCCTCTGTTAACTTCTTAAATGTTGCTATTTCATATCAATATAGTGCCACATTCAGACTTTCTTCTGTTTCCTGTCACCGTTAGGGAATACTGAAGAGCGCCATTTTCCATATCCTACAGTATTTGACCGGACGGGGGCATGAAGCTGCACTTCAAGTGAAAACGCGGTCCCCGAAATATATACGCACAAATCCCGGCATATGGTTTTGACACCGTCAAAGTGCAGCGTCATACTTATCGAACCACAGATTCTTGCTCTAAAGAGCTTTTTCCAGAAGAAGGCCATAGGTCTCCATGGCCGTTGAAAAACAGGGTCCAACGGGGAATTATTCCCACGCAGACTCCCCTGTCGCTTCCGCCACCCCAACGGGCTCTGTAGAGCCTTCTGTTATTACCACAACTCAGGATATTGATAAGTTTGCACCCGTAGCCTCGGAGAAAGGGAGCCGAACTAGTATCGAAGCTAGAGAACCACAAGAACCATCGGACACAGAGGCAGCTGTTCAGTTAACAAGAACAAATTCAAACATACCTCCGGTTATCGTACCGAGGAGCAGACGACGGGGCCTCTTTGGGTCACTGACTCTACTGGCAGAGGTTGAGAATCCTAAACACTACAGCCGGAAAGCAAAATGGTTTATTACATTTGTCGTCGCTGTTGCAGCTGGCGCCGCTCCCATGGGGAGTGCCATATTTCTTCGTAAGTCATGCCCCCTTTAAAACCTAGATTTCCTCTGTGTCCTTATTCAGGCTACTTAACATGAGCTTATTTCCACAGCTGGGCTTAGCGAGGTTGCTAAAACATATAACACTACGGCAACGGTTACCAACCTTTCTGTCGCTTTGTATATGTTGAGCATATCTATATTTCCTCTATGGTGGTCATCATTTAGTGAGCGGCTAGGCCGCCGTTCGATATATCTTGCGTCATTCACCCTTTTTACCCTATGGAGCATCCTATCCGCTCTTTCTATCTCTATCACGATGCTGATCATCATGCGGGTCCTTGCCGGAGGAGCTGCTGCCTCAGTCCAAGCAGTAGGTGCCGGTACGATCGCCGATATATGGGACCCTATCGATCGAGGGCGTGCAATGGGGATATTTTTTCTCGGCCCTCTCTGCGGCCCTCTAATAGCTCCTATAATTGGTGGTGTTTTGACACAATCTTTGGGCTGGAGGAGTACGCAGTGGTTGCTTGCAATCTACGGAGGCCTCATATTGGTATTCATACTATTTGCATTGCCGGAGACTCTTGCACACCGGAAACCTCTACCGCCAACCGATCCAGGGAATGGAAATTTGGAGGTCGATCGTACCCTGAGTCGAGTGTCATCTCGTCAGGTCGTGCAGCAAACGACCAGAGTCTTGAATATACTAAAAATTGTCTTCATTGACCCTTTAAAAATAATACTATATATACGGTTCCCGGCAGTCGCTCTAACTGTTTACTATGCGAGTATCACTTTCGGGTGCTTATATGTCCTGAACATCAGCATTGAGGTTACATTCAGCAGAGATCCGTATAACTTTTCTCCTACTATTATAGGATTGCTGTATATCCCTGGTGCGTTAGGATATATTGTTGCCAGTGTTTTTGGTGGCCCCTGGATGGACTCGATTATGAAACAGGAGGCAAGACGCGCCAACAGAGTGGACGCAAATGGCAAGTATATATTTATACCTGAGGATCGAATGCGCGCCAACGCATGGTTAGGGGCTCTTCTCTACCCTTCCGCACTGATATGGTACGGCTGGACTGCTCAAAATGGAGTGCACTGGTTTGCTACCGTGAGTCAAAGGCTATTATTACACTCCCCTTCAAAATTTCCAAAATTCTGTTGAGAAAGCCATCTGACCTGCCTTATTACAGATCGTAGCCAATTTTTTCTTCGGTTTGGGGTCAATGTTAATTTTCAGCATGGCAACTACAATGTTGACTGAATTTATGCCTAAACGTTCCTCAACTGGCGTTGCTCTGAACAATTTTATGCGAAATATAGCCTCCTGCGTCGGAGGCGTCGTTGCTGCCCCCATCATAGACGCAATCGGAAATGGCTGGCTGTTTACAATTCTTGGCCTTGTCTGTCTTGCCAGCTGCGTGGTTATCTGGGCCATGAGACGGTTCGGGCCGCGATGGAGAATCTCAATGGACGAGCAGCAAAAGAAGGGTAACTAAAAATAAACGTGAGTTGATTAGATTTTGGAGTGGCGTTCCGGCTGGGTATTTCCTTGCAGCTTTTCTCGGGAAATCTATATTACAGTTAATGGATGGTCCGAAAGGAGCAGATCTACTCCATGTAGTGTGATGCGTGATTATTTAGCTCCATCGATTTAATTTGTATTTACGGTGCATATAATTGGGCTCTCTTATAGTAGTACTGATAGAACCCACCAGAGGATAGGTACATATACACCCAAACTTATTTCCTTGTGTACCTTACGCAGATACCACAACTACCGGGCTCAATATCAATACCCAAATAAACTCTCAAAATGAGAAACCTGCCTAGAGCTGTCTGCAGGATACAGGAAGAAATCATATGTTGGGCAGAGCTCCGCTGCTGTTTCAACCTAAATGGTTTCGTGGAGCTCAATCTCTCGAATATTCTATCCGCATTTAGCTACATGTCTACTCCATCGTGGCACTCGCTTTCTCGCCCGCAGCTATGACTCATTTCTATATGTGTGATCTAGAGAGATGTCCACATCCTCGGTGGTCACTTTCACTGAATACGTGGCCCTTAAGTCAGTTTATTATACATATTTTTGGCTGCATCTTCAGCTCGGGCAGGAACTCCTAATATCCTTTTTGCCATTACGCATGGAGGGAGTCAGTACAATATACAGGATCATATGTAGTTGTTTCAACCATCTAAGCGTATATATGTATATATTACCTTAGTATCTACTTTCTCTGGCGGACTCAGCATAACTACATATTAAGGTTGGGTGCCTGGTATGTACCCAATGGCTCCCTCCCATTAGATATTTAGCCTTAGCCCCTTTGCCCCTTTCGCTTATTGGTCATGGTTATCTGACAAAGAACTTACATAATACATACTATGTACAGCCAAGCCTTAAAAGCGCTGTCAAACTCGAGCAAACAACCGCTCTCTTAATATAGTTAAGAGACTTCATGTTACTAGAAGACTGCAGTATTATCTACACATTCTTGTTCACCAAGAACTTTCCATTCATACCCAACATTTTTATGTATCAAGGCATATTATCTAGTTGCACTTCTCACCTGCATGTAGTAGGAGGTCGCTTTTGATGTTTCGATGGGGGCCGGCGGCTACAGAGCTTCACAACTCTGCATAGCTGGTCATATTATATCTCCCTGTGGGCCCACGGCCTAATGAGATATAACCAGACTCTTTGATATCCTATCATAAACGGGAGCAAATCACAGATGTATCATCTGTACCTTGTACTTATATTTTTAATGGCCGGGAGCAATCCTAAGCGCCTTGGTGGGAACTATTACGAGTTCTTTTCTGATCTTAATTGTTGGATTATTTGCCAAATATAGCTTTCTCATGTTTTAATTAACGCCTGGATTGATGGCTGGCTCACTCGATTATAACAATATCTTATCATCGGGGCATAAAAGGCCAAGGTGAAGCACATTCATCTCTCGCTTCAATTTAAACATCAACCGATCCAGCTCCTCTCTTTTATATCTTACAATCCTTTGGCAATTTCCCACTTGCGAGAATGAACTCAGTTCGCAATTTCTCCTCTTCTGCCAGTTGAAACATCCTTAAACTACTTGGCAAGGTTACCCCACAGGATGTTGAAAGCAAAAACGGCGTAAATGGACCACAATGGGTCTCATCTATTTACGATACCAGGGACCACGTTGAATCAGAAGTAAGTTTACGCAACCTGATAATGATTTTTATGGATTGAGATATGCTAATACTAATTTCTATAGTATCCTGCTGTCACTGGCTACAACATTCAGTAAGCTATCTACTCATTTCTACTAAGATAACGTGTCCTAACAATTACCAATACTAACCTATACCACAGAGGTGCTTTAGCCCACAAATCTTCCAAAGATCCGTCCGATCCTCACGACGTCATCACCCTTGGCTTCTTTAGCCAAAACGGAACGCGTTTCCTTAGCGGTCACGTTCATTTGGATGGGTCGTTTAAACTAGCCGAGAGCCGTTCAGGGAGGGGCAAAGGAAACAAATGAGAGAGCCATGGCCCAGGCATAACGCCAGCTATATCTAGTGGAGTAACAGATAACCATCCACCAATTCTCCAGTCGGTTCTTCTTTTTATTCATATTTAATACGGTTCCTCCATCTAGATAAAACGATGAATCAAACGATTCTACATCGACTGCTCCGATTTTAAGTGGATGTGGTTGAATGTCTTCTGTATTTACTTGCAATTAGGTTGATTTTTCGCGTTTTATGTCACAGATATCTGCCATCCTACAGGCTATATGCTAGCCGCTAAACCATATATCTACTACTTGGAGATCTCATAATTAAATATCTGAAGGTACTCCGTATATTTAAGAAGCACTGTTTTCGTGGCTATATCATCTGAACTGAGTTGGTTTTCAGCCAATTACACGATTAGTTGGCCTTAGCGGCGGTTAAAGTTATTATTATTAGAAACCATGATTGACCGTGAATAAAAGGTGTCATCCTCGCTTGGTCGGATGCCAATAAGCGATGGCATCCCTAAGCAGACGGTGTCTTCTCTTACGCTATTGTACACGTCCAGTTACAGTTACCGTCCTTCCCCAAGTACATACTAGAATGAGAATGCAATCATTATGGACGAGCATCGCTTCTTTGAAGTCATTCATGCCAAAACTGCCAGAAGAACGACGGTCACTCCCCACAAGCGGCTTTAAAATCATTGAAGCTGATCTGCTGGTTGAAGAGGAAGAACTGCCTGATTATAAGGCCGATCGGTTCTATCCTGTTCGGCTTGGTGACGTGTTTGAGGACCGCTATCAAGTGATTGCGAAACTGGGCTTCGGATCCTCATCAACCATCTGGCTGGCCCGAGACCTAAAGTACTTGCGCTTCCACAATGTTTTATTCGCATTATACTCTTGTAACTCTTCTAACATATACAGAGATCACCAGTATGTAGCATTGAAGACGTATGTACACACGTCTAAGTTCCACCGAGAGCTTCCATTTTATGACCACATTTCCCCCTACTTTACAAATATTACGTCGCATCGTGGGAGGCATAATATACGCCGCTTGCTAAGCTCCTTCCAAATAACTGGCCCTCATGGCAAACATACGGTCCTTGTATTTCAAGCTTCACAGATGAGCCTTCGTGATATGAAGTTTGTGTTTTTTCCGAAGGGGTTTAATGAAGGATTCGTTAAGGGCGCTATTATCGAGCTTCTCGAGGCTTTGGACTTCCTACATACTCGCGGAGAGGCCATCCACACAGGTATGCCTTTTGTGTTTCTTTAGCTGCCTCTCTACTTATAACCTTTAGATGTACATCCCGGCAACATGCTCTTAGGCGTGTATGATAATAATAATGTACTCGAAAACCTTGAGAAGATGGAGTTCTCGTCCCCGGTTCCCCGCAAGATGACCTCGGACTCTCGAACAATTTACCTCTCGCGTTTAACAAAACCCAAAGAAGGCCCAATGCTATTATCCGATTTCGGGGAGACCAGAATCGGCCCTGGACCACATGGTGGAGATATCATGCCACTGGAATTTCGGGCTCCCGAAGTATTGCTATATGTTGGCTGGAGCTACCCAGTTGACATATGGAGTGTTGGTCTCACGGTACGTCTTGTGTACTCTGGAGCATTATTAACCCTTCTAACGCTATCCTAGGCTTGGGACCTCCTCGGGTGTAAGAGATTGTTTACGGCACGAGATAAAGAAGACGGTAAGGCATACGACGCGGTACACTTTGCGGAGATGATTGCAGCTCTGGGCCCACCACCCGCTGAATTTTTAGCCAAAAACCCTGAGAGGAAAGCTGAATTTTGGAATGAGACAGGTATGCTGGATATCTTTGGAAATTATGTAAGGTTGCTGTCTTTTATGCTGACAACTCCGTTTAGGGGAATGGCTGGGCCTGGCGCCTATTCCGCATGGAAGGACTATAGAGTCTGTTGAGGATCGGTTACAAGATAATAAGGAATTCCTACGCTTCATCCGGCGGACTCTGACCTGGATGCCGGAACAGAGAGCTACAGCAAAGGAGCTACTACAGGATCCTTGGCTGGCATAAAGGCTCTATCAGGAATATCACATGGAAAGAGACAGAAAATGCCAGAATGAAGAATTCGCAACAGCATGGTCATTACCGGTAATGGAACTCGCCTCTCGGGCTGTTTGATGCATGTCCACATTCCGACTCCACGAGATATCTTGCTGCATCAAGCTTTGTATTGAAATTATACCACCAGACATCTGTCTGATTATACTTTAATATTGTAGTAAAATCCCGGTAGTTCTGGCATCATTAGGTTGACTCCTAATCAAGGAAGCCGTCCACCCAAGCCTCTTATACTATGATATTAAGGTGCTTCCGGCCATCATATGTGACCACAGCCATAAATAATCGAGGGAAGGAGAGATATTCAAAATTTGACATATTTACTTGATGGATATTGAATCTGGGCTCTAAGTTACGGAATGCAATTGTTAGAAAACCCAGCATCTTAGGGCTGTTTAAATATACCCGAGATACCCTCATAAGTTGATCCTTCATAGCTAGAGGCTAGGCAATTGAAAGGGAAACATTTCAGCAATATTTCCGCAAACCGTTAAACCCGGAAAATTGGATGTGTCGGTGTCAATGGTCACTGTGGTTGATTATTTTGTTACCAAAAATAATAATAAAAAGCTCGCCGACAGGGCTTTTGCGAACTATCTCCGTGTATCGTGAGTAAGATACATACTTTATTGTTATTGGAGGGACGAAATGATATGTGTTTCCAGCGAGAAGCCTAAACACGAAAGTCGGGAGTTGAAGGAATGCATTGTCTTCTCTCCACTCTATCCTCGATCCCTGAAGCCAACGTCGACTACGAGACGAAATTTCCTAACCTTCCTTTTTATTGCGTAGCATCCTGGGTAGCGGGGTTATTGCATTCTCCCCGCCTGTAGAATCACTTATAACATTTATCTAGACCAAGGTTTAAACAATTAACCGCAGAAAGCGACTTGAGGACCGGGGGGTGGTGGACTCAATAATGTAGGGGTATACATGTGAAAGGAGCGGGGTTACACTGTGAGTGCAAGCTTCAGGGGAAGTAAAAATGTATATACGCTGTAGTACTCGAATGGTCTGTATCTGATCCCGACGGGAACTTTGTTTTGCACAAAGGGCTTCCGGAAGATAATACGATGAAGCTGTTTCTCGTTTTAACCGGCCAGCAATCAGAAATCAGAAATCAGAATCAGTTTGCCAGGTCATATTGCCACTAGAAATGGCCGAAGCCTTATCATGGGAGATGCAGAATGCGGCCCTATGCACCCTGAAAGAATGAGCTCACGTACATAGACTTGCCATCGGGCTACCACCTGGTACTTGGCAGGTACGTCCATTGAGCCACTTGCATCAGGTTTGCAGCTACTAAGGCACTTTAGAGTCATGCAGAGAGGTATGAATCTGTTCCTGAAGCTGGACCAGGTGAACAAGTCACTACGTCAGATCACATTGAACTGGTCTCACTCACCTGCTTCAACCTACTTCAACAACAACAAATCTGATAACAAGTTGACGTTTAAAGTTACCAACTGGTCGGGCAACCCCTTTGATCCAACAAGGCAGCCAATCAGAGATTACTATGCAATTGCCCAGCCAATAAGACGCGCTGACTTGCTGAGTTATCAGGGCTAAAGTCGGGCCGATCCGCGGCTAAGCCTAAACGGGGGTTTCAACTTTGCTTATTTCATCCTCGCCTCAAAAAAAAATGCAAAAAAAAAGCAAAGAAAAGGAAAAGTTGACGATTGAGCTTCCTTGCAAGCTCGTTCTGGAACTTCTCGTTTGTCTCGAGGTTTAGGCTTATCTGCATCAAACCCAAAGAATTAGAAACAGGACGAGACAGGAACTGCGGGAAGCCAGCCACTGCTCTCTCGTGACCTGTGAGCCCTCCGGAACTATCAGTATTTGCACCACTTGCTACGATATACGTTGCAGGCTCGTTCAGCACTTCCTCCTCGGCCACAGCTTATGACCTTCTCAACTCTCCCCCCAAGGTGTTTCTCGTTACCCAAACGGCTCAACAAAACCTTGGTAGATCGCGAGGATCTGAGACTGTCTGGTCCTTGACCAACCGCTGGCCTCAGGCATGCTCCACAAGTCCTGCAAGTGTCTGCCGGCCAGGCGGCCAATTGCGGGATATTGGGCACAAAATGATGCTTTCCTCGGAATCTGTTCCGGTCACTAAGAAGATGCTCTGGCTTCCACACCTCTTCTTCATCCATTGTCGCTAAGAGGAGGATTTTCTTACCAATTGCTGCAATTGGTTTTAGCCTGCTGAGTTTGGCTCTTTTTCGTATGTATCTGTATCACCCGTCTGACCCGCCCAAACTCCGGAGGAGAGGATGACTTTCCTACCCTTATGATACAACATCTTTCCCTGTATCTTTTAGTCACGTTGGCATTAACTGACTTGCTGTTTTACAATTATTATCATCGTGCAGCAGGTTACCCCGGTTTCCCATAACAGTGGCCGCTTTCCACAAGCCTTAGTAGGGCGTGCATCCAATGCTGTCTGCGATTCCATTCCTGAAGACCCATGGAGCCGTGAGACGTGGCCCCAATGGCGCTGGGACTTGCATAGCTGGTTGGGAGAATCTAGTTACCAAATAAAACTATCGTTTCTCTTCTCAATAATGGCCGTTGATTACATGGCCCCATCGATGACGATTCCCCTTTGATAGGCCTAAAACAACAGATGAGGTTATCGGGCACATGCTTTGCTGTACCATAGGAGCTTGTATTATTGCCTGTTATCATTTGTTCTTGTCCGACGTGTTTCTATTTCGCTCAACCACGCCTTCTCCGTTTTATCCCCCCTTCCTCCAATCTTACCCCAAATATTCCTCAACCTCACCTTACATCCCGGGCCGCAGGTCGCCTTTTCTAACGGACGCCAATCTATCCCCGAACTGCCGAGGCCCTGCCACACCAAATCAAGGCAAATAGACCTCTCATATCACGACTCCTGTGTCTCCGTCTCCTCAACCTTTTTCTACTCTTCACACCCCCGCTTAACCATCGCATATATTACCGACCATGGCAAAGAAGAAGAAGACAAAGAAAGGGGGTACCAATCGACTACCGGCCAATTCGCCTGTGCCCAATAACGACAACGGGAGTAGCAGCAACCTACCTGAAGGTGAAGGCTCGTCTGCTCTCCCCGAAAATGTCGAACTTAAACTATCAGTATGCTTCACTTCCTCAGTTTAAATATCAAACCTATGATTGGAACACCGGTCAATTCACAGACTGTCCTATTTCATCATTATATTCTTCCCCACCATCAGATGACGGCAATGGTGAACCTACCGCTGACGCAGAGCCAAATAAGGACGTCGCCGTTGACCAGCCGTCGGAAGCGGCACCAGCAGCAGATGATACTCTGAAGGATGCTTCAGAAACACCTGCAGGTAAGTTGATGGTGCACCTGCCGCTTATGACTTGGGTTCATATCAACCACCAACTATATCACCATTGAGTTAGAGATACTTATAACTTCATAGATGCAGTGACGAATGAGACGTCTGAGGTTCCAGTAGAACAAACACCGGAAGAGCCAGAGAAAGCAGCGGAGGAAAAATCAACCGAAGATGCGCCAGCAGCAGAAGACGCATCAACTGAAGAGAAACCGGCTACAGGAGAGGCTCCGACTGAAGAAGCTCCAGCAGAAGAAACTCCTGTAGAAGAAGATACACTGGCTGAAGAGGCTCCTCCTACTGAAGAGGCTCCTCCTACTGAAGAGGCTCCTCCTACTGAAGAGGCTCCTCCTACTGAAGAGGCTCCTCCAACTGAAGAAACTACTCCGGCTGAACAGACTCCAGCAGAAAAGACTCCGGCCGAAGAGGCTCCTCCGATTGAAGAAGCTGCTCCGGCTGAAGCTGCTCCGGCTGAAGCTGCTCCGGCTGAAGAGGCTCCTCCTGCTGAAGAAGCTACCGCAGCAGAAGAAGCTCCTGCTGAAGAGAGTCCAGCAGAAGAGGTACCTCCGACTGATGAAGCTACTCCAGCTGAAGAGACTCCTCTAGCAAAAGAAGCTACTCCGGCTAAAGCTATTCCGGCTGAAGAAACTACCCCGGCTGAACAGGCTCTGGTTGAAGCTACTCCGGCTGAAGAAGCTACTGCAGCAGAAGAAGCTCCAGCAGAAGAGAGTCCAGCAGAAGAGAGTCCAGCAGAAGAGGTACCTCCGACTGATGAAGCTACTCCAGCTGAAGAGACTCCTTTAGCTGAAGAGACTTCTCTAGCAGAAGAAGCTACTCCGGCTGAAGCTAACCCGGCTGAAGAGGCTCCGGTTGAAGAGGCTCCGGTAGAAGAGACTACCCCAGCGGAAGAAGCTCCAGCTGCGGAGGAGGCACTGGTAGAGGAAGAGAAGCCGGCAGCAGAGACGCCAGTTGCTGTAGAAGAACAGCCAGCCGAAGAAACATCTGGAGAGCCGGAGAAAACAGAAGCACCGCTTGAAGAAGAAAAGCCGGCGGAGAGTGTACCGACAGAAGAGGCTCCAGTCAAAGGGGAGGCCCCCGCTACAGAACAAGTTCCAGCTATAGAGGAGAACCCGGCAGAAGAAGAGAAATCGGCGGAAGAGACACCTGATAAAGATGAGGAACCCGCTGAGGGAGATAAACAAACCAAAGAAACGCCGGGAGAGCCAGAGAAAACAGCAGCGCCGCCTGAAGCGGAAAGCCTTACAGAGGGCGTACCAACAGACGAGACTCCAGCCGAAGAAGAGAAACAAGGAGAACTTCCAGAGCTAGAGCCCACGACAAATGACGTCGCTGCTGAAGAGACACCTGAGCTTGTTGAATGCAAAAAAGACCCCCCTGAAGAGACTGCAGATGAGCCCCAAGTGGTAGATGCACCATCTACAACTGAGGTTACGACAGCTAAAGGTGAAGTACACCTCTTCCCACTAATCTGCCAATATGCTTACTAACCTCCTTTGTAGATATCGACCTAGTAGTAGAAAATGATAAAGTAGAGACTAAAAAAGAAACCGAAGAAACACCTCAGGGAGACAATGATGGCGTGGCAGCCGAAATACCGGATGCTGAGGGAGAGGAAGAAAAGATACCCGGTGCTAGTGATGACGAGGTTGTTGAAGAGGCTGTGTCTACGGAAGAGCCTGTCGGAGAAACCTCTGGATTAAAAGAGGAAACGGCCGAATCTGCAGAATCGGAGTCAGAGCAGGATATCCCCATGGAAGCGAAGGAGGAGAAAGAAGAAACACAAGAACCAGCGGCAACCGAAGCCACGGAAGAGGTGGCGTCTGCAGAGCCTGTCACTGAAACACCTGCAGATGAAGAGACCACCGTTCCAGAAGAACCTGCCGTTGAAGCGCCTGTGGCTGGGGAGCCCGCTACTGAAGAGCCACCTGAGGCTCCGCCCAAGAAAGCTGCCGCTGAAGAGCCTGTTACCGAAGAGCCAGTAATCGAAACACAGCCTCCCGAAGGTGCTACTGAAGCTCTGGCCGCCGAAGATTCTGATAAGGCTCCGGCTGAAGTTACTGCCGAAGAGCCTTCAGTTGAGGCACCTGTAGCTGAAGAACCTGCCGCTGAAGCTGCTCCAGAAGCTCCAGCCGGAGAAGCTGCCGTTGAGGAAACTGCCGCCGTGGAGCCAGCAGGCAAGACAGAACCTCCAGAAGAGGTTGCTCCTGAAGCTCTCGCCGCTGAAGAGCCAGCAGTTGAGGCGCCCGCAGCTGAAGAGTCCGTAGCGGAAGAACCTGTCGTTAAAGAAGCTACCCCGGAAGCTCCAGCTGAAGAAGCTGTCGTTGAAGAAGTTGCCACCGAGGAGCCAGCAGCCGAGCCAGAAGCTCTTAAAGAAGTTGCTCCTGAATCTCCCCCTACCGAAGAATTTGTTGGGGCTCCGGCTGAAGAAGTTACCCCAGACGAAGCAGCAGCCGAAGAGTCTGTTGAGGCCCCAGTTGAAACAACTGCCGTTGAAGAAGCTACTGTCGAAGAACCTGCAGTTGAGGCACCGATAGTCGATGAGCCTACTGACGCTCCGGTTGAAGAAGCTACTCATGAAGAACCTGTAGTTGAAGCACCTGTATCAGAAGAGCCCACTGCGGAAGAACCCGCTGTCGAAGTGCCTGCAGTTGAAGCGCCTGTAGTTGAAGAGCCCGCTGCTCAAGACACCATCGTTGAAACATCAGCCCCGGGAGAACCTGTTGGGCCATCACCAGGAGAAGCGCCCCCTGAACAGCCGGAGGAGGCTACTCTCGAAGAAAAAGCGGTAGAGCAGCCTACTTCTGAAGAGCCTGCCCCTGAGCAGCCTCCTGTAGACGGTCCGGCTCAGGAAAACCCTGCAACAGAGGTTTCTCCTAAGGAGCCTGCTCCAGAACCAGCACTGGCGACACCAGAAGAGGCTCCTGCTGAAACCACTGACGCACCGACAACTGAAATCCACCAAGATAATCTACCCCCAGCAGAGGAGGCTGTCAAAGAGGAAACACCTGCCGAGAAATCCATAGTGGAACCTGTAGCGGCAGAAGAAGCAACGGCATCACTAGCTGAAGAGACGAAGGCCCCTGAAGAATCCACCCCTGAGCCTGCGCCCGTTGTTAAAGAGAAAGCTGCTGAGGAGGTTAAGGAGGAGCCCGTTCAAGAGACCGTAGAAGCTACTGCCCCGAAGGACCCAACTCCAGAACCTGCCGTGGAAGAGCCTGTTGTGGTAGAAGAAACGCCTAAAGACATAGCAGAGGCTACTCCTGTTGACGGCGCCGTTGCTAAAGTTGCCCCAGAAACGGAAAGAAAGTCCAAATCACGATCAAAAGAACGATCAAAAGAAAAGAAACACCGGAGGCACAGACGATCAACAGCGGGAGAGGAACCACGCCATTCGAAAAGCTCAAACGAGAAAAAACCTAGCTCTCGTCGACCAAAGACTGAACGGGAGGTGCGACCATCTCCACCGGTTGATGCAACTCGTGAAATAAAGGAAGTAAAACACAGTGGCGAGACAAGACATAGAAGCAGCCGCCCCAGACCAAATGAGACCGAAAAGGAGCGAGCTGAAAGACGGAAGAGGCGAGAGGCTCGGAGAGCTGAGGCGGAACGTACCAGGGAACCTGGGAGCCCCAAGGAGGAAACACCCAAGGAAGAGCGCTCTCAAAACCCACCAAAGAGGCCTCTCTCCCGGCGATTGTCACTATCAGGCCGTGACCGACCAAACATCTCCCCCAAACCGGCTGGCCCAAGCCAAAACCCGATATCTGCACTTGCTTTGAAACCCCTTGCCTTGCTCAGGCTGATTACTACCGGGCAATCAACCGCCCATCAGCCTGTTATGCGAGTAAATGAGCGAGCAAAGGCCTCTTCTCCTGTCCCTCCAGTCAAGCGGCCGTCACCCCCAAACACATCAGGCTCTTCCACCCACTCCCAGTCGAATTCCGGCTCTCGTTCTCACTCCGACCGACGCCGTGAAAGGAGGTCAACCAATTCGGAAGAGGTTAAAGAGCGAGCCAGAAGGAGCACCGCTAGAAGCGAGGAGAACAGACAGCGTGAAAAGAGATCACCTAAAATCGACGAAGGTGCCGAGCAAGCAAAGGTCCCCAAACCCAAAACGGAAGAAGCAAAGCCTCGGGAACGAAGGCTAAGCAGAGGCGAAGAAGGCAAAGAGCGAATGTCCAACCGGCATGAAGGGGCCAAGGAGAAGGATCCTGAAAAGGAGAGGGAGCATCGTGAGCATCGGCGAGAGCGTCGACGCTCGATGAGAGTGGATCCCTCTACAGAGAAGGCCGCTAAGAAAGATGACCCTCCGCCAGAGCGCCTTCGTCGACGCCGCTCAAGTCTATACAAAAACCGCGAGGACGCCCCAACCAGTATGAGCTTCAGGGAAAAGCTTCGACAAGTCCTTACCGCGGCATGATGTTTACGCATTTACGACTTTGTACGATTTTCCATGTCGTGTCATGATTGATTTACTCTTATCCTTAACCCCATATTTTTCTTTTTTTATATATATTCCTCCTTCATCTTTCTCCTATATAATTCCTTGCTTTTGCTTTGTTCATGCATTTTGTGAGCGTTTTTTTTTTGACGACTTCCTGCCTGCTCCGTTTTCAAGTACTGCATATCAAGAACATCACTGTTGGAATAAGGGACTGGTGCATTTTCATGGACGGAGTTTCATATACTTATTTCTTCTTTTCTCATATACTCGTTCGGATTTCGCAATCCTTTCTAAGCTCTCTCTTGATTCTGCTTCTCTGCCTGTATGATCATTGTGTTTCTACCCCAAATTGCCATCTTCCCCTTAATTAATGATCATTCCGTTATCTCGGTCTCTTTCTGTAGCTGTGAACCCATAAACCCAATACATAGTAGGTCTGCTTCATATCTATAAGTAAAAATATATAGTAATCATCCCGAGTCGTCTCAGGGTTGTTCCGATGCCCGAAGTTGCGTCACTCGTGGAGTTTTTACCTCGGCATCTCGTCCGGCGCATGCAAGCAACTTCGTGACATCGCATGGATGCTTCTTGAGGCCAACATCGCTTTTGCGCTCTTCCCGACTCGCTCTGATGAGGGATCCCTTTCATATACTCTTATCTGGGGCTCGTTCTACGCGGATCAATTGACCCTCCGGCGTATTTTGGATATCCCTTTTGTCCGGATTTATAACCAGGCTTGTTGTCGCTTTAACTACAGTGTGTTATCGCAAAACATCACCAGTTCATCAGGATGGCGTCTCCTGCTCTCCCAACCCTAGAGTATACTCCCATAGAGGAGGTCCCTTCACGCGTCAAGAATGTTCGAAAGACATTCTTCGAGCATAAGACTCGACCCATCGAGTTCCGCATCCAACAGCTGCGGAAACTATACTGGGCGTGAGTGCCTGAATCCTATTTGATCAACGGCAGAGACAGAGGGCTAACATTCGTTGGTTCTTATCAGAATCAAGGACCGGGAACACTTAGTGACTGCAGCCCTCAAACGTGATCTTAACAGGCCGGAATACGAGGCCTACGTTGGGGAGATTGTGATGGTTCTAAACGATATCATTTTCGTAATAAACAACCTGCCCAAGTGGGCGAAGGATGAAAAGGCCGCTGACATTGATCTCTCCTTTTCGTTGGTGAATCCAACCATCAGAAAGGATCCCCTGGGTTGTGTTTTGGTCATCGGGTTAGTACTCTGTTTACTATTAGAATCTATAACGCTAGCTAATTCTCCACGACTAGAGCGTTCAATTTTCCGTTCACCCTTACATTTGGCCCAGTTGTTGGTGCCATTGCCGCCGGAAACACCGTTGTGATCAAGCCAAGTGAAGTTTCACCGCACTGTGCTGCAGTTATCCAGGAAATCGTGGAAGCCGCCCTGGATCCTTCCTGTGTGTCTGTCATTCAGGGAAGCGTTCCAGAAACTAAAGCCTTGCTTGCCGAAAGGTGGGACAAGATTTGCTTCACCGGCAGCTCTAGAGTTGGCCGTATCGTTGCCCAAGCAGCCGCTCCAAACCTGACGCCTGTCTTACTCGAACTGGGTGGACGTAACCCTGCCTTTGTTACAAAACATGCGGACCTAAGACTTGTTGCTCGACGTTTGCTATGGGGAAAGACTTTCAACGCCGGCCAAATCTGTCTTTCACAAAACTATATCTTGGTTGACAGAGAGGTCGTCGATCAGCTTGTGGCCGAGTTTGATAGGGCTCTCAAGGAATATTATCCAATGGGAGCAAAGGCATCGCCAGATTACTCGCGTATCATAAACGACAGCGCTTTCCAGCGTATTAAAGGGATGATCGATAACACTAATGGAAAGATACTACTAGGTGGATCGGTGGATGAGAAAGAGAAATTCATCGAACCTACAGTTGTCCTTGTTGATTCCACTGAAGATTCCCTTATATCAGAAGAGAGCTTTGGACCAATAATCACTCTTTTGCCCGTGTCAAACTTGGATGAAGCCATTAGAATTGCAAACGATGTTGATGGTACACCATTGGCTGTCTATCCATTTGGAACTAAGGACGAGGCTGCGAAAGGTACTGATTCTTTCTCTTTCCTTCAACTATGAAGTTACACACTTCTGTTCACATGCTAACATCTTTTCGCTAGTCCTTGCATCGGTTCGTTCCGGTGGTGCTTCTGTGAACGACTCGTTTATGCATGCTTCCATCTCAACTCTTCCATTCGGTGGTGTTGGCGAAAGTGGAACTGGCTGCTACCATGGCCGTAGCAGCTTTGATGCTTTTACGCATCGGCGCTCAATTACTTCGACTCCTGGATGGACCGAGCGTCTTCTTACTATCCGCTATCCTCCCTACACTGGGAAACTGAACAAATACAAAGCCGCTAGTCTCAAATCGCCAAACTTCAATCGCGCTGGGGAGAGAACATATGGATTATTTGAATGGCTTACGTGGTTCATTACTCTGGGGAAAGGAGCAAACATGTCGGGTGCTGCAAGGGCTACTGCTACTGTGATGGGTAAGTGACTTTACCTTATATATGCACGTTTACTGGTTGTTTCACTCTTTCATAGTTGATATTCCGTCATAATGCATGGTGTATGTGTTGTCTGACCTTATATCTATCTCGTTTTACCATCCATGCAGACTCAAAATCCTCGTAACCCTAACGCATACGAGATCGTTTTTGCAACCTTTGATACCCTTTACTTTAAATCTTGGCCGTTTACCGAATTTCACTGTGCATATGCCCCATTTTTGGTTTTTATTATCTTTTTGTTTTAATATCATAAGTTCTTGTATTGCTTTTTCGCTACACACTGCGATGAACATTTAACCATTGCTAACGTCTATTGATAGTGGCAATCGCTATATGGCAGTACACCAAGCGCGGACCAAAGCTCTAATTATACAACGATATATTCAATTAATGTACAGGTTTCTCGCCGTATTGGAATTGAATTGGCACTCGCAGTATTATCTATTATTTCTTGCTTCACATTGATATTCCTGTATTTATTAGGGCATTTACCCAACGAGCAAATCTATAATTGAACAGTACTTTTTCACTAGATATCGGTCTCTGCTTTTTCAGAACGATCAAGTCTGGGCCACAAGATGGCAAAATGCATTTCCTCGTGCCTCGCGGTATATGTAAACGAAAATGCTAAATCTCCAGTTTAACACCTAGTTTCAACCCCTTGCCTACTGACACATATATATTTAACGCCTTTGTAGGGCTTTACTCCTTCCCCTAAGCCCCGACTTCTCCGAGGATCTACCGTCAAGGCATCAACACGTATACCACTCGGTAACCAACCACGGACAGAGAATGATACAGAAGCAGATGACGGCATTAATAGGGCATTAGCCTGCTTTTTCCTCATTTGTTTGGTAGTGGGTGATAGGCCATCAGTCTTCTCTGGCTGGGGTGTATCGTCTGCTGACACCCCTGAATCCTGATAACTTGTGGCCGGCGCTAGGGTCTCATCATAGTATCCTCTGAGAGGGTTTGAACCGAGTCGTCGAGATTGGCCATCAACCCCATCAACGATCTCATCATCATCGTCAAGGTCATGGAGTGGCCCTTGTATTGTTCCTTTTAGTGTTGCTATACCGGATATAGACCCATCTCTCTCTTTCGTAGGTAGGCGCCATTCTAGGGAGTCGCTTCCAGGCATAAAGCTTGCTTCACCACGACTGGGTTGAATATCTGTAATGTTCCGCACGGATGGAGGGATTGGGATTGTGACCACTACATCGTCTAAACTTGGGGACGATGAGTTACTACCGATGGTTCCAACATTCAAGAACGAAGGGGTTGATGATCCTGATCCACGGCTTGTTGAGCTCCCCATTCCTCCATTTCCACCAATTCCACCCCCACCTCCTCCGCTTCTCGAAGATGAAGCTCCAGGGAAGTTGTTGTTTAAGGTTAACCGCACTTCAAAATTTGATCCTGCAGGACCAAGTCCTTTCTTTATATCCACTATAGCTGGTAGGAATAATTTCTCCATATGGGCTGGCGGGTTATCGTCTGCTGGATCAACTGGAAGTAGATTAACTTCATATCCTCCTAATATAAACCGTCCGTCCGGTGGAACGAAGCTCAGTTCACCGGGCTTCTCCCTCCAGCGTGCCAGACGAACGCATGGGTGAAACACGGGTAATTCTATCTTATGTGCAAGACTCCTCTGACCTCCAGGGGCGCTGAGTGAAAGGAGCAGATCCGGCACTCCTGATATCTTTGCCGTGAACACTATTGTGCCATGAACGAGAGCCGATATGGGCCTCCCAGAGGGTGCAAATATAACGGATAAAGACTCAACTATGTCAACATATAGTTCATTTGACGTATGCCGAACACCAGGACGTCTCCAGGGTATCGCTGGCGCATTCGTCCCAGCTACTATAGGAGCAGAGGCTAGAGGCTGACTTAGAGGTTTTGATAGCGCCGAAGTCTGCGATGCACTGTTCCAATACATCTTTGGTGAGTAAAGGTATAGTTTATGTAGGAGAGAAGAACGGATATGATGGTTTATATTCACCCTGGCAATCCCACTCCGCTTAATAGCTTTCCCATCCACCCTGGCACATCAACCGCCTCTTGTAAAGCGTTTGGTTCGGTATTACACACGATGCCAGCATCGCACATTTCGTTCAGCAGTTGGCCAACTACATCATAGCTATTCTGTATCTTTGTCCCTAGCAGAGGCGCACCAACAAATTCTTCTAGAACGTCTATAACCCGATGGATATATTCGAGGACCAACAGTGGTTCGGCCTCGCCGCTGCACGGGACCAGGAAGAGGAGGTTCGTATGAGAAACTGAGAAGACGGAGACTGGGGGAGAGGCGTCAGGAAGATGTATCAGGGACGGTCGAGGGGCTGGATGGGCGAGAAAGAGAGAGAGGACTGCCGTCGCAGGGGGAGGGCGCGAGCGGTAGACATGCTCGAGGATGGGTGTGCTATTATTACCATTTCAGTGTAAGTGTATATATATATATATTTAGATGTTGAACAGCAGGATAGCTCACTTAGTCTCATCATAGATATAAAGAGCTTCTATAACAGCGCTCATCGTTGCGAGTGCATCTATATGTTAAGCGTGGAAGCTCTTCGTGGGGGTTTTTATAGATACGGTTTTCGATATGAGAATATTTAGAGCTGCGTGACCTCATCGGAGGTTTAGTTTTTCTTGTGATTTTTGTTGGAATAACAACTTGACAGCTTCAACTAGACATCTAATATTAACTATTTCCTGGTATGTCCCCCTGCCTTTCTCTTCTAATATCAGCTGCTAATTAATGATCAGATCTTAGCACTCTTTGTCTTAGTCCGACCTCCTCGATTATAACATGGCAAAACACACGGATGCGCCATGGGAAATAAACCCCAAAGACATCGAAAAGACCATTGCACAGGATAGATATGATGATTGTCTGGCATGTAAAGCTACCGGTACGGCCTTTCTAATGCCCGTGGATATATACTGATGGCACATAGCTCACCTGTTGGTTGCTATCTAGGGAGTTTGGCACTCGCAGGATTAGGAGGCTGGAGCTACTACACCGGAATGAAAAACCTCCGCGAGCAAGAACGGAAGATTCTAGCAAGCGGTTCGAAGTATAGAATGGGATCGAGAAGGTTGGGAGTCATCATGATATCAACTTCACTCGTGGGACTGGGAATATGGAGAGCCTTCAACTGAAACAGACATGGCTAGGAAGGCGTATGAAACTGTACGATAGATATATGCCCACTCGATAGAGAAAAGGGCTGGGCTGTATAGACTGTATAATAGATTGTTGCTTAGGAAATGAAATTATTAGCTAGGGCTAAGTTTGAAGCTTTATAGGGTATCTTGAATTTCGACGATGCTATCTATCTACATGCAAATATGGTGGAGAATATAAAAATATGCCTGTATATAAGGAAACGAAAAAAAAAAAAAATGGTCCAAAGCGCCTCGAGATTATGCGTTGTAGAGCCTCGTGTCCGTCACTTGTCTTATGAAAAGGATATATTTATAAGAAGCGGCCCCGTTTGGGCCCTCCAAACGTATCTCGGCCGTTTCCTAAATTCGAGATATCAAAAAACTCGCCAAAGTGAAATTTTCGTTTCGACCCGGCACCCGGCGTAGGGTCCCGGTTGATGGAACGAGAGTTATGGCGGTTTCCGCTTCCGTGGCGGTGAGGTGTCCTGGGCGGACGGGAGTGCACTTCTAACCTGACTGGGGGGTGAGACGGATGTGAGGCAGTAATCTGTGGATCGTTTGGCAGTGAAGGAGAACTATCCATGCCTGCTTTCATGTCGATATCTTCGTGCATGGGGAGACTCTGGCCGGCGGTGAAGGTGAATGCAGTGGTCCGGGGAGGTACGATGGCAACGGGCTCGGCCGCTATGGGCATTGGTGGAGGAGTAGGACCCTCGGATGGCTGTCTTGATCGGGCTTCAGATTGTGATTTGGAGGTGGTGGTATCAGGGTTGGTCTTATTACGTATGGCAGCAGGTGATGCTGCTCTGGTTGTCTTGTCTGCGTCCGCTTTGTCGTCGTCACTGTCATTTGAAGATGTTCCCGTCATATCTATCTTATCCATGACCCAGTTTCTGATTCTCTGCCCTTCACCATCGGTGAAGCCTATTTTTTCTTTATCCAAGAATGCCCGGAGATCTTCCAGGGCATCTTGATATCCAAGGTGCCGTGACTGAGCCTGGTCTGACACTGCATTTTTGTAAAGGTTGGTGACGGATAGAGCGGCAGTTTTAAATGCTTGTAGTAGGAGTTCGGGTGGTTGTGCAGTAGAGGTAGACGGGAGTGATTTGTTAAGTGAGCGCATTGAGTCCATGGTTGTAGTGTTCGAGTAGAGGCACTCTAAAGGGTTAATTCTGTGATGAGGTAGGCTCCTCCCCCCTTTTACCCTCTTTATAGATAACTGGTAAACCGGCCAAACAGTCCTGGGGAACTTGTGGCCGAATATCAATATTTCGGTGAAATCAACAGTTCAAATTTGTATCTGGCGAAGTGGGGTGCGGTTCCAGATACCACACCAAGCGAGATCAGGGCTAGCTGTATGGACAGTATCAAGCCTGTAGCCAGTTCGAGGCCGGATAGTAGGTTGAACAGGCGTAAGTCCTGGAGATGCTCGAGTTCTTTTGTCCGGGTAAAAACTGAGGTTGGAGTTGGTTTGTTGGCACCAAAGAACTTTTGACTGTTTTGGGCGAAGTTGAGGCCTTCCCAGGTTGACGGAGAGACGGATTTTCCTTTCTCCCGGCTTGTTTGTCTGGCGGCGGAAGAAGAGGATAGAAGATGAGATGGCCGTTAAAGTGAAGCCTGCCGGCCTCTTCCCACTCGAGCAAGTTAGATCTGTTGTGTATGTGCTTCTTCGATGTATTCATGCACATCGTGTGTGTATTTAGTTAAATGTTTCTTTATGCCAGGGATGAGTTGAGTAGATGCAAGTCACTTCCAGCTAGCCATCACTGTGGATGTTTGCTGCATAACACCACTTGCACACACAGATGCTACAGTTTATTATATCATATACGAATCACCTTTTCAAACTTCTTTTCTCTTCTTCTTCTTCTTCTTCGTCTCTTTTTTGCTTCTTTTTTCTACCTTTTCTTCATCTTTATTAGAGTTTCTTTTTATCGGCAAAGAGTTCTTCCGCAGCGCTTATTCATACCTTACTCATCAAGTTTACTCATCTAAACCAACCAATCAGCGCGTCTTTTTCCTCGACTTTTTCTGTCCTCCCAAAAAAGAAAAAGTCTCGCGGTTTTGTCCGTTTCGAGGGTTTTCCTTTCTTGCTTTCGCCTTCCGGTTTGCTTCTTCTTCTTCTCTCTCGCACACACAAAACGTTCCGGGTCATGAGAGATCGCGCACCAGATACCACTGCTTCTCCCTGAAAAGAACTTGCTGTGTATATTCTATTCTACTTCTGCTGGTTTAACGGGTTTGGAGCGCGTTTTATTGTCAATCTATAGATCTATTTCGCAGGGCCCCTTGACATGTCTCCGGTGCAAGAACTCCCTTCTACGGGAGATGAGGATGTAACCATGACTGATGCTGTCGAGTATCAGCCGTCAGAGGATGCGCATGAGGACCAAGATATGAAGGTACGCCTAGAGGACGCGTTGAGTGGTTGCGTGGGGCGTGGGGAGATGCATATATATATTTGGATATTGAGGCTAACACTACTTCTTTTCTCTATAGGAGTATCAAGATACACCGGATTACACGGTAAGCGTCAACGCGGTAGCGCGCGATCTATCCCAATGCTGATGGTTACTGCAGGATTCCGATACCAACCCAAATACCACCGCAAGTAGTGTTGCTGGCGATGCTGCTCCAGATGCCCGGAAAAGAAGGACGGAAGCATCCCAGTTACGCAAAAGTGTTCTTGGTAAGAAACACGGACGTCTTGACGAATCAATGGTACGTTCGAATCAATACTGGCCCATCAATTTCTAGTCCTATACTCATCATCCCTTTATACAGGAAGATGATTCAATTCGGCGATTTCGCTATCTACTCGGATTAACCGACTTGTTCCGCCACTTTATCGACACTAATCCTAACCCTCGAATAAAGGAAATTATGGCTGAGATTGATCGCCAGAATGAAGCAAAATCAAGTTCGAGAAAGGGAGCAACGAGAAAAGGCGGTGCTGCAGGAGAACGCCGGCGAAGGACGGAACAAGAAGAGGACGCCGAGCTTTTAAAAGACGAAAAACGAGGAGGAAAGACCGAAACTGTCTTCCAGCAATCACCTTCATTCATTCAAGGAGGTGAAATGCGTGATTACCAGATAGCCGGTCTGAACTGGCTTGTTTCATTACATGAAAACGGTATTTCGGGCATATTAGCGGATGAGATGGGCCTGGGAAAAACTCTCCAGACTATTTCGTTTTTAGGTTATCTTCGACATATCTGTGGAATAACAGGGCCCCACCTCGTCGCTGTCCCGAAGTCGACTTTGGATAACTGGAAACGAGAGTTTGGCAAATGGACACCGGACGTTAACGTCTTGGTTCTGCAGGGAGCTAAAGATGAACGACATCAACTCATCAACGAGCGGCTTGTTGATGAGAAATTCGATGTGTGCATTACCAGTTACGAGATGATCCTCAGAGAAAAGTCGCACTTGAAGAAATTTGCCTGGGAATATATCATCATCGATGAAGCGCATCGAATCAAGAATGAGGAGTCGTCCCTCTCCCAAATTATTCGTGTATTCAAGTCTAGAAACAGACTTTTGATCACAGGAACCCCTCTACAGAACAATCTTCACGAACTATGGGCATTGTTGAACTTCTTGCTCCCCGATGTCTTCGGTGACTCGGAGGCCTTCGATCAGTGGTTCTCCAACCAAGAGGCAGATCAAGATACCGTAGTCCAGCAGTTACACAGAGTTCTAAGACCATTTTTGTTACGTCGAGTAAAGAGCGATGTGGAGAAGAGCTTGCTCCCGAAGAAGGAATTGAACCTTTACGTCGGCATGTCAGAGATGCAAGTCAAATGGTACCAGAAAATCCTTGAAAAGGATATTGATGCAGTAAACGGTGCTCAGGGAAATCGAGAATCCAAGACTAGGCTAGTAAACATTGTTATGCAACTGCGCAAATGTTGCAACCACCCTTATCTATTTGAAGGAGCAGAACCAGGACCTCCTTATACCACTGACGAACATCTTATCGACAATTCAGGGAAAATGGTCATTCTGGACAAGTTGCTCAGTCGTTTGTTCAAGCAGGGCAGCAGAGTGTTGATCTTTTCGCAGATGAGCCGTGTCCTTGACATATTAGAGGATTACTGTGTGTTCAGGGGACATGAGTACTGCCGAATTGATGGTTCTACCGCCCACGAAGACCGTATCCAGGCAATTGACGAGTACAACCGCCCAGGTTCGGAGAAATTTGTATTCCTACTTACCACTCGCGCTGGTGGACTAGGTATCAACCTCACAACTGCTGATATCGTCATTCTCTTCGACAGCGACTGGAATCCCCAGGCTGATCTCCAGGCTATGGACCGAGCTCATCGAATTGGTCAGACCAAACAAGTTGTTGTTTTCAGATTCATCACCGAGAAGGCAATAGAAGAAAAGGTGTTGGAGCGAGCAGCCCAAAAGCTTCGATTGGACCAGCTCGTCATTCAACAGGGCCGTGCTCAGCAACAGGCTAAAAACGCGGCTTCCAAGGATGAGCTGCTTAGCATGATCCAGCACGGCGCTTCTGATGTATTTAGTTCTACCGGAGGTACCTTCGGCAGCGGCAAAGATATTTCTGAAGATGATATCGAGGCCATCCTGAAGAAGGGTGAGGAGCGTACCGCTGAACTTAAAAACAAGTACGAAAAACTGGGAATTGACGACCTTCAGAAATTCTCTTCGGAGAATGCTTATGAATGGAATGGAAAAGATTTCACAAACCGCAAGAAGGACATAGGTTTAAATTGGATCAACCCTGCTAAGCGAGAGCGAAAGGATCAGTCGTACACTATAGGCAGTTTCTACAAGCAGACCTTTACAAAGCCTTCGGAGCCCAAGGCTAAAGTGCCCAAGGCTCCAAAACAGACCACCATCCACGACTGGCAATTTTTCCCACCGAAACTTCAACAACTGCAAGACAAAGAGACCGCGTATTTTCACAAGGAGATTGGCTATAAAGCGGCACTCCAGGATGGCCCTGAAGAAGGACTCAGTGATAGGGAAGCAGAACGTGAGCTTGAGCAGCAAGAAATAGATAACGCTGTTCCCCTTACTACAGAAGAGCAAGAGGAGAAAGCCAAGCTATCCACACAAGGTTTTTATAATTGGAATCGACGAGACTTCCAGCAGTTCATTAACGGCTCTGCTAAATTTGGGCGCACCAATTATGAAGAAATGGCATCCGAAGTCGACAGTAAAACTCCTGAAGAGATCAAAGAATATGCCAAAGTGTTTTGGAAACGATACACCGAAATCCTTGATTACCCGAAATATATCCGCATTATCGAGCAGGGCGAAGAGAAAATGAGGAGAATGAACCAGCAACGCAAGCTCCTCCACAAGAAGATGGAACAATACCGTGTTCCTCTCCAACAGTTAAAGATCAACTACACCGTCTCAACCACAAACAAGAAAGTATACACGGAAGAGGAAGATCGATTCTTACTTGTTATGCTCGACAGGCATGGAGTTGATGGCGAAGGCTTGTATGAGAAGATCCGTGACGAGATTCGAGATAGCCCCCTTTTCCGATTCGATTGGTTCTTCCTCTCCCGCACACCCGTTGAAATTGGCCGAAGATGCACCACGCTATTGAATACCGTTGCTAGGGAGTTTGAGGGCGATAGTAAAGATTCTAATAGCGATAATAAATCCAAAGCCCGAGCGCGTGAGGAAGAAGTAGAAAACGGTGATGTTAATGGGCCAGCAAAGAAGAAATCAAAGAATATTGCCGCAGTGGTAAGTTGCAGCCAGGCTTCTATTCATTCAAACTCAATTATTCTAACACTAATATCCTACAGAACAAGAAGCTCAAAGCAGTTCAATCATCTAGCAAAGCCACTTCCGCCAATACATCAAGAGCAGGGAGTGTCTCTTCATCTGGTCCGACCTCTAAGAGCAAATCAAAGAAGCGATAGAGCTACAAGGTCCCATTTTCCTTGAATCTCAGGTGCATGTATACTATTTTAGCTGGCGTCAGGTCTGGGAGAAGAGAGGTAATACGGCGCTTTGGAGGGCCCATAGGTTGACTTCACACAACAACAGTGGTCTACTTTACAACCTCACGGTTCCTCTTCATAAATATACTTCAGCCTTTCAACGTATATTAATTTATTATAAATTTCCATTATGCGCTTTTACTCGTTTTATGGTACTTAATGCTTCTACACAACGATATTCGATGAAGTCATGGGTATTATTCTAAGATTAACGCCAACCATATCGAGACTCCAAACACTCTCATGTTTTATACGGTACAAATGCAACGAGGCCCTTAACGCCTAACACTGACAAACAGGTAATAATACATGTATATAAAAGATGTACCAATGGTATATATTCGTAGTAAAATGTAAGGGGCAATTAGAAGATACGATTCATATCTCCAGCAGCAGCGTCTGATGAAACTTGTGCTTCAGTGGCCCCTGAAGGAGGGCGTGAGAGAAAAGCTTCGCATAATAGAGCAGAGGCTACGCTCACGTTCAAGCTAGAAACTCCAGCAATATCATCGCAGATGTTATCTGAGTAGGCCCCAGGGATTGTGACAAATGCATCAGCCCTGTTCTTTATCTTTTGCTGCAGGCCCGACCCTTCGCCCCCTAACATTAGAACACAGGGAGCTTTCGTTAGCTCAGTGGATAGTGAACTCAAGGATTTAACGACGGGGATTTTCCGGGTGTAATCATTAGTGAGTGTTGCCTCAGGAGCATCTGCAGCGAAGAATTTCCAGCCATTCGCTTGAGAGGCGGTTATAAAAGTGGTCACGTCACGAATTGCAAGTGTAGGAACAGTTTCAGTTGCGCCTGCGGCAGCTTTCATGACAACTGGTGATATAGGTGCTGAATTCAGGGGAGAAAAAGCAATTGCATCTGCGCCAAACCAGTGGGCACTTCGAAAAATGGCACCAAGATTTCCCGGGTCGAGGATTCCATCAAGAAGTAGCGTGAAGGGATATCGGGATGCTTTGGCACCTTTACGCCGAGCTTCGAATGGAATATAGCCATCTGTACCGTTGACGGCTGCTTGTTCATCAGGCTGAGGCGCTAATTGTGCTAGGAAATGCGAGTTGGACATGGAAACTACCGTCTGGAAATTCAAGACCGGAGGTTTTGGAAGCGGTGATGCTTCTAGAACCATGCCATTATGAGGCCGCTTGCCGGTCATTTTATCCAAGGTATTCTTCCACGGCCCAGTTACGTGTTTAACCTGCGCTCCCGCTAGGCTTGCGTATTTGGCAATGGACCGTACCTCAGGCTGTTCCCACTTTGGTTCCCCCGAGCGATATCTGGATGATTCTTCAAAGAGATATAATGTGTGTAACTTCCGGCGGCCGCACCTTACTGCAGCGTTAACTGCAGATGTTCCGTAGATGAATTCCGAGACAGGCGAAGCGTACGGTATCTGTGGAGGCGGCACGAGGTAGATTTTACTCGACAAAGGGTGGTGTACATCTTTCACCTCGTCCTCAGTTTTTGCATATCCTCCCATTTGCTGTCTTTCACTCAACACACCGCGAGCTTCGAGCTTCCTCAGACCCACATTATCTATATATGTGGGTGGTTTCCTCCTAGGAGCCCAGTCGAATCCTTTGCCATTTGGCCTGTCTCTGGAGAGTTGGTCTGTACGACCAGGTACCGTGCTGTTTGTTCCGTAAGTATCATGTGCACCATCTCGATTCCAAACAGGAGGCCTTCTGCTTTCAGCGGGGACGTCGTTGCCGTGACTCTCTTTTTCCGTTCTTTGAAACTTGGGTGACACTTTTCCACGACGGTCCCATGGCGCTCTTCTCCTCTTAGGCTCCCTGAATTCACGACCCTTTCTGATCCCCGTTGTGATAGCAGAGTTCACCGACAGATATCGAATTGAACTAACACCTTGGACGCCCAGCAGTCCTTTTAGAGGCAAATGACTGGTACCAGAAACCGCAAGCCTATGTGATAGCACCATGTCGCCCCAGAATCCAGACAACTGTGAAGCTCCAACCGTCTATCTTCTTCCCCTTGATGAAGAATCTTTAGCTTCGAAAGTTATCAAAAGGAATCAAAATAAGCATTTTTAGAGATCTTATCAGATTATGTAATGTTAAACTGACTAAGCTGCGGCGACGATTAGTCATCTCTTTGTCTCTTGCTGAAGTTTTGTTTGTGCTTGAAAGACTTCAGACTCTTTTCATACATGCACGACGACCTCATTCTTTATGCAATAAGGGTATAGACAACTATGAAAAAGTGACATATCGTCCTGACAGACGTCTAGCAGGGATTTCTCCTTGCTACCGACTTTGAAACGCTGCTAAGTTATATTATCTATTTCTAACACGCAAAAAGCCTGTGAACTAGGTAAGTTATAGCATCCAGTAGATACAATGCCATACGAAATTGACAAGCTGTTAGCTTTGAATATAGTGGTATTTATTGTATTCAAAATACGACAGTACCTCTACCTTCTAACAGTGACAGGCGAATACATAAACCTATCAACCTTCTGAGCGCCTTCTACGCTCGGTATGATAGTCTGTCATTGATGAAAGCGTCTCTGTCGAAATGAGATGAGAACAGCCTGTACGGAGTAATGTCACCTCTGTTTCCTAGGTCTTATCCCTGATGCTAGCTACTTGACGCGTTCTCATCTATCAGTCGCGTTTTAAGAGGGTTAACTAATTAATCTACTTTCAATAGAGACCCAACAACAAAACATGCGGCCATTCCAGGATCTCGCTATCTCCTTTTCAGGATCAGATTCTGATGAGGAGACGGCGAATTTCATCCTAAGTCAGTTCACGGCCATAAACCCAACCGCGCCTCTTACAAAACCGCAAACCACGCACTTGGTCCCATACGTTGAGATTCCCAAGAAAGACCTGAACGAAGATGACTATCCATATCTACCTGGCCATTCGATAGTGAAGTATATAAGGTCTAAGGTGGAAGACCTTTCTTCGGATTCTTACGAAGTCGCGCTCAAAAGCGGTGATATTGAAGTGGTAATGTGATGCAGCTTCTCACTTATTCACGGATTATATATATACTAACAGGCCTGTAGCTGTCATCTAGTAAAATTCGATCTCTTAAAGGTGGTCCCGAGGCGCTGTCATCATTCATATCTCAAGATGCCTATTCTACATCAGAGTCCCCGTCTACTAGCAGCTCGGAGGATGAGCTTATTTCAACCCACCCGACCAGACGACGCTCAAGGAGGTCCGAAGCCATTGGTTCTAATAACGAGCCTCTACGGCCTAGAAGCCTCCGTCAAAGAACTCTGGCGAAGGTCAACTATTTAATGCGCCTCGACAGCGTTGAATCTGAATATTTCGGTACAAAGAGAAGGTCGAGCAGGCTGAATACCCGTCGTAGTCGATCGAGTGATAACCTTATTGAAATCAACAGTGATGATTCTAGTGATAACACCCAAAGAAGGTCGCGTGCAAAGAGACGAAAGATTTCAAGCCTCCCGCAACGGGAATACCGGAGCGGAGTACGAACATCACAGCGGCAGCGGAAACATGTCGGTAGCATGGCCGAAAGGCTAGAAGATGACATTTCCGAAGTCGAAGTGGTACATAAGGAGACTAAATACTCAGCTGCACAAGAAAAGTTCGTCAAGTTGCCAAAAGATGACCCCTTTAGACTTCGTCACCAATCCGCATGCAGGGTTTGTTATACCCCGGGGGACAGCTCCGAAAAAGGGGTTCTAGTCTACTGTCAAGGTTGCACGGACGCATATCACCAAGTGTGCCTCGGATCCCGAGGCCAACGGGTTCATCTAGTCAGCAAAATAACTTCTAATTATTTTGTTCTACAGTGCCGTCACTGTCTTGGGCTAGTTCGCGACAAAGATCCTTTGGCTCCTCACAATGGTAACTGCACCAACTGCAAATCTCCAGGCAGAATGGCTAAACCATTAAGGCCGCATTTGACGACAAAACAGGAACATATGCGGCGGGAAGAGAACGGCGGAGAGGATCCCTGTCTCGATATAGATCAATCCCAACTAAGCTTGCCAGAGAACGTCATGTTTCGTTGTGATTCATGCAAACGCAGCTGGCACATGCACCACTTGCCTAGGAAATCTGGAACTACCTATACTATCGATGATAGCCTGGAAGAAGCTGAGTTGTCTGATAAGCGATTCAAGGAGTATTCTCGCCGCTGGACTTGCAATGAATGTGCCAACCTTCCCGGGGAGATTGAAACTTTGGTTGCTTGGCGGCCGGTAAATATAGACAGCTATATTCCAGGACGAACCTCTAATGAGGTCCAAGAAGAAGCAAAAGAGTATTTAATAAAATGGCGGAAACTTTCTTACTTTCAAACTTCGTGGATGCCAGGGCCCTGGGTTTGGGAAATCGCGGCTACATCTACACGTAAGGCATTCAACAAATCGGAAAATGGACAAAAACCCCAAATGACGTCTGGAGATGCAATTCCCGAGGATTATCTCCATGTGGATATCGTCTTTGATGTTAGATATTCAAATGTCGTCTCTGAGCGAACCCTCGAGATAGATCTGGCTCGAGTTGACGAAGTTGAGAGCGCTTATGTGAAGTACAGAGGTCTTCCTTACGAATCTGCAGTCTGGGAGAAACCGCCAGACCGAAAGGATTCTGAAAAATGGCAAAGCTTCCAGGCAGCATACGAAGATTGGGTTGTAGGGAATCATATTCAAATTCCTAAGCGCGGTGTCTTGAAAAGGCACCTCGAGCATGTTCGTTCCAAGGATTTTGCAAAGCACTGGGTACGTAAGAAGCAACCAGAAATACTTGTGGGAGGCGAGTTGATGGACTACCAATTAGATGGCCTTAATTGGGTCTATTTCATGTGGTATAAACAACAAAACTCCGTGCTTGCAGATGAGATGGGCCTGGGCAAGACTATTCAGGTCATTTCCTTCTTCGCCACGCTAATCCAAGATCACAACTGTTGGCCTTTCCTAGTAGTTGTTCCAAACTCGACCTGTGCAAATTGGAGACAGGAAATAAAAAGATGGACTCCGAGTCTCCGAGTTGTTACATGTTATGGATCAGCAGCCGCTCGGAAAATTGCTCAAGATTATGAAATGTTTCCCCGTGGTTCCCAAGGACCTTCAATGTCATATCGTTGTGACCTCTTATGAGAGTATGATTGAGGACAAGACTAAAAGGTTGTTCTCGACCATTCCCTGGGCAGGACTTATCGTTGATGAAGGGCATCGACTGAAGAATGATAAGAACCAACTTTATGATACGCTCTTGAAGCTGAACGTACCATTTTCGTTGCTTCTAACAGGGACACCCTTGCAGAACAATATCCGTGAATTGTTCAATATCTTACATTTCTGTGACCGCTCCAATAAAGCAGCTGCTCTAGAGGAGGAATTCAAGGAAATGACAAACGAGAATGTCAACAAACTGCATGATATGATCAGGCCATATTTTCTACGACGAACCAAAGCCCAGGTGCTCTCATTCCTCCCACCGGTTGCGCAAATAATATTGCCCGTCTCAATGACGATCGTGCAGAAGAAACTATACAAGTCGATCCTTTCCAAAAATCCACAGCTAATTAAGTCTGTGTTTAAAAGTTCTGGCCCGGGTTCAACTCTCAAGCAGAGTGAACGTCACAACTTAAACAATATCTTGATGCAGCTTCGGAAATGTTTGTGCCACCCCTTCATTTATTCGAAGGCTATCGAAGATAGGGGCGTCAATTCCACTTTGCTACATCGAAATATGGTCGAGGCGTCGTCTAAGTTACAACTTTTAGAACTCTTACTTCCCAAGCTGCAGGAGCGAGGGCACCGTGTTCTGATATTCAGCCAGTTTTTAGATTTTTTGGATATCGTGGAGGATTTTTTGGACGGCCTTAGCCTTGAGCATCTTCGTCTTGATGGCAGGATGAACTCATTACAGAAACAAAAGAATATAGATGCGTTCAATGCTCCGGACTCTGAATACTTTGCATTTCTACTTTCCACCCGGGCTGGTGGTGTTGGGATCAACCTTGCAACAGCAGACACCGTTGTCATTTTGGATCCTGATTTCAATCCACATCAAGATATACAGGCATTGTCGAGAGCTCATCGCATTGGACAGAAAAAGAAAGTTATGGTTTTCCAGCTTATGACCCGTGGGTCTGCTGAAGAGAAAATCATGCAAATCGGGAAAAAGAAGATGGCACTGGACCATGTCCTTATCGAGCGTATGGATGCAGATGATGACGACGAGGTTGATACGGAGGCCATCCTCCGCCATGGAGCTGAAGCCTTGTTCGAAGATGACAACACTGAGGACATCACTTATGATTCGCAATCTGTTGACAAGCTTATTGAGCAAAGTGAAGTCGAAAATACCAAGACCGGGGATGACACTTCCGCAGAGTCACAGTTTAGTTTTGCCAGAGTCTGGGTTAATGAAACAATGGAGAACGCGCTTGGTGACGCTGAATCTCCACCGCCAAGTAATACTTTATGGGAGAAGATCCTTAAAGAACGAGAAAAAGAAGCAGAGCAAGAAGCGAGGGCCAAAGCACAAGCATTCGGTAGGGGCAAACGTAAACGCCAGGTATTTCCCCAAAACTGTAAGAGTTAATTATCTCTACATGGGCTAATCATGCATTTTAGGCTATCAACTATAGGGGCCACGACAGGAATAATGTTGGGGAAAATGACAGCGATGTTGAGTTTGTTTCTAACGCAAATTCTGGATCTGATAGTGATGGCAGTGGAGCGACGGGGAAATCAGAGATATTCCAGAAACCCGCAGGTAGGTTTGATCCTACATAGTATACTTAATTCCCTCTTTAATACATCTACTTACATGGTCTGTCAGCTCGGCCCTTTAAACGCGCCAGCATTGCATATCCTACTGCAAACGAGGGTGCTCAAACTAATACAGAGGAACAGCACCCTTGTATTGCGTGCGATCACATTCACCCGGTTGGCTACTGTCAATTGAGACTTGCCGGTGTTGAGCACTGCGGTCTCTGCGGGATTGCACACCTCGGCCACCTACGAACATGTCCACATCTGCAATCTGAGCTACAGGTTGCATCTATGCTTGGTTCGCTCCGACAGAGTACAGAACCAAAGCCCCTTGTTGAAGCGGCTACAAAGTATCTACGAGGAATTCGTGGACATCTTGTAGCAGCAAGACGCAAAACCCAGGAATCTGCACCGCAAGAGCTCGAACCACATATGCTGGCTAGGAATACTATTCTCCAGCGCCATTCAAACCTTCCGCAATATTCTTATAATGCTCAGCCATTTCCTCGTCCCCAGAATCCTAACACCTTCGCCGACGCCGGCCCCTATGCCGGCCCCCCCCTACCAAGAATGTCACATACCTATCGTCCACCCCCACCATGCCATTCGTCTACTATGAGCAATGGGTATCATTCTCCCTATGCCCAAAATGTAGACTCTAATAAACCAGAGACTACCCATCCCGACTACCGGCGTTAACCCCAAGAGAGCAGAGCATTCTTCATTTGCTTTCTACCCCTACCTCTTGAACACTTCCGAAATACAGCTGAATAACAGTGCTGATGTAAATTATAAAGATTTGTGGTCCTTCCAGCCATATAGACAAACCCTTTGTATAATTAGATACTTTAACCAGTCAACTTCTACGTCTTCTTTCTCTCCTTTTTTTCAGGGGAAGTCCTGGTCGCTATAATGGATTAAATATATCACGTGACTAGGCTTGGGCCTGGGGAGAAGTCTCAAACGTCCAAAGAGAAGAATGAAACAGGCGGCCGACAGATATATTCGACGAAGGGTATATAGATATATGTTTTATTATCTATAGACTAGAGTGTCAGTTATTCCCGGATCCCTCTATCTCTGGAATAATACATCGCTCTCGATGGGCAAAATTTGATGTCTGGCCCCCCCAGCTTAGATAGCTTCATACACCAAGTGTTGTATAAAAACGATTAGATGTAAGGTTGCTAAGCATCTAATTAGACCATTATGGCTACTGTTTACATCATATATAGAGGATATCGGTCTATCTTTTTCTAAGATGGTATCTTCCGTGTTCTTTTATACAAGTTTGTTGATGGAGTGATAGTATCAACAAGACCTTAAACACCAGCCTTACTCTTGAAGATTATACCACTTGATTCTTAACCACTATCCAGTGGGCTTTATTTTGTATCTTATAGAACCTCTGGCCTCTATATCAAACCCAGGTACTCTTCTGTGATGGGCTAGTTGATTGATACCAAGCTCCTCCGCCACATGCATAGCGGATGCAAAGTCCCGTTAAAACCATAGTTGGGCCGCCAGCACGGATGCACTTTGGCCTATAAGCTCAATAACAAACTGGTCAGACTGTCTGAGGATAAGTAACAAAGATCTCCTGGCAAACACCGATCGCTTATTTCTAGATTAGATCCAGCTCTTCTTCCTTACACACAAACCCTTCCTCTTTTTCAACCTGATAACTGTCTATCCTCTACCCGTATCTCTTTCTACCTATCACACACACATACACAAACAGACACACAGTCTTACCTCTTTTACCTCTTTCACTGTGTGGGGTCTTCCTTTAGAGGCCTTTATTCACCTCTTGCTATCTATATAGCACCCTTGCTCCACTGAGGTCATCTAGTGTGAATGGCATTCTGATGCAAAGTTCTTCACTTACTTTTCTCTCTCTCTGGGAGCAACACAATTAGAAGAGCCGCTTTACCGGATTTGGAAATATCAAACAATCTTCTCTTCTATAACTTCACTTCTTCTTCCCAGCCTCCTCGCTTCACTTCTTGTCCTCTTCTCTTCACACAAACACAATCACATACTCTCTCTCTAATATCTATCTTCAACTCTTTTTGCCCTTCTTTTCTACCATCTGAAGCTATTCCTTTATCTTACTCTCTAGAGTTGACAACATATCACGACTTGTGCTTTCATCGATATCTAGTTTCTGCCTTTCTAAAGACTTTGATATATCATCCAGTGCAGGCATCTAGTGTCTTATTCAGCTCAATATGGCGATGCCTCTTCGCCCTCTGCATTTCCTCTCTCGCGAGGATGGCACCCTTACAGCTCTTGTTGCTGTCGATGAGCTTCCTCATTACATCTCTATCCGTGGGGTTCCTCGCACACTGAACCACAGCGACACCCAAGGTATGACCAGCCTCGGAACCGTCAAGTCTCGTGGGCAGTTCTACCTTCTCGACAATGCTATTCAACATGCCTCCAAGGCTATTGGGGACAAGTCGAACAACCCAAGCCGTTTGTTGATGCCAGGACGTGGACTCGATGGTTTTGCTCAGCTCTCCATTGCTCCACAGAGCTCCATTGCTGACCCATCAATGGCTCAGAACCCAGAATGGGCTCATATGGCTACAGGCGGGACTCAGCTGATAAAGCACGTAAGTTGAATTCTTTTCTTTTTTATAGCTACGCTCAGTCAGCTAATAGGGGTGAACTCTCCTAGAACCCTGGACATCGCCATGGAAAAGGTGGTCAAAATGGTAATGCTTCCAAAAAGGAATACTGTTCTTTCTGGCTTCGCCATGGAGAATGTGACTATCAACAGCAGGGTATTGCCCTTTTCTGGAATTTTTTTTTCAATCCTCAAAATTCTGACATATCACTACAGGCTGTATTTTCAAGCACGAAATGCCCACGGATAAACCGACTCTTGATAAGCTTGGGCTCAGAGATATTCCTCGCTGGTACCGTGACAAACATGGGGTTAAGGGTCTTGGTGGTGCCGGTGGGCGGACTCGCCAGGAAGGGAACGGGCGCAACTGGCGGGCTGAAAACCATCATCATCCGGTGCCCACCCCTGCAGCTCATGGAAATCGAACCATGACTACGGAGCCCGCAGAGGAGAGGTATAAGGCTAACCCTACGCCTCCTCAGCCGCCTGCGATGCCTGGTCTGCCCCATGGTCACCCAGCAATCTATAACGGTATCCCAGTCACCGCCCACCTTACCCCTCTAGGTTTACCAACTCCAGGTGGTTTAAGTGTGAATATGGCTGTAAACCAGCCGCTTGAAGCTTCCAAGTTCACCAACAGATGTGACCTTATTTCTATTGATGAATTCCGCAAAACTCCTACACCAGAGCACATGGTACAGGGCCGAGTCAAGGGTGGACTTGGAAACTTTGCTGGTCACCACCTCCATGGTAAGGTTGACTTGATGGACCATTCTTATCCAAACGGAACAGGACTATCGGCTGTTCGAACCAACGGCTTCAACGACCTCAAGGGACTAGATACGGTATCCCACAATAACGCAATGCATTCCCATAGCTACGGCCCCAGCTCTATGCCAATTCCAGGATCAAACTCTCTTTGGACAATGGGTGAAAATGAAGGAGATAGCTGGAACCTGATGCCCCTGACCCCCTTCCCGCCCGTTGTAGGAGCCACTTCCACCAATCAGCCAAACGGCCTAGGATCTCAGCTTAAGAAAAAGGCCCAGCGATCTCGTCGGCTATATCAACGCAGGCAATCTATCGATGGTCAAGAGGCTGACGAGGAAAAGAACTTGCGAGTAACGACCGTAACCCCGATCAACACAGCTGTCCCTAACCCAGACCTAAAGAATGGAGTAACGGGAGCGATTTCACCCTGCTTCTCCCCGCATCCTCAGTCTGGCAGCTATGCTTCTTCTCCTTGCTCCCCCCGTTCCGGAGCTACCACTGGTCGCTACGCTGACAATCTGGACTTCCGTGGAAACGGGAATCACAAATATGCGAGCCGCGGTTCCCCCAACTCCACAGAATCAGCCAACACCAACGGAGGAACCAACTATGACTTGTTCGACCTTGGTTTAAACAGCCCAGTTACCTTGAGCGCCAAGCACATTTAATACCATGCTATAGATTGTTCATATACTCAGTGACACCAAACATATGGCATTGATGGACGGGTTCAACTCCTTTGGCCCTCAATATTTTCCTTTTGTTCAATTCCCCATACCCTGCGCCCATTGATTCTGCCCCTTTCCCCCCTTTTTTTCTCCTTTTTATTTGAATATTTGATACAAAATTGGCCTAAATTACCTTTCTGATTGTATAATTCGTGTATTGGACGATGTTCATACATTGGATTATATATGACTACCCTCTTCAACAGCGCCATTGCTCTGGTATAACCTATCTAATGGTCTAGGAGTACAGACTGACGTCAGGCTGCAATAGGATACAATGCTGGATAAGCAAAAACAAGAGTATACCCCTGAAAGATGGAGTCCTGTTGTTGTTTGAATTAGTTTGCTGTGGAAATGGGAGTTGTTTGCTTGTCTTCTTTTTCTTGCCATCCTTCTCTGACACTTCAAACCAAAGATATAAGGGTCATGGATTGGCTAGTTCCTCTATACTCTCCTTGTCAGATGATATTAGAATTTCCCCTGCTTGCTATTTGTTGTTTTCCCCCAACCTTTCTTTTCCTATGTCTTGTTTTATTCCAAGAGTGTAGGGGGCAACCCCATCCTGTATTAATAGCAAAAAGATAAATTCCCACCTGGCCTAGAGATTTATACGAACATCTGTCTATAAAACAAGAAAAGAATTTGATGTAATACATGTGAATATATAATACAATACACAGGGGAGGTGTATATACCAAATCCAGGCCTAAGCCCTTGAGGTCGGAAACAGCTTGCCCATCGCTATAGCTCATTATAATAAAAGTAATGCTTCAATTTCTCGCCTTGGGCCCACGAGATTTCTGCCCTTTCTTTACTGGCACTGTTTGCGCTGATGGTAATAATTGATTCATTGCGCCCAGGGCAGGAAGCGTCTTCGCGGCCTGCGCAATCACTTCGTTCCCGTCCACGATCCCCTTTTTAGCCACTATATCGTCGATTTGATGTCTTGCTGCTTCTATTTGCTTCTTGCTTTCCTCCGTCACGTTCCATGACTCTGGGAACACATATCTCTTCTTCGGCTTGTGATGAGGAAATACTAACGGGATGTCCGCGAAAGAATCACCCTCCTTGGCCTCCTTGATGAGCGTGTTGACTAGATCGCCGAGATACCGCTTGTTTTGAGCACGAGTAGGGAATTTTTCGCAGGACATGTGAATGATGTCAGTGTCAGGGTTGTAACGCGGTCCAACTAGCTTTAGAAGTGTGATCCGTTGCTCTTCTGTGAGGTACGTTGGCGTGAGATCTTTGGAGCATAGTTCAACTACTATTTTTGTTTCCGCGGGATGAGTTTCACCCAGATAGGTTGTTTGTCGGAAACGGAGAACGTGGGTTTGTGGCGGGAGTGTGAAAGGTTTCGCAAGAGCTGAGGCTCGTTAGTCTCATTTTTTCATGGAATTCCATGCTATTAAGTGTAGGGAAGCAATAGCATACCGCTCAATGATGGCATATCCCATGCTACAATACGCGCATATTCTCTGAGCTCTCGGTGTTCTTCGAGTTCAGCATGTGCCATAGACGTCATGTCATCCTGGTGAAACTCATCGTCGCCGTCCTCCACTTGCATCATGAGGTCATCCTCATCATCAGCGCCCCAGTAGCCCGTCCTCTGCTTCGGTAGTTCACGGAAATTGTAATTCACATTCTTGCGGAGATTACGAACAGTGCTGTCGACTTCTTTCTGGAGTTGCTTTTCGAGTTCGGGCAGGTTTGTAAAGTCGTAGTTTAAATCAGAAATCTCAGTTTCTTCACTGCTCGTAGATAACCGCGTAGAAGCAGCGGAGAATGGCTGTCGTCTAAATGTCCAGCATGACTGCTGTGTGTATAAGGACGAGGTGCACCTCGACGTAGCTTGCCTGGAGCATGACAAGGCTAATCGGCTAAAAGGCCTTGTAACTGGAGCCATTTCCGGGAGCAATTGAGCATGTACACGCGAGAAACAAGGTGGTTAATGCCAGCCGTTTTCTTCTTCTTCCTCTCTTCAAAATTGTTCGCATCCTCAAAGTTTCAACTATTTTTGCGTGAACCTCGGAAGATATTTTTTCCGGAATGACGTTCAAACTCCGGAAAAGTCGAAGAAATTCATTGAAGAACAAAAGAGAGAGATACCACGGTCTGTATGGCCTGGAAATGATTCTTTATGAGAAGAGAAGCAGGCTGACTCTATTCCTAGGCTGCCACTTAGCTAGGATGAAAGATGTCATCCTCCCTCTTCCACCCGGTTTACTAACGAGCCCCTACATAGGACCTACACATACTGCCTTACTATATCAGGATGGCATACGGAGATGGGCAGCCAGCAAGCCGTCCAAAGAAGATATGTTTTGTGACTGTGGGTGCTACCGCATCTTTTAATGCCATGATCCGAGAGATCTTACATCAGGACTTTTTGGCTGCCCTCCGGACAAACAACTACACCAACCTAGTCATCCAGTACGGCCAGCACGGAGATGAGCTATTCCACTCATTTGTCAAGGATAATGAACATGAATTGTTTCAGAATTATGGCCTGACACTGGCTGGATTTGACTTTAATGTCAACGGCCTGAAGGAGGAGATGTGTGCTGCCAAAGCAGATCCAGGCTCAAACACGGCCGAAGGTCTTGTCATCAGCCATGCCGGTAACTCTTCCTCTATGTAACTGTGTTTGCAGCTCCGATATTCCAAACATGTATAGAAGCTGATTCTTTGACTGAACGTTACAGGGTCTGGAACGATCCTTGAGGCCCTGCGATTTGGTCTGCCTCTCATGGTGGTGCCGAATCCTATGTTAATGCACAACCACCAAGCCGAGTTGGCGAAGGAGCTGGCATCTGCTAACTATGTAGTGCATGGTGAACTTGGGTATGTATTGCTGCCGAAAAAAAAAATTCACATTATATCCTCTAAAGTGTCTAATGTTCCTCATAGAAACCTGGCTGGTGCCCTCCATGAAGCAGAGAGTCTCCGTGCAAAGCTTCATTCATGGCCTCCTAAACATGCAGATACGGACCCCAAGGGATTGGCTTGGGTGATGGAGGATGAGCTTGGATTTCTCGATTAACAGCCGTACAATACAGGCTTGATCTGTCATAGATGGAGCTTCTTCCCGGCTTTCCCAGGGCTCATAATTAGGGATTCCTTGATATAATCACAGGAACTATTTCACCCAACCGATAATGCACTACAAACTCGTATGCTGCTCTCAAATGTTTTGTGATTTTCCGACATTTTTTTCTCCTTACTAACATCGGGAGCGTCCTTTCCCCTCTTTAAACATTGTTCTAGTTTTCACTACATGTAAGCTGTGGAATTCTTCTATGATATCGTATCTTCGCCAATACATCAACTGGTTCCAGACCGTATAGTTATTATTATCCTTGTGAAAGATCGCATTAAACTGGCGGGCGTCGAAGCCAAGAACACCTAAATCGAGCTTCCCCCTTGTTAAAGAAAAAAACGAAATGTTCACTGTGAGCTTGCATCTCCAGCAAAATTTTGACCATCGACAACGCCGAGAACGACTTAATAGAGCCCTTCGCATTTTGATATTGTCTTTTCAGCATTCCAAGCTTAATAGTACGATAGAAATTCCATTTTACTCCTCCAAGGTGGCCAGTCATAAAAACTGACACGAACTTGAAGTCAAAATCAACAACAAAAATCCGATAAATAGAGCCGCAAACAGCTTCAATCCACCTCTCGCCCTCCCTTCATCTCTCTTCCAACATGGCAGACACTGCTCTGCACAATGCACCGATAGTTCTAGACAATGGCAGCGGTACAATACGCGCCGGCTTCGCGGGCGAAGACCTCCCCAAATGCTACTTCCCATCATTCGTGGGCCGACCAAAACACCCCCGAGTACTCGCCGGAGCCCTAGAAGGAGACGTGTTTATTGGACAGAGAGCACAGGAGCTACGTGGGCTGTTAAAGATCAGATACCCTCTTGAACACGGAATCGTCACAGATTGGGATGACATGGAAAAAATATGGCAGTGGGTGTACGAAGGGGAATTGAAGACGTTGAGTGAAGAACACCCAGTACTTTTGACAGAACCACCTTTAAACCCTCGAACAAACCGAGATACTGCAGCGCAAATCTTATTTGAGCAGTTCAACATTCCAGCGTTATATACGTCAATTCAGGCTGTACTGTCACTATACGCCTCGGGGAGAACAACGGGTATTGTGCTAGATTCGGGGGATGGTGTGTCCCATGCTGTTCCCGTGTATGAAGGATTTGCTATGCCGAGCAGTATACGAAGAATAGACGTTGCCGGCCGCGATGTTACCGAGTATCTACAGTTGCTTTTGCGAAAGAGCGGATACGTCTTTCATACGAGTGCCGAGAAGGAGGTGGTGCGCATGATTAAAGAAAAGACCGGATATGTGGCTATGGACCCCCGAAAAGAAGAAAAGGAGTGGTCAACGAATGGTGGGAAGGCGGATTCAAAGATGGCTGAATATGTTCTGCCAGATGGTCATAAACTGAAGGTAATTAATCCTCATCTTTCTGTCCTGCCTTTCGAGCTTATTATATCTTAGGGCATCTCACTTGCTGACTGGCCGACCGACTGACTGACTGGTTAACTAGATTGGTGTTGAACGATTCCGAGCTCCCGAAATTCTCTTCGACCCCGAATTGATTGGTCTTGAGTACCCTGGTGTGCACCAAATTGTCGTAGATGCCATTAACAGGACAGACATGGACCTTCGAAAGTCCCTATTTGCCAACATAGTTCTGTCTGGCGGTTCTACGTTATGTAAAGGGTTTGGAGATCGCCTCCTCCACGAAGTGCAGCGGTTAGCAGTCAAGGATATGAGAATTAAGATCTTTGCACCTCCCGAGAGAAAGTACAGCACCTGGATTGGCGGAAGTATTCTGGCTGGCCTGAGCACATTTAGAAAGGTATGTCGCCTTTTTGTTGTTTGGCCTGCCATTCATCATTGATACCACGTCATTGCTAACAGTTATTCTCTCATCCGGTAGATGTGGGTCAGCATTGATGACTGGCATGAGAACCCAGATATAATCCATACAAAATTCACTTGACATGTCGATCTTTTTTTTTGTTTTCGTGAAACCACTAGGAATATGTTTGGAGCAGTTTATTTTTCAATTTAACGATATCCCTGCGTCGATTCTCTCTCCCGGCTCGTTTAGTCCCGGATATTAACTGCATTCCAGTGTGTTGTTTGTTGTTCTTCTTTTTTCTTCGAGAGATACCTCTATACCTTTTTACCTACTGTATCCATAACTATAGATGACTAGAAAGTTGCCCCCTTTCTTTTATCCATCGTTTGTCGAGCAGTCATGTCGATAAAGCGAATTTATGCGTAAGCCTATGAGTTGCTCCGCTCGTAGGTAAGGGTAAGACAGGGAGAGCATAGGAATGAAATGACGCATATATACACATATACATATCCCGGCAGAGACAATGACTGATAGATGTGGATTCCCTACAGTGACTTAGGTTAGCTCTGACAGCTTTCTACTCCATATACAACTATGGGTTGAATCAGCTTTGAATCAAGAGGAAGAACATCAAGTCTAATTGGCCACCCCAAACGGGTAAGTCGGGCAACGAATATATGTATTCTAAAAAGTAACAATGGATGCTTTTTTTTTAATATTTCCCAAATAGCTCATTGAATCGGCATGGTAGTAAGAGAGTTATGGCTGTGACCCCCAAGAGGCGCGACGTGTGACACGAGTCAGGTGCGCAGGGATATGAATTGCGAATTGGTTCGTCCGGGGAGATGTATCGGTGGTAGGTGCATGTTAAAGAAGCCGGAGTAGTGGGAACAAAGAGTATGTGCATCCGGTTAAGAGAGTATATCTCATAATTGGCGAAGGTTATGAATGTGTAAGGGGGTAAATGGAAGGTTTGCGTCCTTGCAAAATATGGTAAGCCAGACGCTTACGTGTTGTGGCGGTAGTCAAAAGGTTCGATATGTAGGATATAGAATTGCTTGTTTTTTGTTTTTGTTTTTTGCGACGAGGGTGTGGATCATGGGTGTCGTATCGGTCATTAGTACAGTGGAAAGGAAAGTCTGAAATGGCTGAAATGCGCTATGATATAACAACGATGGCGAATCGA